GAGATGTGGGGGGTGGGGGTGGGGGGGCGGAGGGAGATGGTGTCAGCCATGCACTCTTCCGTGCGATATTGCGGCCAGGAACGGCACTGACCGAGGAAAACGATACGGGTGAGCCACTGCTCAGGTGTCATTGAAATTCCCCTTTTGCGCATCTCTTCGACGGTCAACTCCTCGAAATGCGCCGGTTCGGTGGAAAAGCTCGACTTGACCACCGAATCAGCAGCTCGAGCTGCGTCAGGTTCGGCGGCTCCAGCGTGGCTACTCGTGTTCGAGGCTGCGTCCGCTGGTGATGCTGTTGCTGTTGCTGCTCCGGCCAACGGTGCCGGTCGCGAAGGCGCCTTGGCATCGTATCCTGGCGGTGTGACCTTCTGCATCTGCCTGTCCTTGGTGCGCGGAAATGTCTCTGGGTGCTTGTACCTCGTCGCGACGTCAAAGCCCCACCTGGCGACGCGCATGAGGGCGATCGCGACGCGGTCGCCGACATTCTCCGGATTCCAGTGCGTCACCTTGACCGCGTGTAGGTCCTCTGCCGTGTAGACGGGGTTGAAGAGCGTTGGCGTGCGCCGCGCCGTATCGCTGCTCGGGTCTGAGCGCAACTTGACGGCTTCCGGGGGGGAGAGGGAAATGTACCTCTGCGGCTGCACAAAGCCGGACGTTGCGACGCACGGTCTGCGAGCGTGTTGGAGGTGGCAGCTGCGCTGCTGCTGCAAGCTGCACAGAAGAGCGCTTGAGGGAGCGTGCCTGTTATTTGTCGTTGGCAGCGATGTGCTGGTGGCCATCTGCCAAAGGCCAGCCTTCACCGCCAGCCTCGGCGCGCCTTGAGTGCCACAGGATGTGACCACTAGCATTGTAGTTTTGCTTTCGCGGTGCTCGTAATTGTCTTGTGATGAGTTCTGCTCGATGCTAGCATGCAGAAGGGTTTGTGAACCATGGGCGACCTATGACGCGATGCAATAGCAGTAGTATATATATATACACGTGGATGACCTTGCAGCGGATCATTCGAAGCCAGCAAGCACTCCTGCGATTGGAAATCAGGCCCGTACGCCCGGCCCGCCCACCGACACGCGCTCCGCACACCCGACGTTGCCAAAGCTGTCAACCAACTGGCGACCAAGACATATTCTATCTATTCAACGAGTGCAACAACAATTAGCCAGCTGCCAGCACATCCGTCCTCCGTTTCTCGGCGAGAGCAGGCTACGGACACATCGCTGTACACACATATAGTCCGTGCCCCGCGCCAGGCAGCGCACCTGACCATCGAACGACGGACACAAACGGGATGGTCAACAAAGATGATGTCAGCTTTCCTTTCCACCCCGGCCCAGGCCAGCTTTCCTCTGCCCCCACCCCTTTTCCTCTCCCGTACTCTATGCTCTATCCTTTATGCTCTGTGTGGCGCATAGGAGAGCTTATGTGGCAGTCACGGCTGGCAAGTACAACGGGGGCACGGCACGGCCTGTCGGAACCGCCCGGGAAAAAGCCCCGAAGAATATGTCGCCGACCATTTTAAGCAAATCGCATGGCGGTGAAAAAAAAAGAAAGAAAGAAAAAAGTCGCCGTCCCGGTGGTCTCCGCCGTTTCGTTGAGCGAACAGTCGCAGCAACGGACGGCGGATGAAACCGCTTTCGTCGCAATCGAAATGCGCCGCTCTGGTCCTTGATCATAGCTCTTGCTCGCCGCGCGTACATACTCTCATAGCAACGATGATCGCAACGAGCGCTGGAGGGTGCGGCATTTGAGAGCCCCCTAACCCCCCCCCCCAATCCTCAGCTCACGCTGCAGGGAGAAAAACTGGCAGCAACACTGGCCGTCGGCTAACCCTACACCTGTTGGCAGACGACGGTGACATGCCATCGATCATCCCAGACTTGGCGACTGGTCGTGTGATGGTGGCGTGGCGCTATTGACCTATTGCGTGTAGCACCACGAGGGCAAATGCGTCCACCTGCCATTCGCAGAGATGGCTGATGAATGATGCCGCGTGGCGTGGCACCTGCGTCCATGCCCACCAGCCCCGTGATCGACGCCGTGCCGGCACCAGCCATCACCTGTTAAGCCGACGTAGCTCTCTCTCTCTCGGCCGATTGACAGAAAGCGCCAACCTCTGCGCATGGTCAGAACGCAACGTCACGGGGTCTCGGTGTGCATGCCTCCACCTAAGCTCGTGGTGTGTCAATGCAACTCTGCTGGTTGCGGCTTGACAATACCCCCCGTCGGCCGGTGACAGTTTGATCGATCGCTTATCGCTGTGTCGTGCATTCCAACTTTGGGTGTGAAGAGCTAGCACCAGCAAGGCCCTCTGCGCGCTCAACGAGCGAATCGAAACAAAGCCATCAGCAATGTCAACTGCAGCAGTAAGCAGGCTTGCCTACGACTTCTAACTATACCCAATGCCGAGATTCCGATGCGATGCGATGACAATACAGTTGTACACGAGGACATGTGGGGTGTGATGCTGAACGATGCATAATATATCGAGTTTGTATGTGTGTTTTATAGGTGTGCATGCAAGGAGCAAGCGCGGTGATGATCACGCCCTTTATTTCCCCTTTCCCTTGCTGTTGCCAGACGGTTCTGATCCAGATCCAGACGCAGACCCAGCGCCGCCGCCTCCTTGCGCCGCCTTCTCATGCTCGACGACATACGCCACCTGCACCTCCACGCCCGCTCTGAGCAGGAGGTCGATCCACAGCTTCTGATTTTCGCGCAGGTGGTCGCCCGGGCCCTTGACTTCTACAAAGCGCACGCGCGGCTTAAAAGCTCGTAGCGCACCACCCGCGGTGGGCCTCCTCTTCCTGTCCCTCGTGCTTTCCGTCTGCAACGGAGGGAGCGCAACAGCAGGAGCTGTCGCTGATGCTAGGGATGCCGAAAAGTCCACAGGCGAGTCCGAAGACGCCTCGGCATCGAGCGCGGCTTCCTGCAATTCATCTCCTTTGCTTTCCTGTTCTTCTAAATGGTTCCGATGCCGCCAGATGCAGAGATCAGGTAGGCCGCTGGAGCAGTGTTCCCACTCTTCGCTGAAGACCTGGCAGATGACAGAGAGCGAGTAGCCGCCCAGGCACTGTGTATGTTTGGCGTAGAATCGTGAGCAGGCGCTGCCTCGATGCAAGCCGCAGTCGCGGAACGACTTACCTCAGCGATCTCTAGTAAATCTTTCAGCGGGTACGTGTCCCAGCGACACCCAACTGCCCAAGTTTTTCTCGGCCGCTCCCTCTCGTCGGTCTCTCGGATGAGATCCAACCCGCCGTCATTCTGGATCCGGTGGAGGCGTTGTCTGATGTCCGCGCCGCGCGAGACAGCGAACGCATCCGTATTGATGTCGAGGGGCGCGTTCTGGTACGCCGTCTCAAAGGCGCCTTCGATGGGTTGATAGATGATATCCCACATCAATAGAACGTACAGCATGACCAGCACACCCCCTTCGCTATGGTAGCTGACGGAACATAGCGTTGGCGGGAGCCTGCTCAGCCATGCGAACACGAGAAGTGGAAAGGAAAAGCGGAGATCAAACGCACCCTTTGAAACCCTGCATGGCGTAATGTTGGAGACACAGCGCCTCTACACGACAAGGCTGCCCATCGAGTCCGCGCCATACGGTCGCCATGCTCTCTTTGGTCTCCTTACGTGTCGTCTGATACTCATCCCCAGCGGATAAAGGGAGCGGCGCGCTGCTGCCATCTTTCACAGGACTGACATTGCGAGGGAGAGAAGGCGGGGCAGCCGTCCCTGATGCAGCCGAGACGCGTCGCTCAATTTTGACTTGCTTTTGCAGCGGCTTGCGAAGCGTGAAGTTTTTGCCGATGCCATCACCAACCAAGAGTGATTCGCTGGACGAGTTGGCACGGAGCGCCGGTCGTTTTTCGGGGGGCATCTGCCTCTTGATGGGCCGGCCGAAGAGATCGAGTCTTTGCTTCTCTACGAGCATCTGATCCAGCCGGACGCCAGAGAAGGTGACCTCGGTGCACTGCTGCAGCTTTGCGTAGCTGAAATCATGCTGCTCTGCAAAAGGGATGCGCAGCGCCGACTCGAGTCGCTTGATGCGCCGTTGCAGCATGTCGTGGTAGATGATGTGCGTATCTGGGTCCTGCAAACCGCGCATGCACACTTCCAGCGCGGCTTTGCGCCCTGCCGTCTTGTCGTCCGAGTACTGCATGAGGATCAGCGCCAATCGGTCGTACCACTCGCCCCGCTTGCCGCGTCGGAAGGCCTTTTGCGCCAATAGCGCGCGCAGGACATCCTTCTCGCGCTCGTACAGCTTGAAGCGTCCGAGGCAGTAGATGCCCTTGTCGATGATGCGCGTGAGCACCCAGCCGGCGTGTAAGCGCATGCGATGATACGTCAAACGGTCGACGCCTTCGAGCAACGTCTCGCAGTCCACCACCACCGCTTTCCAGTCGTCCCAGACGCTCTCAAACAGGCGATACGCTTTCTCCAAAGCCTCCTTGCTTCCGTCCCAGTCAAGCAGCTGCTCCATCTCCGCTTGAAGCACGAGCGCCGCCTCATACGCGAGCAGGTGTTGGCGCGTCGGCCACAGGCATGGGGAGCGCGCATACTCATAGACAGGATAGTTACGTTTTTGCGAGCGAGCCAGCACCGCCCCCGTTAACACCGAGGCACCTTGCAGCACGTTTCCGCGGTAGTACACGAGGGCCACACGATCGATCAGTTTTCGCGCTATCGGGCTCAGGCGCACGCAACGGCCGATGAGGTTCGCCAGCTCGACCTGCAGGACAGCCTTTTGGTTGTTGCGCTTCGTCGGCAAAGATGTCGGTGCACCGTCAGCATTCTTTGTAGCAGGACCAAAGTTCAACGTCGTCTGATGCCTCTTGTTGGCGGGAGGCTTCATGCTGCCTCCCTTCTTCGTAATAGGCTCTGCAGCCTCGCCGTCGAAGCCCAGCAAACCTTGAGTCTTGGTCCTCAATAGTGTCTCGATGATCTTCTGCTTTGTCTTGGCCGCAGGCGTGAGGCGCTGCATGCTCTTTGCGAGCGTCTTAAGCTCCTCGAGCGTTAGCATGTTCAGGATCGGCTCCATGTCGACGTCCAAATCTGCTTCGGAAATGGCGAAACGAAGCGCTACTTCTCCATCTGCTGCTGCTGTTGCTCCAGCCATCGTGTCCTTGCCGGCGGCGTCATTCTCTATAGCTGAGGCATTGCCCGTCGGCGCTGGCTGCGGCAGCACGCGCAGCTCACACAGCTCCAAGATTGCCGCACCCATATCCTCGACGTCAGACGCATAATCGAGCTTGTTGAGCCTAATCCACATATCTTTACGCTGTAAGAGCCTCGCGAGCATGTAACGTGACTGATAACTCAGCGCATGATACGCCTGCAGTAGGCTTACTTCGTGCTCCTCGAACAGGTGCGCTTCGCCAGACAGAACAACCTGGATCATCTCGCCGAGGATGGTGGGATACATCGACTCTTGGTACCGCTGGAAAACTTCAGGATCCGACTCCCGGGAATAGGGCGTGGCTAGCCGGTTACACGAGGTGGAACTGGATGTTCGACTTGACTCATCCGAAAGTGTGCGCACAGGAATCGGTTGGGACGACAAAGCGTGCACGTCGTGGACGCGACCAGTAACTGCTCCGTCCTCGTTGTCAAAATCGATCGCGATTGGGTTCCGCTCTATCCCGGCGCTTGTCACTGAAGCTGCGCCTATGCCGACTTTCTCCTGTTGCAATGTAAGAAGCGTCGAGGTACCAGCAAAATGCAGGTCAAAGAGCTCTTCAGTCGGCTGCTCTGCGTCTGTAGGTATCGCAGCATCGCTCTTCGTCGTCAGGGACGCACCTGATCGCGCTTCTTGGCCCTGGCCCTGGCTTTCTCGCCGTCCATGCAATAAGCGACTTTTGAGATCCTGCTCGCGCTCCTCCTGCTCACGCTGCCATCTGCGCTCTTCTTCTTCCCTGGTCTCTGCTACCGCTGCACTGGAGCCAGCGTGCGCGGCACGAACGTCATCGCGGTTGAATTGGTCGCTGTACTGCCACGCACTCGAGGAGCTGCCGTGCGCTGCGAGCGGTGTGGAGAATGGTGTTTCGCGACTTTGCTCACACTCTAGACGTCGCTGTGAAATGAGCGCCTGGGCTCGCGCACGCTCTGCTGCTTCCCGCGACATGGCTTCCTGCTGCTTAGGCTTCAGCCGCTGGGAGCTCGATTGTGCCGCACGACTCTCCCCTGACGAGAAGTTTGGGCCAGAAGGGAGGTTGAAGTGTCGCAAATGAGCCCTTCTCTTGTCATTTTCCCTGTTCAGAGTTGTCGCATCGCTCGCGGAAGTGAAAGAGAAAGCTTCACGAACGACATTCATGGGATCATGCTCCTTCTTGCGCTTGGAGTCCTTGTACGCCTCCCTGAGCTTCTGATGTTTGCTCTTCGTGCGCTCATTGCCGGGAATCAGATCGGACGAGGAGTACCATGGTGACATCTCGGGCGCCGGCTGGGAGAGGTACGCTCGATCGGCTTTGGATGAATTTTCTGCTGACGATGATACCTGCTTTGAGGCTAGGCTAGCGTTGGAAGGTTCCTGCGTGCACGCTCTCTTCGACGGTCGGTTCTGTAAGTTGAGAAGAGGGGAGGGTTTGTTTCCTATTCTCAACGATGAAGCAATAGCCTTGCACTTGCGCCGGACTCACGTTGTCTTCGAGATGCGCCCAAAAATTGATATGCCCGGCACTGTCAAAGGTGCGCTCCAAGTTGTCTGCATCCGCACGGCCACCAAGCTTTTCGAGTTGGCACTCGTCGTATTCCTTCAGCGCACCCGCTTTTCCATCAACCTCCCTCTCTGCCGCTCTCAGCCGCCTTTCCTGCTCGCTACCGCCGGAAGCACGACCCTTGTTCCGACGCAGCAGCTCCAGCCGACGCTCCGAGTCGGCCTGCAGCGATCTGCCTTCAGCGGCTTCCGCCGCAAGTCGAGCGGCCTCCTCATCGCGTCTTACCCGCTCGATGTTCTCTCGGTTGTATGGGTGGTACGACTTGTGGTGCGCCAGATGGAGCGGCATGGTGTCGGCTCTGCGCCTACCGAATACGATAGCGACTTACGGCTTCGACACACGATGCCGCAGGGCATACGAAGAAACGGCCTTCACTGTTGCCACGACTTTCGACGTCCCGATCAGCCAAAGTGGTGGTCAGTCAGCAAAAACCTCGAGCTGCATACCTGGTCGGCCGTATGCTTGAAGCTTCCTGCTCGACCTTGGAAGTCCCACAGCTGCTGGCAAAAGGCATCGAGATCTGTTAAATGAGTCAACCTTGTCATGTCGCCCAAGGGAACGCAGGTCGTGATGCAATATCGAGATTAGCGCTGTATTGATTGAGACGGCTTCTTTGCTTTTCTCGCCGTATCTACATCTCATCCATTCCTACTTTAAAAAGCGGCCTCTTGGCGCGTCTGGGTGAGAGACCCCACGCGTTGACGCCGCGAGAATTCTACATCACTGTGCCCCGCTATGAACCGTAAGCCCCGTAATAGACCCATTTGGCAAGGTGCGCATCCTCGTCCCGGCTCCCGAAGTCGAAGATACTCCTACTCTGGCCGGGTTCGTCTTGATTCTGCGGTGCTTGTAGCGCATAAAAACGGATATCATCTACAGACTTCAAGATTTCAAATGCTACGCCATGTCCCACGAAACGAATGGAGCTTCGAGCAAGGCGGTTATAGCATGGTTGAAGCGTGGATAAAAGGATGCACCATGATAAAGTTCCTATTGGACCAGACCGTGCATTCACGCAAATTTGAGCACACCTTTGGCGCCGTACAGGAACCAGCAACTCGGTAATAGACACTTCGTAGCGGTCCTCTCGCGCAAGTTGGACCATGTACGTTTGCGTGCCCATATAGATGTGCCGAGCTGCCCCGCCTTCCGTCAGCATCGCCAAGAAGCCGGGAAGCACGTGGCGTTGATATGAATGATACGTGATTATCACGTTTGCTGTTCTATTCGGGCGAGCGAGAGCGACTTCAGGCGACTAGAAGTCACGATCAGAAGGTGAGGAGAGGAAGGCTGCTACTGGTTGGAATCGAGCGTCGGAATCTGGAGCGGAGAGGCAACCCTGCATTGAAGGAACCCTACACGCCGAAGGGCACTGCGACAGTCAAGTCGGGTCACCCGGCATCCGCAGATGCCGCGTCCGCGCGCCCCGTGTGCCCCGTGTGCATCTTGAACACTGACGTAGTGCCTTTCCGTGGCTGGCAGGCCAGGCAATCCTGGCTGCGATTACTACTTACCTAGGGGCTTCTCATAGATCAACACCTGCATCTCGTTCAGTCCACCGTACACTCCCGTCGACCATCATTATCGCCCTGCAGCGAGAACCTCCCGGAGTAGTGCAACCTTCCGTATCGCCGTCGCCTGCTCGCTCGCTCGCTCGTGGACCTCAGCGCAGGATTGACGTGCATCGATTCAAGCGCCGTGTTGTGCGCACGCGCACCGCGTCGCCCGTTCTCTCCCACACACAACAAGCGCACATAGGCAGGGGGCCTCCCCGCGCACAATAGAATCCCGCACAGCCCTCGTCTGCAGCTCTCACAATGGCGCAGCTCGCGCGGACCAAGACAAAAAAGGGACCAGCGCTGGCGCTGGCTGGCCTCGAGCGTCCCGGCGCGTCGAGCGCCGCGTCCGCGTCAGCCGCAGACGCTGCCGCCGCCGCCGAGTTTGCGTCAAAGAAGTACGTCTGGGTACCCGACAAGCTCGACGGATATGTCAGCGGCTGGGTAGTGCGCGAGGAGGAAAGCGGTAATGTCAGCGTTGTCTCGCTTAGTGCGGACGGAAGCATGAAGAACGTCGCGACGGACGACTTGAGTAAGATGAACCCGCCGAAATTCGAAAAGGCCGAGGACATCGCCGACCTGACGTTCCTCAACGAGGCGAGCGTCGTGCACAACCTCCGGCAGCGCTACCACAGTGGACTAATCTACGTAAGTGATGCGAAGGTATAGCAGGGGTTTGTGGTGTCAGCTCTAATCCTCCCTACGTCTGTAGACCTATTCTGGCCTCTTCCTGGTCGCCATCAACCCGTACCACTCGCTGCCCATCTACACTGACGCGATCGTCGCCGCGTACAAGGGCCGACGGCGTGAGGAGAACGCGCCACACGTCTTTGCGCTCGCCGATGGCGCGATGCGCAACATGCTCGAGCACCGCGAGAACCAGAGCCTGCTCATCACGGGCGAGTCGGGTGCTGGAAAGACGGAGAACACCAAAAAGGTCATCCAGTATCTCGCCGCCGTTGCCGCGGACACCGCGAGCGGGGCGCCGTCAGAGGCGGGGAATGCGCGTGACACAAACCCCGGCGCCGGGCTCAGCAGGAGCGGGTCGAGCAAATACGTAATGGACCAGCTCCGCGGTGTCGAGCCGATCGGCATGAAGCGCCTTGGTCTGCTCGAGCGGCAGATCCTACAGGCCAACCCGATTCTCGAAGCGTTCGGCAACGCACAGACGATCCGCAACAACAACTCTTCGCGTTTCGGAAAGTTCGTCCGCATAGAGTTCACCAGCATGGGCGCCATTGCCGGCGCGAACATCGATTGGTACCTGCTCGAAAAGAGCAGGGTCACGAATCGCAGCGAGAAGGAGAGGAGCTTCCATATTTTCTATCAGCTGCTGCGCAGCAATGAACGGGAGATCAAGTGTGAGTGACCGCAAATATATCCGAATCCTTGCTCATTATTCTCACGCGATCGACTCTCTCTGTACATCGATGTCTGCAGCGAAACTGCTTTTGACCAGCTCACCCGAGGATTATGGCTACCTTAAGCACACACGCAAGCACGTCGAAGGCATCGATGACCGGATCGAGTTTACGGCGCTGCGCGACGCGCTGCAGACCGTCGGCTTCACGCCCGATGAGCAGTTCAACCTCTTCCGCGTCGTCGCGTCAATCCTGCAGATCGGAAACCTGGAGCTGGACGACAGTCGCTCAGGGCAGGAGCATGCACGCTTTACGAACGCGTCGCCGCAGATCGAGAAGGTGTGCCACGTGCTCGGCGTGCCCGAAGCTGAGTTCACCAACGCGCTCGTTCGGCCGCGCGTCAAGGCTGGCCGAGAGTGGGTCACGCAGGCGCGTACGCGCCGCCAGGTGATTGACGAGATGGCCGCACTGTGCAAGACCATGTACGAAAAGACGTTTGCGTACATTGTCGATCGAATCAACAAGGCGCTCGACCGCCCAACGAGCAAGAGCACCTTCATCGGCGTCCTCGATATTGCCGGCTTTGAGATCTTTGAGATCAACTCGTTTGAACAGCTCTGCATTAATTACACGAACGAGAAGCTGTGAGTCGGTCGGATACGATCGGAGCTTACCGCGTGCGCCCATGCTGACCTCACATCCTACCCCCTCGCTAGGCAACAATTCTTCAACCATCACATGTTCGTACTGGAGCAAGAGGAGTACGCGAGAGAAAATATCGAGTGGGACTTTGTCAACTTTGGCCTTGATCTACAACCTACGATTGACCTAATTGAATCGACCACCCCGATCGGTATTCTCTCCTGCCTCGACGAAGAGTGCATCATGCCCAAAGCGACAGACATCACCTTCACCGAGAAGCTAACCCGCATTTGGGGCACGGCCAAGGACGGTAGCGCAGTGGATAGCGTCGGGGCTGCGATCGCAGCCGAGCGCGGTGTAGCGCACGGCTCGACTAAGTTTGCACCTGCTCGCTTCGCCCAGGGCTTCACTGTCAAGCACTATGCCGGTGCCGTCGAGTACCGCACGGACGGGTGGCTCGACAAGAACAAGGACCCGCTCAACGATAACCTCACGCGCGTTATGTCCGAGTCGACCGATCGCTTCATCGCGACACTCTTTGCCGAGTATGCCGTTGAGGACGACCTGCCCATCTCTGCCGCCAGCGCCGGGCCCGCACAAGGCGCCGGGCCCAAACGGCGTATCAAGCGCGGCGCCTTCCGCACCGTCAGCCAGAGGCATAAGGAACAGCTTGCGTCGCTCATGACGCAGCTCGGCTCGACACAGCCGCATTTTGTCCGCTGCATCGTGCCCAATTCGGAAAAGAAGCCGGGAAAGATCGAGGTGCCGCTCGTACTGGAGCAGCTGCGATGTAATGGTGTGCTCGAGGGTATCCGCATTGCCCGTTTGGGGTATCCGAACCGCCTGCTCTTCTCCGAGTTCCGCAACCGCTATGAGGTGCTCACACCTGGCATCATCCCGCGCGGCTACATGGATGGGCGCAAGGCGTGCCAGCGGATGGTCGAGGCGCTCGAGCTCGACCGCGCAACTTTCAAAATTGGCACATCCAAAATCTTCTTCAAGGCCGGTGTGCTCGCGGAAATGGAGGAGCGGCGCGACAGGCTCCTCTACGACATTTTCTCGCGCTTCGAGGCTGCTTGCCGCATGTTCACCGCGCGGCGGCAGATGAAGAAGATCCTCAATCGCGCTGCTGCAATTCGCACGATCCAGCGCAACGCCCGCGTCTACGCCCAGCTGCGCGAATGGCCCTGGTGGCAACTGTACACCAAGGTACGACCGCTGCTCAGCGCGACCCGTCACGACGAAGAGCTCAAGCGCAAGGAGATGGAGCTTGCGCTCGTCACCGAGCGGGCCCAGCGCGATGAGCAGGAGAAGCAGAAGCTGGAGGCGCTCAAGCACTCGCTCGAGGCAGAGAAGAAGAAGGTCGAGGATGCGCTAGAATCCGAAAGAGCCTTGTTGCTTGACAAAGACCAGCTGCTGCAGAGGTCCAAGGAGCGAGAATCAGCTTTGGAGGAGGATTTGGCGGCCATGCAGGCTGACGTCGACTTGCTCGAATCGCAGCTGGAACGCGCCATGTCGGCCCAGCAGCTGGCGGAACAGTCGCACAAAGAGCTCAAAACCGCATTCGACGCTGCTGCTGAGCATCTCCTGCGGCTAGAGTCCGACCAAAAGGTCTGGGCAGAGCGTGAGCTCGAGCTGTCCGGACATGTCGACCAGCACAATGCGGACCTCGAGCGGCTACAGGCGGAACATGCCGCTATGCAGTCGGAGAAGGAAGCCCTGCAAAGGAAGCTGGCCGAGCGAGAAGAGGACGTCGAGCGTGCGCAGGCAAGAATGGCTTCCGCTGTCGCTGACCTCGAGAAGCGACTTGCGGATGAGAGTGCCGCCAGGGAATCTGAGAGAGTCCGTCTCAGCAGCCTGGAGACGCAGACGCGCCAATCTTCGCATCAGCTGGCAGAGCTAGCGCGTGCTTCGAGTGCCCATGAGGAGGAAGTTAAGAAGAAGCAGAGCGAGCTCGGGCAGCTACGTGCCCAACTCAACACCTTGCAACAGGAGCGCGACCTACACATCAAGACCGCCGCAGACCACAAATCCAAGCTCGATACGGCACTCTTTGATCTCAGCGCAGCTCGCTCTGAGCACCAGCAGACGGCCAAGGTGCGAGCCCAGCTGCAAGCAGAGCTCGACGAGACGCGCAAGTTGATGACGGCCAAGTCCAGCGAAGATGAGACGCAAAAGCAACTGCAGCGGATGCAAGCTGAAGAGCTTGCCACTCTCCGTCAGCAATTCTCCCAGGTCCAAGGAGATCTTGCGCGTGCACAGCACAGCTCTACTGAGGAGACCAACAAACTAAAAGCTGAGGTTGCTGCGTTGCGCGAAGAGCATGCTGCTGTCTCTCGCGATCACGTTGATGCGTCCACCAAGCTCCAAGGCCACGAGAAGAAGCTCATGGACATGAGTGCAGCTCTGACTGTAGCTGAAACCGCCCGACGGACAGCCGAAGGCGATATGCGGGGCATTCAAGACAAGCATGAGGCCGCACAGGCAGCGCTGAGCGAGGTCAGAAAGGCGAGAATGGACCTTGAGCGTCAACTCGCCGCCGCCACGAGCAAACATCAAGGCATGGAGGATGCGTTGCTCGAACTCGAGCGAGCTCAGGCAGAGTGGAAGACGAAGCATGAGCACATCTCAACAGAGCTGTCGGCCGAGACCAAGCGGCGAGAGCTTCTACAGAGTGCCGTCAAGCAGCATGAGCGGCAGATCGGCACATTTGGTCAGCAGATGACGACTAAAGACAATGAGCTGGCTCAGCTGAAGGAGCTGCTCGGCAACACCCAGGCGGAGCTCAAGAAGGCGCAATCCATGACCAACAAGACTATCGTCGAGCACGTGCATGTGCTAGAGGAAGCTAAGAAGTATACGGACCGGCAACTGGCCGAGACGCAGAGCAAACTGCAGGAGCTGGCGCATTATACAAAGACTCTCGAGAAAAGCAAGGCGCGTCTGCTGTCAGACAACGAAGACTTGACCCGTGAGCTCAGTCAATTACAAAAGGGCGGCAGCAGCATGGCGATGCGAAATGCCGAGCCTGCGTCCAAGAAGCTTGAGGCGGAAGTGAGCAAGCTGAGTGCTCAGCTAAAGGATGCCAGGAGGGAACGCGACGAAGCTCTCTCCAACGCACGGCGAAAGGACCTTCAAGTCGACGAGTCCCTCAGCCGCACCCGGCAACAGTATGAGGCCCGCATCAACGAGCTTGAGAAGGAGCTCAAAGGCTCGCAAGCAGCTCGAGGCCATACCTTCATGAATTTAGAGGAGTTGGTGAAGCGGAGTGCACAAACTGGCGGCGATGACTCTTCTTTCCGTCGACGACTCCTTGAAGAGCTTCGCATGGGACACGATGAGCTAGAGCAGGACATTGCAGCAAAGGCGGATCTGCTGCGGAACCACAAGATGAACGGCTCGACTCCGAAAAAGGAAAAGCCGATCTACGCCTTTGGTAATGTCACTCCATCGGGTGGGAACGTGAAGCGCGCGTCGCTCCAATTTGGTGGCAGCGGCGCGACAGCCCAGTTCGCTGCCGAAGATGCACAGCGAGCACAGGCAGATGCGCAAAGCTTGCGCAATCAGCTTACCGCCCTGGAGCTTCAGCTCTCTGCAGGTCAGAGGGTGCGTTCCCATCTCGAGGCCCAGGTGCGAGACCTGACAAAGGATATCGAGGCACGTGGCGGCGCCTCGTTCTCCATTGAGGCTGCGCGAAAGAAGCTCACCCAAGATAATGCTCGTCTTGCCGAGCTGCTGCGGGAAGAGGCTGAAGCGCGCAAGTCGGCTGAGGTCGCGCTGATGAATGGCGAAGCGTCGCTGCGCAAGGAGTTTCAGGAGCGCCTTGCCAATTTATCTGGCGATGCACGTGGTGAGGAGATGCGTCGAGCACTCCTTCGTCAACAAAAACAGACAAGCGGGGAACTTCAGCATGCGCGCGAGGATCTTGCAAATGCACATCGGATCCGAGCCGCGATGGAAGCCCAGATTGCCGACATTCGTCAGCAACTCGACCATGAGCGAATGAGCCGCAATGAAGAATTGATGGAGAAGCGTCGCCTCCAAACGCAGCTGCAAGAGTTGCAGATCAACTCCGCTTCTTCTTCACATGCTGTTGCCGAAGCTCACGATGCCGCGCGCATGTACAAGGCCAGGGCCGACGACTATCACTCGCAGCTGGAGAACCTAGAGATGGAGAAGCTCAAAGCACAGAAAGCGGAGAACTTTATCAAGCTCACACTCGCGGACACGGAGCGCACCCTGCAGGACGCATTTGCTGAGCGCAAGGCAGCTGAGGAGCATATCCAGTACCTCGAGGCGCAGCTGCGCGAGTTCCGGGCTCGCCTCGGACACCAAGGCATCGACTTCCACCAGGTAGAGGAGATTAGACGTCGTGCAGCCGAAGAATTCGACACGGAGCGACGGCGATATCGGGCGGATATCGACAGCCGCGATGCGGCGCTGCAAGACAACCGGATCCGCTTTCAGCGTGAGCTGGAGATCGTCACGGCAGAGATGGAAGCGCACCGAACGGCACTGAGCGAGCTGCGCAGTGAGAACCGCGAACTGGTTCAGCAGCGGGATGAGTTGCGAATGCAAGTGGAGGACACACGCTCTTCGACTGGAGGCTGGCAGAAGGAGAAGAGCATGCTTGAGGGCAAAGTGCAGGATTTGATGCAAGCATATCAGGAGTCTCTGCAGGGTCAGCGCGATGGCCAGGCGCAGTCCGCCACCCTTTTGTCGCAGATCCGTGACCTTCGGTCGACATTGGACGAGAGCGAGCTGAAGTACTCGCAACTGCAAGCTGCGTGAGTGCATTTCGATTGATCCATCGTACGCATTCGCTAATTGAACATTTTGCAACTTTTGCTCTTTGCAGGTACAATTCGCTCGTACAAGAAGCTGGCGTAGATGAGGAAATGATCGCGTCGCTGCAGCGGGCGGTGGAACGGTACAAGTCGCAGGCGGATGAGCATATGGCCAGTTGGCGCAAGAACACGCGCGATCTTGAGCAGCAGACGGCGCAGCTGCGTTCGCAGGCGACGCTTCGTCGGCCTGGTTCGAGCACACCGGCAGAATCCGCGATTGGGTCCACCAGTCCATCGAGGATGTCCCGGCAGTACTGAGAGGGAGGTGTCGAAGGGGAAGAGATGTCGATTGCGCGACCTATTCTTTGGCGCGTTATGATTCATTGCCGCAACTTGTTATGTATGCATATGCAGGCAGGATATGAATAATGTCCATGTAACGATGTATTGAGCGCCTGCGGCCAGTGGCGACTGGCGAATCTCGCTCGGCTGGAGGCGTCTAGAGTGCATACGGCGAGCCAGGCCAGGATGACGAAATGGTGCGTGTTTAGTGAGTATCCAAGAGGCGAAGGGAAACTACTCTTTCATCCAGCATGGAACCCGTGGGCTCGTGACCTGGCCTCCAAAGGAAGCAAGGGTCAAATCTAGCTTTACTAACTTGAGCAGGCTGGCCCTCCCCGCGTTTTTTTGCCGAGGTGACCGGAAAATGTGTGGGCCCCCGCCGGAAACCCCGGAAACACGGTGACTTCTGAGCCCCAGAAAGGCCCGAAAAGCCACCGTGTTTAGGTCTCAGGCCTGGTCCCTGAAGGGGTTCCCCGAGGTGTTTGGTTCCGTGGCCCGGTATTTGCCAGGTTTCCTGCTCCAGTTTTTTGACGAGAAAGCTGGCGGCTCCGGCAGAGTGCCTTAGCCGGGATGAGGCATGAGCGCGTTCCCGTGCCCGGCACAATCTATCCCTGCTCACTGTCCCGTCTCACTTTCAGGCACGGCCGGAAGAAGCGATCATTCTCTCCACGGGGACCCACTTTCCAACGGTGCACTCGTCTCCCCACCTCAATTCAACGCACTCCTCATGGCTCGGCATCTTTGCAGGTTGCACAACGGCCAGACATCATCCCTTCTTCGCATGCCATGTACTCGGCGGGCAACTAACCCGCCGCCTGCGGAACAATCTCCCGTCGAACCGCGCACCCCCGCTCTCTGCATCTCGCCCTGCGTCACCGATCCGCATTCCATCACGGTCGACATGACGGCGCAGCAGCACGACGAGCTCGTCCGCTCGCAAGTTACCGAGTCGAACCGGCGCTTCAGCACAGGTTCCGGCGGGCGCAAGCCGCCGGTGGATCCCGCAACGGGAAAGCTCATTCCACGCTCGAGCTGGTGGGGCTTCGACCGGGTCGCGTGGAGCAATACCAAGGCCATGTCGCTCACGTTCGACATCTGCGCGGTCTCGTGCTTCCTCGTGTTCAACGCGTCTCAAATCGGCAGAGACTTCTACCACTGGCTCAACGCCAACTACACGCCGTTCCAGATTGATTTCTACTGGACCTTCGGCATCACCACCGTCCTGTACTGGGCCTTCGCCGTGCTGTACGCCGTTGTCGACTTGACATCGTGGCCTGCCGCGGTGTTCCAGTACAAGGTGCAGCCGTTCCAGCGTGTGGGCTTCAAGGAGTACGGGAAGATTGCCGTCCGAGTCCTGTGGAACCAGGCGCTTGTCACGCTCCCGCTTGCTTACTTCAAGGCCAGGCTGAAACCGAGCGACGCGCGCGTCGAGACGCTCCCCGGTCCACTGACGTCGATCGCCGTCATCATCTTCAACATTCTCTGCACCGAGATCGGCTTCTTCTACGTGCACCGCTTCCTGTGAGTGCCAATCCTCGCTCTCTCCCTTTCTCTCTCTCTCTGTCTGCACTGGAGGAGAATGAAGCAACTTAGTCGCGACTCTTCTGCAATTATCACAGACACTCTCCGGGGTATTACCAAAAATATCACAAGCAGCACCACGAGTACACCGCCCCCGTCGGGCTAGCAGCTACGTACTGCACAGCAGTCGAGCATCTATTCTCTAACCTGCTTCCCAACACCATCGGCACAACGATCACGCAATGCCACTGGAGCCTGACCATGTTTACGTTCTGCTTTTTGGAGATTGAGACGAGTGAGTCACGGTCCCTTCTGTCCCTTTGGAGGATCATCGGCTGAGTGATGCAAACGGCTTCCTTCGTGAAATAGTCATGGCGCATAGCGGCTACAACTTGCCGTTCACGCACTCTTCCCTTAATCACGAGTGCGTCGCCATTTTCCCTTCCGAAGGATCGTGCACAAGCTCATTGCACCATCGCTTCCTCTCCGCTTTGCATCGTCTCGCTCATTCAGCTTCCATCACTTTGCGTGAGTGTACCTGCGGCCCCATGTGCCTCGTTGCCAATTAGCTCACCACAGATGCTCTGCTCTGTTCGCTTGTCCCACCGACAGCTTCAACGAGAACTTCGGCCCCATCGGCCTGCTGGACGGCTGGTACGGCACGAATAAAAAGTTCATTCGTGCGCTCGAAGATGCCAAGGTCCGACACAGAGGGGACGAGGGCAAGGCGCGCGCCGAGCTGCTGAGCAAGATCGCCGAGGCAGACCTGGCGGCTGCCAACCAAGGGAGAGAGGCGAAGAAGGACTGGTGACACGTATTCCAAGGTTGCTTTCCGACGGAATAGCATGGGAGAAGCATACGTTTCTCTTCGTCAAGCAATCGCCATTGTGATCAAACGTGGCGCAATGAGACCGATCTGATGAGGCTGTGTGAGCGGTAGTGCGCAATGTGTGCCACATGCTTTTGGAATGGCCATATGTCGGGGCCATGGGATGCATTCGGCCCAGCTACCTACTCGTCCAAACCAGAGCAGTCCTCGCTGTATGGAGAGCCGGACGTGAGATTCTTGTTGTAAATCTCGTAAATGAGGTCTGTTGCAGGTGGGAACGTCGGTGACAGTGGTCAGTACTGGACATTGCCGGTGCAACAACACTGCTCACCATAGTGGCGACCTGGGTAGTCGAATTCGTCTCCGAGGTCTTTCGAGATGCCAGAAAGCCCGTCGTGCTCCCAGCAGATGAGGACGTCTGCGCGTGGCGCAACAGTGGACGGTGGAAAAGGATGATCTCATCAGCGCCGCCCATGGAGCGCGGTCCCTTTTTCCAAAAAGCAGGCACAGGGATGCGCTACTCACCAGCGTCGGAGTGATCCGCAAAGTCGCTCACAGCGTCCTTGATGCAGACGGGGTCGTCGCGGTCGCACGACGTGTCGACTTTGAGGCCGAGCGACTCGGCGAGCGGCTCGACCGTCTCGTACGGCCTGTCCCTTGAACCGTCGACCTTGTACTGCTGTGCCATAATGTAGCCGATGTTATAGCCATTGGACTGCGAGAAGACGTTTACGAGGCACTTGGCGCGCTGCTCGCCCATGCTCGACAGCCCCGGCGTGTCGTCGTCCGCCGGCTTCTCGCCGTGTCGGATGAGGAAGACCCGGTTTGAATACGCCAAGACGAGAGTGGTGCTCATGGCCAGTGCGGCGAGGACGACGGTGCGGTGCATGCTGAGAGCTGGCTTAGGGGGGGCTGATGTGGCTGGTGATGGACCGCAAGAGGAGACAGCCACAGGAAACCACAGTGCCCTTCTTCGGAGTCAATGCCCTTGCATGCATCTATATGTATTTAAAGAGGATGTGACATGTGAGAGACCGAACGTGCGCACTCTGCAGTCTGCATTGATGTTTGGTGCGCATCATGTATCAGTAGGTCGGGTCGGTGTCGGGCCGCCCTGGGCTCCTTTGGGCCTGCTGCAGTTCTCGTTCAAGTGCGAGTATGAATGAGCGATCCGTAGTGCAGGTTCCTGCAAATACACGGTGAACTCTCTCTTTCCTCATTCCTTGCTTGTTCTCGTCCCATTAGCCTATCAGTCCTGCGGCAAGTCGACATAGGTATGTATGTACAATTACAAATCAAAATCGCCATGCCTCATGCTGCCCTGTGGGCTCATGAGGCTGGTTGGATGACCAATGGTTCGCGCGGACCGGAGAATTTCAAGGGATCTCTACACCGAGTTGCCGCCGGCTGCTGCTGGTTGGGGAGCGATTGCAACTTTGTGCAAGGGCCAAAAGGAGGCAAGCGCCATGCTGATTGAGTTATTGCTAGTTACCATAACAAGGCAGCCGAAGCTGGCAAAAGGCGAGAGTGGCGCGAGAGAGCAGAGGCGCTGCAGCTGTATGAACAGTGTACCATGACGTTCTTCCAGGCCTCTCCTTCGACAGTCGACTCTTCTATCTTGGCCACCTCACCGCCTTCAAGTACATATTTCACTGGTCTGCCGTGTCTTTTCCTATTTTTTCTGTTTCCCACCGAGACTGGCGACGAGGAGGTCACGGGCTGTTATGAGGAGAGACCGTACGTATGCGCCAAACCTGCCGACCCTCACCAGTTCATTTGTCTGTGCTCTGCGGCGGAGCACTGGCAGCGTGCCCATTCGGGCCTCCAGGATCCCGCTGCCCAGCGGCATCCACATGCGATAGGTATATAGAATGGGTGGGAACTGGGAGAGATATGATCAGAACATCATGCAGAAAGATGAAAGGGCAAGCGTGCACCACATGCTAAAAACCAGAGGGGCGCACTTTACCTGAAGCATATGCATCAACATGTTGAGAGAGTGAACCTGGAGCGGAGCGGCACAGTGCAGTTCAGTGTACTTCAGTCATGGAACGTGACTCGCGCTGCTCCGTTCTCGTTCACTTCGCGTGAATGGCCATATGCCACCCTTGCCAGCAGCCACGCCCAGTCGCGAGCGTCCCTGTGAATGCCGTGCATCGCGTGATGAATGGGCCATTCTCAGATCATAGCGTAAATGTATCAGGGGCTTAGCGACTTTTCCCATCACTACGCCATCTTGGGGCTCTGCGCGCAATGTACCTTGCACATAGCGCAGTGTACAAGACACACTCTCCTCCACGAGAGTCATACGAAAATCGTTCGCAGGCTCTGGGGGCGCATCTTGTCGCTTGCCGTGTATACGGCGCAGCATGGAGCAAGCAGCTCGGCTTCCGTCGATTCCTTGCGCCCAGGCGCGGGCGACTACAGGTGACCGTCAAAGCCAGGAGACAAAGCGCTCCAAGCAAAGCCACAGAGACCAGCGCAGAGGCTCAATGCTCCTAGACTGCTCGCGACAGCGGCGGAAGCTCAAGGCGGATTTCGCAGGCAGAGATTTGAGTTACCGCATTAACGAGTGTCAGTTACCAGGGACCGCTGGAAAGCCTTTCAGTTAGTAGACACCGCTGGGTGAGAACGAATGCTTGCAGCGGGGCCCGCCCTTCGTTGTGATAAAAGGAGCCTGTGAATGCGCTTGCAATGTTCCATCTAGTAATCACAGATCGTGCAGGAAGGTATGTTTGCACGCAAGCGCGGCGACCCTCTCAACGCTTGTGCATTGCGAGAGATGCTATGCGCCTCTGTTCCATACATGAGGCGCCAAATGCAGGCGAGGCCCCGGTCAAGAGCGATTGCACCGCTTGTAGCACCAAAAAGCCCGAGAAATGATCTACTTCTTGACCCTGACAGTGTCCCAGGCTGACCTCTCCGCAGCCTCCTTCTTCGCCTCCTCAATGAGAGGTGTGAGGTACCGAATGTCCTTCATGTTATAGATCGAGAGTGGGATGCCGGACCAGACGTCAGTTTCCGCTCTTCGGTTTCACCGCGGCAGAGAGGACCCGAAACACCTCACCTGCTCAGGCTTAAGCCACTTGTCCTTGGGCAGCTCGCGCTGCAAGACGGAGAGCTGAGATGCTTGACGCATGCGGAATGCGCGGTCGTATGCTTCACGCTGAGACAGGCGTGAAATTGCCTGAAAAGGGGAAGAGGCAGGAGTCAGCAGTTGGCGCCGGTGAACTCATATGCGAGAAGAGCCAGCGGGTGTACGGATTGCTGCACGTAGCTTAGCCATGCGTACGTCAACCGAGTTTGTTAATTCGAAGCTCAACATAACGAATTTGCGCATGCCATCATTCTCGTCCAAGATCAATACCGGCGTCCGTCCCACGGCTCATGGACAGGTTTTTCCGAGGTGGAAAAAGCCAGTTGCTACAGCCCACCAAAACCGTTCCTTCTATATGCCATCAAAGGCCCCTTTCAACGATGGAAGCTCACCTTTTGGGTCTCTGGGTTCTCCTCCATCACCAGGTCATCGTACTTAAGGCCACGTTGCCTGTGGCCGGCCCAGTTGGCGTATGCGTTGGCCACCGGGCGGACCATGCGCATCAGAGCCGGGCTCTGCTTGACATACTTGGCGAGTGTGATACCGTCCTGTCCGAAATGCAAGACAATAAATGCATATCGGGCAAGCAAAGCGAGCGTCCAGGTTGGTACGCGCGAAAGGGGGCAAAAGGGAAAGAGAGGAAGAGTGTTCGCGAGTAAGCCATCGGATTGAGGTGACAAGGACTTGGCGGTACATCCCGCGCCCAGGCGACGTTGCCGGCGACGTCGGGCCATCGAGCTATGCTGATACTTACGAGGAACGACATGATGAAGCGATGCAGGCTCTTGGCTGGGTGACTGCTGCCTAACAACCAGGCTCGTCAATGTCAAGAAGGCCTTTGGATGAAGGACGGGCTTGGGGGACGTTGGCGGTCTGCTGCTCGGAACCAGCAGGAGAACGAAGCAGGAGGCTGGGTTTACAAAGGTTATATAAGCATTGGCCGCTTGCATCACCAAAATGACTTTCTCGTCCAACGCCCAGGTGGCAAGGGGCTCATGAACGCTTGAACCTCCTGTATGGCGAGGCGACGTATGTACGTGCTATGATCTCGGCTGCCAAGGGCAAATTTTCGCGCTGTTGTCACACCGCTGAGGCATCATGAGCCGGTCGCCTCCCGAACTTGCGCTTGCATTACGGCAGCTGCATCCACGGCGCGGCTGGTTGACAGCTCAGTCATGCCGTCTAAGAAGACACCTCTCATGCAGCCAGCGGCTGCTCGCCAAGACGGATACGATTGTCGTCCTTGGTGGCGGTATCTCGGGACTGGCATCTGCGCTGCATCTGTCGCGGTCTTTGCCGAAGGGCAAGAAAGTCATCCTTGTGGAAAAAGAAAACCGACTGGGAGGATGGATCCAGTCTGAAAGGCGACGACTGACACCGCCAGCAGGCTCTACAGAGATACAAGAAGAAGCGGTATTGCTGGAAGGTGGGCCACGAAGCATACGGCCGACTGGGTATAGCGGTCTGGTCATGTTAGACCTTGTGCGTAGTCTCTCGAAGAATACATGGCTGTCTTTATTTGCCTTCGCACATCTAATTCGTTCAACGCGCACTTCATCGAGCAGGTGCGATCACTTGGCATCTGGGATCGCATGCTCCTCGTTCCCAAGACTGCCGCCTCCGCGCGTAACCGTTTCATCTGGTACCCTGACCTCCTCAATCAATTGCCTTCCAGTCTAACCGCTTTGCCGAGCATGTTCCGCCTGCCAGTGATGAAAGGCGTGATCGGCGAGTTGCTGCGGGAATTCAACGCACCGTCCCGCTTCCAACGGCCCAAGTCTGAGTCGCCAGGCGAGAAGCACCGATGGGCACGGAGAGAGCTGCTGGAAGACGAATCTGTTGAAGGCTTCCTTACGCGGAGAGTGCGTGGTGGCACAAAGCTTGCGCACAACATCGTCTCTGCCGTTATGCACGGCATCTACGCCGGCGACATCCGTCGACTCAGCGTGCGGTCCATCCTAGGCTTTCTTTGGGAGACCGAGAAAGTACATGGAGGTCTCCTACGAAGGTTCTTGCTTCCGCCGAGACTCAACAGCAGGCATCGGCCACCCGGTCCTGAGCAGATCGCACTGAAAGCCCAGGAGCGAGAAGCGCTCGAAAGGGCGCAGGAGAAGCTTGGTAAACAGGTTGTCAACGAGATGAAGCAGATCAGCGTCTATTCCTTCCCTGAAGGCATGCAAGAGCTACCTCGAGCAATAGGAGAGGCGCTTGGGGCTGCAGAAAATGTTCAGGTCCTCACAAACACATCTTGCTCTGCTTTGCGAATCGCAGACGACGGATGCGTGGCGGTGAATCTTATTCTATCTACGTGCACTTTGTTCGGAGGCGAGTTAATCTTAGTTCCATTTTATAACAGGTCAAAACATCTTCCGGTACCATTGTCTGCGATCGCGTAGTGTCCAGCCTTCCAGCAGCGACACTCAATGCACTTTTGTCGCCTGCGCTCCCGGAGCAATACTTGACAGGAGGAGCGTCTGCAAATGTTGGGGTCGTCAACATCGCCATTCCATCCTGGCTGCTGGGCGATCGGAAGCGCCTGTTAAAAGTTGAAGGCTTCGGCTTCCTCGTCCCGCGTTCCGTGAATGAAAACAAAGACGGCATACTGGGCGTTGTATTCGACAGCGACTCACTGCCGGCTCAGGACGTGCCGCTTGGTGGCAGCACGAGCGCAAGAACGCCAACAAAGCTAACGGTCATGATGGGCGGTGCGCACTGGCAAGATTTACCACGCGATCAGCTTCCAAGTCAAAAGGCGCTCATAGAAGGCGCTAAAGCGGCTGTCGTGCGCTACCTAGATGTGCCGCATGAGATGCTGGACGATCCTTCGACGCTCATAGTAGCACGCATGCAGTCGGACTGCATACCGTGGTACACTGTCGGGCACCCTGTGCGCATGGCGAAGCTTCACCGCGCCATTCTCGATGGATACCACGGCCAAGAGGCACCATGGAAGGGCAGACTGGCGCTCGTAGGCGCTAGTTACACCGGTGTGAGCGTGAATGATTGCGTTGCGAGGGCCACCGAGACGGCGCAAAAGATCGTTGAGGAAGAGACCAGAGGTGCTGGTTCCGAGCGCAAGACGACCGGGCTGGAAATTTTGGCGCTGCCGTGCGGGCTGCTTTGAAGGCCTCAAATATTAAAAGAGTGCTGTTGTGTGATGTATGATACACTTAAAGTCAATGCGAGGTGCGAGATGCTCTGCTTCATTATGCAGTCAGTCTTGCGATTGCCCCACGCCGCGATTATTTGGCAATAGCGCTCCTTCGACCAAGTCCTCCTCTGCTTCCTGGTCGTCAGCATCATCAATATCATTCCCTTCTTCCTCTTCCTCTTCCTCGTCCTCCTCTTGTTCTTCAATATCCCCCTCGTCCTCCTCCTGCTCGTCCTCCTCTTCACCGTCCACCAGCATCGAGTCTCCGCGGACTTCCGCCGAGCCGATTGCTTTCTTCCCCTTCTTCTTGCTGGCGCCGCCTTCGACGTCGTCCGATGTGGATGCCTTGTCTGCTGCTTTCACCTTTGCGGCCGCGCGTTTTGTCTTCTGCAGCTTTTGTTGTGCTGTGGGAGAGGAAAGAACCAATTGAAGATCGGGGAAAGAGCATGCTCAGATGATGAAACAATTGAACAGCCTCGGAAAGACAGCCACTCATACCTTGAAGCTGCTTCGTGAGAGCTGTGAACATCTCCTCCGGCATGTCGATCTCCTGCACAGCGAGCAGCACGTCTTGCCCGGTAACAGTTTTGCGGCCGTTCTCATTCGAGCGATCTTGTGCGGCTGCAGCTGGTAGTCAGAACGTAAGTATAAATCAATTGATGCGTTGGTCGTATTAGCTCTGGTACTCTCAGGCATAGGCCAAATGTATAGGTGTATTTGAGAGAACACACAAAGATAGTTGATGAAGACTGTCGCTGATTTGATCAGGGCCGTCTGGACATCCTTGCGGAGCTGCACGTTGGCGGGCATCTTAGAATTGATCAGCACAAGAGGGAAGTCAGCGTGTCGAGCAAGACATTCCAAGCGCGGCAGTATTTCTCCACGCACCACGCTCTTGGCCAACTTTGCGACTTGAGACTTGGGCAGTTCAAAATTGTCCATGCCGAGCGTCTCGACTTCGGCCGCTTGTTTGCCCGAGTAGGAGGAATCTTCTGCGCCTGCGCCGCCGTTGGCTGCTTCCGCGTACTCGGACAATTGCTCTGCCTTCTTACGCGGCATCGTGTTGAGATGTTACTTCTTCTTGACTGGGTGGCTCGCTCGTCTGGCTGACTTGAGAGGGTGAGTAGTCTGGCTGCGGCTGTAATGGGGCGCAACGATCAGACGACAACTGGTTGTTTTCAGAGCGGTTTACCTTCTGTCACGCCAAGATGAGGGTCGGTCGAGCGAGGCGCGGTCCACGCTGCAATCAGCTCCCGTTATCGATGAGCTGAAGCAGAAGCGGATGCTCCCATGGGCAGCATCCAGCACAGCTCCTTCATCTGCAGTCATGTCGCGTCACGTGTTGGCGGCTCTGAGCCAGAAGTGTGGAAGGGAAACGGCACTGGATGACAGCAGCACGCGTCACTCGTTCCGCCCCAGTGAGAAGTTAAACGACTCACACCTTTCTTTTTTTTGGCTCAAGGCGGTGCGTTCAAGGCAGCAAGCAGGTATCTTTTGGCCACCCACTCTTCTCGTATCTGGTCTCCTATATGAGACCCATCGGCATGGGAGGGCTGGGTTCACGCGTAGACGCTCGTAGTTGATCAACAGTGTAATCCCCCGCCAAGCCGTACGGAGATTCTCGAGCCTTGTCTTCCTTGGCCGCGACGAGTTGTGACACCTGCGGGCCACCGTGCGACCGCCCCTGTTCCCCGCGATCCCAAAACCCCATCATCAACATGCTGGGCCGTCGCTCCTCACGTCTTTCCATGCGCGCTTCGCGCCAAGTCAATGAGACACCTTCTCCACCCAAAGCCTCCAGCGCCACGACCACCCTGCATAGCAACGCACCGAGGAGTACGCGGAGCAGCGCTTCGGTCAGCAGGGCTGCCACAAGCACCTGCAGTCTCAGCGGAAGCGTCACACCGGCCACGTCGGCTGAGAGCGGCAGCATTATGAAAGAAGAAGACGAGAATGATGGACTGGGTTTTCTAAGCAAAGATATCCATGACATTTCCAAAGACCTGGACCACAAGCGCAGATTTAAGGATGGTGGGCAACACGTTATCGTGAGTTTGCAAATATGTAGCTGGTGCTTAATCCCAATAGACACGTACGGTTTTGACCTACCCTTTCTCGTTCCAGATCCTGGAGAGCGAAGATGACTCAATGCTCTCTGATGTGCCAGAAGCAATGACCCCAGCGTCATCCTCCACTACTGATCACCGTAGGATGCAGGCCTCAGAAACGAGCTTGACCCCCAAGCGTCCCACACTTGCAGACTTGTCGTCCCGCTCAGCCGGCAAGGGGCTGCCAAGCGGCAACAAGAGGAAGGCCGCGGGAAAGGATAATGGCAAGGGAAAGAAGCGAGAATTGTCATCTGATTCGGACCTTTCGGATATACCTACGATTGAGAAAGTTGTCGCTCCTCCGCCAAGTAAACGAAACAAGGGAAGCGCCGAAAGATCCTCTTCGAGGTTCAGAAAATTGGAGCCAGCGTTGGGGGATAAGCCTGAGGTTCTCGAGATTGACGATTATGACGATACAGACTCGGTCACTGGAAGCGTGCTTACCAGCGATGTCTGTGATGACGACGAAGATTCCGACGATCCTATCGCCGAGATAATAGCGTTTGAGCGCGCCCAGAAAAGATATGGACGTGCTGTTCCCGCCGCATCAGCAAGTGAAGGCGGGTTTGTAGTCGAAGATGATGACGAAGGCGAAGGCGAAGGCGAAGACCAAATCGGACCCAGCACGACTGCAAATTCTGGCCCCGCCCGCGGCAGCATGCAGGAAGAGCAGCAGTACGAAACGGCCAAGCAGCGCGAAAAGAGGATCAAGCGAGAGTTGCGCGAGGCGAAGCGCAAGCAGAAGATCACTGTGTCACATGTACGTTTTCTTGCTTGCCGCGTTCATGCATGCACCAAACTGACACTTGGCTATCATTCTGACCTTCAGTACGAAAAGGTTCGCATCAAGCTGAACGCGCACCATCCTGAGCTAAGGCATTTGTGGGAAGACATGAAAGAGCTGCCGACGCGTACGCCAGTTGCAGGGCCGCAGCCGAAGGGGCTCACAATCAAGCTCCTGCCTTTCCAGCTTGAGGGTGTCAACTGGCTTGTTGAGCAAGAGAAGAGCGAGTGGAAAGGCGGTATCTTGGCCGACGAGATGGGCATGGGCAAGACCATCCAGATGATCAGTCTCTTCCTCTCCGACTACGATCAAAAGAAGGGCTCCGCGCTCGTCATTGCGCCGACAGTCGCGATCGTTCAATGGAGGAACGAGATCGAAAAGTACACGCACGGCATGAAGGTGCTCATTTGGCACGGGCAAAACAAGATGAACAGTGTCAAGGAGCTAAAAAAGTACGATGTCGTCCTTACAAGCTACCAAACACTAGAACGAGCGTTCAGTAAGCAAGTCAAAGGCTGGCGACGCAAAGGAGAGATCATAAAGGAGGACAGCGCGCTACACACGATCCACTGGCACCGAATCGTGCTAGACGAAGCACATAATATCAAAGAGCGCGCAACGAACGTTGCGAAGGCGTCTTTTGAGCTCGAAGGCGACTATCGTTGGTGCCTCTCCGGCACACCGCTGCAGAACCGCGTTGGCGAGCTCTACTCGATGATCCGTTTTCTTGGGGGCGATCCGTTCGCATACTATTACTGCCTAAAGTGCGAGTGCAAATCGCTCCACTGGAACTTCCCGGACCGCCGCAGCTGCGAGGCGTGTGGCCACACGCCAATGCATCACACATGCTTCTGGAACAACGAGATCCTCAAGCCGATCCAGCGCGGTGGCATGGAGGTTGGCGAGGGTAAAGATGCTTTTGGACGTTTACGCATCCTGCTCGAGCGCCTGATGCTACGCCGTACGAAGCTCGAACGCGCGGACGATATGGGCCTGCCGCCGCGCACGGTCGAGGTGAGACGCGATATGTTCAACGAGGAGGAGGAAGACCTGTACGAGTCGCTGTACAAGGACATCACACGCAAGTTCTCCACGTACCTTGACCAGGGTACGGTGCTTAACAACTATAGCAATATCTGTGAGTGTGCACCTGCTTGAGGAAAAGAGAAATTGAACCAGGCTGATTGTTCTTTCTCATTTTTGTTGCCATGCGCCAGTCACGCTCCTGACGAGGATGCGCCTCATGTCCAACCACCCGGATCTCGTTCTGCGCTCCAACACGGGCCTTCAACAAAACCTCCTGTCGGACGAAGCAGGTGTTGAGAACAGGGTGTGCAAGATCTGCACTGACGTCGCTGAGGACCCGATCATGTCGAAATGCAAGCACGTCTTCTGTCGCGAATGCATGCGCCAGTACCTCGAGACGGACCTTGGAGCTGGTGCTGGTTGTCACGACTGCCCTTACTGCCATGCTACGCTCTCCATCGACCTGGAACAGGAGGCGATTGACGCGCCGGCCGGCCTCTGCTCTGCTAGACAGGGCATCGTCGGCCGGTTGAACATGGACAAGTGGCGTTCTTCAACGAAGATTGAGGCGCTCGTCGAAGAGCTGACCTCGCTGCGCTCAGAGGACAAGACGATCAAATCGCTCGTCTTCAGCCAGTTTGTCAATTTCCTCGACCTCATCGCTTTCCGTCTGCAGCGCGCCGGCTTCTCTATTTGCCGCCTGGAGGGGAACATGTCGCCCGAAGCGCGCGACAAGACCATCAAGCACTTCATGAACAACCCGCACGTCACCGTTTTCCTCGTCTCGCTCAAGGCGGGCGGTGTTGCGCTCAACCTGACTGAAGCGTCACGTGTCTTTCTCATGGATCCCTGGTGGAACCCCTCGGTTGAAGTGCAAGCCATGGACCGGTGAGTGCTCCAGGTCATACACCCTCTCCGCAGGATGCTTGATTGATCGATGTGTTCAACCCTTCTCTTGCGGTCAGAATTCACCGTCTCGGCCAGCATCGCCCGATCATTGTGAAGCGCATGATCATCGAGAACAGCATCGAGGCTCGTATCATCGAGCTACAGAACAAGAAGAGCGCCATGATCGAAGCAGCCATAGGCAAGGATGATAGCGCTATGGGCCGCTTAAGCGTGCGCGACTTGCGCTTCCTTTTTACTCTCTAGGAAATTTCATGTTGCAGAATCTTTCATCCAACCAGGGTTTGACTGCTTCACTGGTGATACTAATACAATACCCGATTTCACCCACCATGCACGTAAAGCTCCGCATTCGCACAGTTTGTCCCTTCGCTTTCGAATAACTTCAATTGTAATACATTATATATGCATTCGTAAACGCAATACCGTTGGTTACATTCATCTGTCTCGCTCATCATTCCCGCTGCTTCAGAGCCTGGATATGTGCACTTAGCACTCTGTACGTGCTCCAGACCGCATCGCCTTCAACATAGCAACCTTTGAGCCATCGCCTCACTTGGTCTAACTCGCCGCCGCCGCCACCGCTGGTACAAGCCTCCTCGTTCTCGTCCCACTCGAACCCAGTTCGCGAGTGCAATACCCGACGATTGTCGAAGATGACGCACTCGCCAGGCGACATTTGTCGCACGTGGGCAAAGCGCACGTCGTGTGTCAGTCGCGCAAACGTCGAGAGCGCGCGACGGAAGAGCGGGCTGTCTGCGCCTCTGCCGCCGCTCGGTGGTGATGGTGAAGGGTGTAGCGGTAAGGGAGATTGGAAAGGCGGTGAGTAGTTGATCGCTACGAGACGCGGCATTGGGTCTTCGGCGTCTTCGTGTTGATTTGAAGATGAATTTGACGATGCGATGGGCGGGGTGAGGCACGCTGTCTTGCCGGCTGGTAAGTGCGGGAACGATGCTGTCGAAGAAGATGCAAAGCCTTGGTATGGTTGCGCGAGCTCGATTGTCGGATGGGCGAAGCGGTAGTATCTTCCGTCGTTGTTGTAGTGAAAGGAGACGGGTGTCTGCGGAGCACGAATGTGGACTAGGCCTCAGCAACAAAACGGACAATGGTCATGGAAGGGAAGATGACTGACAGTGGCAAGTGCCATGAATTCGTCCCTGTGCTTCCGCCACATCTCCTTTGCGACCGCAAAGCCATCGACAAAGAGACTCTTTCCCCCTTGCACTTGGTTCCTGAGCATGTGCAGGAACTGAAACCGTGGTGGATTCGCAAAGTAGCACAGGTCTGCGTGGAAGCCAAGATCCGAGTTGGTGTTGGCTATGTTCTTGGACTGTCGCATCGAGCGCACGTCCCAGAGAGCAGGGCCGTAGAATGTAGCGCGTATCTCTCCAAGTAGGCGAGCGACATGGTAAAGCATTGCGACTTTTCGTTCTTTCATGTTCCCGCCGTTCTGATTTGCGGTATTGAACGGGACCGAGGCGGTTGTTTGCGTTGGCACGGACGTTACGAATGCAAGGCCGTCACGCAGGAGCGTGTATGTGAGTGTGTGGAGAGCTGCGAGCCGCTTTGTCGTTTCGGCAGAAGCAATGCTCCCTTCGCCTCCTGCCGATACTGGAATCATCGTATCTGTGAGGTGTCGCTGGAGCTCGCTTTCAGGCAAGCCGATTTGATTCCAGTCAATCAGCAACGGTCCGGCACTGCCGTCCTTGGCGCCTGCCAGAGAGGCGGAGAGCCACGGCTGCGCGAGCCCAAGAACGTCTGCATGCCAGACATCATACGCCGCCGCGTCCGTGTGAGCTCGAAGAAGAGGTAGAGGAATGCGGATTTCGCGCGGTGAAGCCATAGTTGGAATAGCAGTGCGTGAAGTAGCCGTCGACGGCGCGCAAAATGTCTGCGAAAATGCGTTGGTAATTTGAATGTCCGGGCTCAGAGTCAAGACGAGCGTATCTTGCTCAATATACGGCGGTGTCCGCCTGTTCGATGATTGAGTGCTTATCAGCAAGGCAATTCGAATACATTTTTGAGAATGCACGTACAGGTCTAGCGCTTGATCCTTCACGCCTTCAACCGCATGGACCGCATCACTCGAGTGAAAGAATTTTTGGCTCGTGGTAGGGTGTATGTTGTGCTTACTCTGATCGGAGTCCAGGAGCCAGGCGTAGGAGACTTCTACCGGAGGCAAGTCGGGGTGCGATATCTGCTTGACAAGTATCCCCCGCCCGTCAGCAGATGGACGTAGACGCGTGCCACTCGCGGCATGCTCGAGCTGGAATGCTGGCTTGGATGCGTTCATCCGCTTTGACGCCAGAGACGCTCTCGAGGCCCGCGATGAGCTACATAGATGCCGCAAAGATACGCATCGAGATGTCGGCCCGGGACCTCGTGCTACACTCGCGTCGGGGCGTGTCAGAGTGATGGCGACTGGCTCCCGATAGGTAGGACGTGGGCGAAGAAGCGCCGACGAGCAGCACGCTGCCGCGCGACGGCTTGAGCTCGCGATGCAAGACATGGCGATCCGAGTCGGTCGCATCTCTCCCGTGATTCGCCCACCGGAGCCTCCAGGTCAGCATGAAGCGGGAAAGGTTGACGTGCGCAATGTATAGAAGGATCATGGTCCATCTTCCATGATTCTGCCTGACTGGGACGGGTCAACAAGGTCTATCTACTCCTAATTCCGGAGCCGGGATCTGCGTCCGGTCCGGGCGATAACATGTAGAACGCGAATGAACACCCGGAACTCGGAAAAGAGAATTCTGCCGACTGCCCAGATTTTGGATCACAACCTGCATCTTCGAACAGCTGAGAGTGATCAGCAATCACCATGACCGCGGACATGGGGGACCCATCTGGCGCAGCAAGTGATTTGATTGGCCTTCATCAGGCATTGCAAAGGAACTTGTGACTGACCGAAGGGATTGCCTCCGCTACTTTCTGCGCTGTGAACTGTGCCGCATCACGTATCTGCGCATCAAACATCGACCTTCGCTAAGATGGTCGGCTCACCTCCCCCTGCTCCCTCGACTTCAGCGGAGCAGCCGCCGCGTCAGCCCAACACCGTGCGTGATGGTGATGCCCTGCAGAATTTGCAGGATGCTGGTTGGACAGATGCTTTTCATTCGTCCGATGAGCGGTCGACCACAGTACCACAGTCGGAAATGCAGACGAAGTCCCCCGAGGGGCGAGACGTTGCCTCTGGGTTCGGGGAAATTGAGCTGCAGTCTGCAGCGCAGGAAGAGATCTGGACAGCAAAAACACAGGTACAAACCGAACCACAGCAGAGTGAAGAACCAGAGATCTCAGGTCCTACAACCAGAAATTCGGAAGCGGGAGCAGCAGACGTGCAACTGCCTTCATTATCAGCGTCACAATTGCTCAACAACCTCCCTCAAGCGCCGTCACAGCCGACAGTGGCAGACCTCGGTCTGGTCACCCATTCTGTCCCTGCTACTTCAGTTCCATCAGCTTCAGAAAATCAGAATCAGGAGGTTTCGTTGCAATCCACCGTTCTGCCCAGCACAGAGCCACGAGTGCAGATGCGAGATATAGCGAAAAGAGAGCCAACTCTGCAGGAACTGCGGAAACGAGTGCAAGATGCGATGCTCACCAAAGCGGCAACTGCACAGACAAGGATGGGCTCATCAGAAGCGATAGTAAAGGCAAAAGAAGGTGCAAATGGCAATATTGGAGAGGCAGAGAACGCGCAGGAACAGACTACCCCTTCGGCCCCGGCTAGCCCAACAAGTATTGATCTGGCTCCATCGAAATCCAATGCTATCTCAAATGGAGATGTTCAAGCGATTGCAAAAACGACATTGCCAATCAAACCTGCTCTTACGGAGAAGCAAATTTCTTTCGAATGGGGCGCTCTCGCCACAGGCACAAGCCCGCGTCCGGGTATCGCCGCCATGCCCGATGCGACTCACGCAATCGCTTCGCGTCTCTGGGGCAATAATCCTAAGAAGATGGGTGGCATTGCGGTCACGACCGACCCGGAGAAGCTACACCAGGCAAAGATGGAAGTGAAGTTGGAGATACAACAACGACAACAGCAACAACAGAGCCAGCTTTCGGAGGAAGAGCGGACAAAGGCGAATGGCGCACCGGATCGCAGTGCTGGCGCTGAAAAGGTCAAGGATGCATCCAAGTTAGATACGATGGAAGAGAAGCATGTGGATGCTGAGAGTATATCGCCAACTGCCACTGCTCCTGTTGTTCAGTCGTTGCCAGTCGCCTCGCGGAAATCTTCAGATGCAGCATGGCAGCAAGTGGAAGCGGGCGAAGCTGGACCCAACGCTCCAGCTCCAAATGAAGCTTTTTCCTTTGTTGGCCCTCCAGGAGAAGAAACAGCTGGTATTGCTGAGGCTAAGCAGGCAGGTGAGGCGGAGGACACAACCGAGGGGCAAGGGGAGGTAGGAGCTTTGAGCAAGTCATATCCATCCGAGGCCGGTTTCGACTCGGACTCTGATAGCAGCAGCAGCGATGACAGCAGCAGCAGCAGTGAATCGGATTCATCATCCGATGCATCATACAAGCGTACGAAGGCCATCATCTCCCAAATGCTAGAGGAGGACGATGGCGAAGATGACGATGAAGAAGGGAGTGGTCGGCCCGGCGCGGGTGGCAAAGGCGGCTATGGCCCGACGACGAAGAACGAGACGCCAATTTCTGCCGCTGTCGGTGCTGCCAATAGCTTGCCTTTCAAACAGGTCCCTGCAGAGCTGAAGGGAGAAATCAAGTACATCGGTGTTGTGCACTCTGTCGTTGATGGTAGCGTCTGCGTCATCGAGCAAGATCTGCAGAGGGGAGGCGGAGCTGTCACGGCTCCTGAACAGCAACAGCCGCAACCATGGCAACAAGAAACGGGCGGCTACGCCCAGGCATACAGCAATAATGGCCATCAAGCCCCCCCGCCACATACACAAGGTCAGGTCAAGGAGGTTTATGCCGTGCTGGACACGGGCAGCGTGCTTTGCCTTGAAGACGGCAAGGTACTTGGCTCGGTGAGAAAAATTAGTAACCCAGTAGAAGCAAGCCAACCAATGCTGACGTTTAGAATCATTGACGTTCTGCAGGTTTTTGAGACCTTTGGCAGCGTACAGCAGCCTTTCTATTCCCTTTTACTTCCACCGGTACAGCCAGCACCCGACAACGTCAATACCGCCGCTGCAATGCAGCCTCTGGCTGTGCCAACAAAAGGTCTCAAGGTGTACTACCTCCCCTCACACTCCACATATGTGCTGACGCGCATGCTCAAGCTGCTGCCAAAAGGAAGTGACGCGAGCAACGTATTCGACGAAGAGATCGGGGACGAAGAGCGCGAGTTCAGTGATGATGAGGAAGAGGTCAGATGGAAGCAGCAGAAGAAGGCGGACAGAGCAGGCGGCGCAGGCGCCAAGAAAGGAGGGAAAACGAGGGGCTCAGGTGAGGATGACGTTGGAGCGCGTAACGCCAAGCGTTTGAGGCCAAACAATGCACCAGATGCGCTGGTCGATGGTTACCACCAGCACCCTCGGCCAATATGCATAGGAGGTCCTGCACCTCAGCGACGCGCACCCCTTCCCTACGAGGATGCGGGTAACGCGGACATCGGAGCTCCGGTACTGCAGCACAATCAACAGAATCCGCCGCCGAACAGCCACGCCGGCCCTTCTTCCCAGGCTCCTCACGACGGGTCTTCGCAGCGAGGACGCGGCCGTGGTCGCGGGCGCGGCATGCACGTTGCAGATTCTGTCCGCGGCCGACCGACCTACGCCGCGCCTAATACACTGCGGTCACCGCAGCAGCAACAGCAATTTGGCACGGTACCCTATACACATGGTCAGCCGCCCTCTGACCAGCGCCAACACATTCCATTGTCATTTCATGGCGCTCCTGGCAATCACAGTCCTGGCCATGGCCAAGGTCAGGGCCATGTCAACACCATGTTCGCCTACCAGATGCAGCTACAGATGCAGATCCAACAGCAAATGGGCATGATGCAACAAGCTCAGGGGCAGGGCAGTGGAGTGGATTTGCAAGAACAGCAGTATGCTGCCGCTGCCGCTGCCGCTGCCTTGATCCAACAGCAGCAGCAGCAACAGTATATGATGAACCCAACCGCTTATAGCTACGCGGCGCAAGGTCAGCAGGGTTACATGGCGCACCCCCCATTCCGAGGCGGTCCTTCTAACCATCGTGGACACCCGCCCCATCCTGACAACAACGGAGAGACCTACAATTACCAAAATTACAACGCTGGAGGCCAGTACCCTCGGTGAATGCACACTCACTTTTGCACGTTCGAGATGGGCACTTATATAAACAGTCAAGATTCTTTAAACATTCACTCCCCACACGCATTGCAAAGCAATCCTTGTATCTTCATGCACGATCAATCGAGATAGCATTACAAATAATATCTATAGGGGCTGTAAAAGCGAAATGGGCCGCCCTAGCTCTGGAGCCGCATCATTGCCGAACGCCTGTAGTTCCCGAGGGCTCTTGGGAAGGTGGAGAAAATTCATCCTCCGCGGAGACGAGACTATCATCTTGAGCCGTTCCATACGAGAACTGCGATGTATCAGCGGTATGTTGCCGTGAGTGGAGAGAGCCACTCCGCGCCAGCTGTTCAGCAGTGGACCACGAAACGGGTGATTGTGTAAAACCCCCGTACGCTGATGGGCCCGTCGGTAGGGACATAAAGCTTGTCGGAAAGCGCGCAGCCGGTGATGTTGTCACCCCATCTGTATGCGCGGTCGAGCCTGCTGCTGTCGGAGATGATGGCTGGATGTGCTCTTGAGGCGTGTCCCCTTGCTGCTCTTCTGGCTCGTAGATGATCTCCTCTTGCAAATGTGAGAACGATCTCCGCAGCTGCGCCGCTTCAATGTCATGACCATGTCCACTGTCTGCCATTTGCTGGCGCTCCGGCTCCGGCACCCGCTCTGCCGCCGCCGCCTCTTCCTCTTCTTCGTGCTTTTGCTCGACAGTTGACAAGCGTTTTCGCCTGAGCGTCTTCTTGATCGAGACAGGGAGCAGCTTGTCACGGATGGATAAGCGGCGATGCGCCTTCTTCTGTGGCTTGGGCGACAAGTCTTCTGCGCTGAAGTTGTAGCCACGATTCGGTCGTGCTTCGCCCGTGAGCATGTCAAAGTGGGTGCTGCTCGCGCGACTCTGAATTGGCCGCAAAGCGTGCGTCTCGTGCACCCCGTCTGTATCGGATGCAACGGAAGCGTTGCGACTGTGGGTAGGCAGTGGGATGATGTACTCCTCTGTAGGGTGACGCCCAGGCATGTACGGATCGCGGACAAAGTCGTGCTTATTATCGACCTTGTGGACGTACCGCAGAATGTCGATGTCCGTCGGGAGGTAATTCGTCCGATATAGCATCCACAGGTACCGAGGAAGAAGCGAGGCCACCATGCAGAGAGGTCCCGAGAACCAGAAGTATGCTGATCGGTAGAGAAGGTAGTTATTGCCCCATGAGTAGGTCCAAATCATGTCTGGATTGAAGGCGGCATAGATGGGGGCGAAGACGAAGAAGAGGGCCGGTCCAAACCAGACGGCCGCAAAGATCCACCACGTCCATGCTCGAGCGGCCAATCCGGTAAACAGATTGGCAATGAGGACCGACGCGATGGCCATGGCGGTAGTCCACTCATACAGGTCGATCGAGTAGCCGTCGGTGCGTGGGGTGGTCGTGTCATACATGTACGCGTAAAAGAAGTAGAGCACCGCCGACTGCCACAGCCCGTCGAGCATGTAGATCAGGAAGAGCCTGAGGCCAAAGTAGCTGCCTTTACGACTACGCTTGTAGAGCTCTGGCACCTCCATGAGGACACGATCGTCGATGTTGCGATCAAAAACGCCAACACCGATGACGGCGGCGAGTGTCCAGAAGGCGTTCCAGAGAAGCAGGTAGACGTAATCGAGGGCTTGCGTTGTGGACCAGGCGCAGTGAATCTGGAACCAGAAGAGATAGCCAATATTGATGATCTCCTTGTAGAAGAAGTTGACGATCATGGTGCCGTTGCGGTAGTATGACCAGTGGCCGTGCACGAGCAACAGCCGCTTGAGGAAGCGGAACTGTGCGATGGCATAATCTGAAGAGTTGACGGCCTGAAGACCCTCCTCGCCTGCGATACCGACACCGACGTGGGCAGCCTGCACAGCATCAAAATCAAATCACATGCAGTAGTGGTCAGTCGCTGATCATCGACAGCAGCTCGGCAATGCCGACACGCACCTGGATCATGGACACGTCATTGGCACCATCGCCGATTGCGAGGGTCATGACGCCAAGGCCGTCCTTGATGAGCCTGACGATGAGAGCCTTCTGGAGGGGACTGACACGGCAGCAGAGGACGGCCTTGCACTGTGTGGAGATGCGCAGGAGGAGGTCCTTGCTGAAGTCCTCCGCGAGCGCATGGCCGAGGGCCGTGCCGTCGATGACAAGCGCATAGCCGCCCGAGCGCTCGCCGTTTCCCTCGCCGACCAGCGAGTTGGCGCTGACGGTCGAGTTGCGGGCATGGCGACGCAGGTTGGGCCGCTCGCTGTCGTCGGGCTGTCCCTCAAAGTCCCAGTCGGGTGGCTGGTGCGCCATCTGTTGCAGCGTCTCTTCGCCGCCAAAGAATTGCTCCACGGCCTTACGCAGCTGCTCGTACGCCGAGTTGGGCTCGCCGTATCCGCCGCCGCGGACGACGATCAGGTTCATGTCCTTGGCGAGCAGCATAGTCGAGTAGCCGATGGCGATCGCAGTCTCGAGCTTGTCACCCGTCGCGACCCAGACGTTAATGCCAGCTCGCTTGAGGTCAGCAATGGTCTCTGGCACGCCGTCCTGCAGCCTGTCCTCGATCGCTGTCGCGCCGAGCAGGACGTAATCGCGCTCGAGCGCGCTGGCGAGCTCCTCCATGCGCTCCTCACGCCGTTCGAGCGCGACGCTGGCCTCCTGGTACTCGACGGCCCATGCCTCGTAGGCATCCAGGGCGAGCTCCTTGTACGCGAGGCAGAGCGTGCGCAAGCCCTTGTTGGCAAACTCCTCGAGCGCGTCGTCCGTCTTGTCTTTTCGCTCGTCCTGGCCGGGGGCGCAGCGCTCAAAGATGACGCTGTCGGCGCCCTTGGCGAGGAGAAGAATCTGCTTGTCGGAGAGCCGGCGGACGATGACGCCCATGCGCTTGCGTGCCGAGCTGAACTCGAGCACAGTGATCAGCTCATACTGCTCCGGCTCGACCGAGTCGGGGGTCTGGAGGCTGAGGACGTTGCGCTCTTTGTTGAGGAAGACGAAGCCGGCCTCAGCCGCAGCCTGGACGAGCGCCTGCTCGTCTGGGCTTTGCGCCTTGTACACGATTTGCCCCTTCTCGTCCTCCTCGGTCAGTGCCGTGTGGCACAGAGCGAGGGTTCGGAAGAATAGACCGAGCGCCTTGGCCTGCTCGCTCCTGCTGTCCTTGAGGTGCGCAGCAAGCTTGGCGTCCGCGAACGGCGGAATATCGTGATTGGCTGGCTTGACGCGCTTGCGGCCGCCGCCGCTGCTGCTGCCGTTGTTGTTGCTGCCGCTGCTACCGCTCATCTTGCCGAACCCGGCCGAGCTGGCCGAGTCGCTTTCCTTTTCCATCGCGGAGAGCGCCGCCGCAGACGCCTTCTCAAACAAGCGCGCAGCAGCGGGCTTATCGCCTCCTCCGAACGGCTCGTCGCCGCTGTACGTCTCGCTGGCGATGTGGCACTCGCGGAAGATCATGAGGTTCTGTGTGAGCGTGCCGGTCTTATCGGAAAAGATGTACTGGATCTGACCAAGGTCGTCGGAGAGGTTCCAGGAGCGGGCGGTGGTCCTACGCTTGGTCTTTTCGTAGTAGATATCGTAGTCGTCAAAAATGAAGTAGGCCTGGATCGTGCGGACAGCTTCGATGGAGATGTATAATGAGATGGGGACGATGTTCTGGAACGTGATCAGCCCGTTGCCGAACGTGACGAGCCCGTTTAGACGCGGGTTGTCGTTGCTGTATATCGCACGGAACTCCCAGTAGGCCGAGCGGTCGAAGTAGTAGACCTCCAGCAGCGAATCGACGATCGCGCAGATGATGCAGACGATGGCTAGGATGGAGAGGTTGACGTACACCATCGGGTTCATCTGGCGCTCGACCTTGCTGCGCTTTGATGGTGTGTTGCCCGAGTTGGCAATGATCTTCGTGTCGACGCCGGTGAGAAGGACCATGCCGATGACCCATTTGGTGTTACGCAGGTTGCAGCCACGCAGGAGGATCTCGTTGAGTGTGACGGGGCACTTGAGCGGCAGGCCGTCGCGGCCGAAGCGGTCGGTGATGACGATGCTCCCGTTAAGACGGTACATGTTCGTGTCCTGTGGCTCGACGTCGACTCGCAGGTTGGCGTGCGCACACTCGTCCGCCGTGCGCAGGTGCGCCAGCTCGGGTACGGCGTGGCGGCTCTTGAGGTTGGTCTCGCCGTCAAGGTTCTTGGTCTCGATGAAGCAAGTGTCCTCCTCCTCGCTCGTCGCGCAGATAAGAATGTCCGCGGGAATCGGGTCGTTGTTCTCGAGCAGAACAAAGTCGCCGACGGCGAGGTCCTCCCAGTTCTTGCGCTTCCAGCGTGCAGCCTTCTTGCTCCAGTACTCCCGCTCCTGCTCCTCGGTCATCGGCTTGCCGCGGCGCATCATGCGCCCGTCTGGGCCGGCTTCGTACTCGCTCTCGAACGCGGACTGCGCGCGAGAGGTGGTGCGCCGGATCCGATAGCGCTCGGACGCGATGCTGCGCCCGTCGATGTTAGACTCGGCGCGCGAGATGATTGGCGCCAGCGGAGCGCCGCCGCCGCCAGGGGCCCCCACCATGCCCCCGCCCCCCATCGCGACGGCCGCGTCGGTGCCGTTGTCGTCGTTTGTTTGCTGCGAGGCGAGACTGAGTCTGCTCTCGCTCGCCCATCCGTCGGCGCCGCCCACACCGGCAATGCGCTTGCTCTGCCTATTCTTGCCGCCGAGGTAGTTGAAGTAGAAGGACGTCCAGGTGGAAGTCAGGCTGCGTGCTTTGCCTTCCATCACATTCGGGTTGGTCCAGCCGCCGCCGACTAGCGCCTTGACGCGGAGACGGTTGATTTGCCGGTCAGACTGGTGCCGCTTGACGTCCTCGTACCCGTCCTTCAAGGCTGTGATGGCCAGAACGGCGAGCAGGGGAAGCATGGCGATACCTGGCGAGATGGTCTGGAATTTGGGGAAGAACTGCAGAATGACGAGCACTGCACGTGGAGTTGGAGCAATGACGTGATAAGCCACCAAATCAAAGCAAGCAGCTCACTATTCCACACCCAGCCGAAGGGTGTACTCACGCAGGAAGAAAAGATTGGCCACACGCCGGAATTGCTCGAGCAGGTTCTTGAAGATGAAGTTGTACAGCGTGTACTTGGCAGTGAGGACCTGGTTACATGCAAACTGCCACTCGGGCTTGATCCTGCCGTTCTTGGCTTGAAACGCCTCGGCAGGTAGGGGCTCGTTGAAATAGACGCTCCGAGCGCAGGGCGGGGGGCGCTTCTTACGAAACGCTGTCTCGGGGTCGAGATCGATCTCCTTGATCCTGCGCCATAGCGCTGCGAGACCATGGCGCGGCGACGGGTTAACGGCGGCAGCTGCGTCGGCCATGTTTCCCCCGTGGCGCGGGCCAGTGTCGATGCCAGTGGCATGCTGCTGTTTTGGTTCTTGGTTGGAAGGAGCAGAGGAAGGCGAGGGGGCGCTGCTGGTCTTGGCTGCCAGTGTGGTGGTGGTGGTAGTGCCGCCGTCGCGCTCCAACGCTGGCGAGGCCGCCGCCGCCGCGTTGGCCTTCTTACCACTGCCGATGCCGAAGACCATCTCCCCTTGTCCGTACCCTTTGCCGCCAGCGATGCCTTACCCTGTGCTCCTCTTCTGGTTCAGCCTGGGCCAAGATGTATCGGCTGGGGAGCAAGGTGTGTGAGTGAGCTTGTAAAGAAGATGGGGCGCCTGTCACTCCAATCGCGGCCCCAGTTGAGTCTTTGCTTGTACACTGCCTTCAGGCCACAGCAGAGTCTCGATTACTATATGTTACACTACTGCGCACCAGCGCCTGCCCACCACGCGCCGGCCCGTCTTGGCTTTTAGTTTCAACCCTCTGGCGACGCGGCGCTGTAGCAGCCGATTTCTTTCTTTCTTTTCTTGTACGCGCGTTCTGCAATTCATGCAGCTGCTCGGCACTGTGCACAGCACAGTGCCATGCTTGGTAGCGCCCGTCCGGTACATGTCCAGCCCAGCAAGCACCCATACTCCACAGTCAAGAGTGCGGTAAATTAGATAGGCTCTCGCGGTACAAACCATATTGTCACCATTCGGATCGCCGCCAAGGCTGGCTTTGCCAATGTGTGACAAGCTCGTAGAATACAACGCAAACGCGCTCGTAGAAAGATTCACTTGGCCTATCGCCGAAAACACTTTCTGACCCCTATGGCTGTTTTCTTGTGTGTTTTGTTATTTGGCAACGTGTATATATCTGGACCCGGGGATTAAAAGTGAGGAGAAAAGTGCGCGTTCCGCGGCGAGCGCGACGGTTAAGAGGATTCAAACTCCCCTCACCGGGTGGGGGGGGGCTCTGGGGCTCTCTTGCATAGTTGGAAGGAGTGGCATCTGCAGGAGCTTGGTCTCCGCATGTGGCCAACGTCTGCTATACCTTCCTTCGCATGGGTAAAGAAGAGGCCAGTACTCTTTTCCAAGCCAACAAGTTGAACAGACAGTGAACGGTACGACGCGTCCAGTAGCTCATCGTCTCTTCTGGCCCGCCCTGAGCTGGAGAAGAACATTTCCTTCGTTCGGCGCACATGCTGGGGCAACGCGCGTATAGTAAGGAGCATACAACAGACAGCCTGTAGAATGCAGAAACTAGTACCTCAACTACGTGCCGATACTGCAGCGGAAACAGGCGAGACCGATAGCCCCCTCCCTCCACATCTCACACTGGAGATAGCATCCGGCCTCTTCGCAAGCACGGAGAGGAGCTCAGTATTGCACTTGCTTTCACCTCATAAATCAAATGCTATGTAGTAGTCAGACCCGATCTCTGAGTAGGGAGAGGATGGCATTGCCAGCGTCTACTTGGGGACACTGCAATCGAACGCACCTGGGGATGTATAGCAGCTTCGAGCCTGTGGTACATAGTCGATAACGCTCCGGTCCCGCAAAACCCGTTGTGTCGCAGGCACCAACGGGGCGGCTCCGCAGCGTGTTGCCAGGGGTATAGTGCACGGGTACCAAGGGATGATTGACCTTCGACCAAAAAAGCGTTTGATTAGTAAGATGCCCTATTCGAAGAAAGTTTCAACCCCGCGACCTCGATTCGTTCGATGCAATGGTACTCCTCTCGGCCCGTATCAATGGATCCTTCGCAGCGGACAGCGACATGGCACTCAGTGCGCACAGCTTTGCAGTTTCGACGCCATACTTCACCGACGCATAGTGCTTACAGCGCAGCGGACTTAGCGACTGGCGGTCGACTGGGACGCCCGGCCCGTCGGCCGTTCCGGTAACTATTTCAAGCCGTTTGCCTATCGCAGCTTTCAAGGCCGGTCGACATTCGCGGCATGCACGGCGGTCCTCCCGGTGGCTTCGGTGGCCACGGATACTTTGCAGGCCCGATGACGGGCATGGGCGGCGGCCTCCGCGGTCCGCCCGGTTGCGGTGGCTATGGTGGCGACATGGACTGGCGCACACTTCGCGATGATCCAAGCAGCTTCGCCGACCTCCAAGGTGCGGGTGGTCACGGTGGATTTGGTGGTGCAAGCAGCGTCATGGGCGGTGCGCGGAGTGGGCTTAGACTTCGCGGGGACGGCATCAATGGCCTTGACGGCCCCGTCGTGGTGCACTGCACTCACCAGGTCATGGCGGTTTTGGCGGCGGCGGACGAGGAGGTCCCAGATGTGGTATGCCTCGCGCAGGCTTCCCGAATCGCAGAGCGCCAGCCCAGGGTTGCCGCCGCTGGTGAGCGTTTGTACCGCTGCCTCACAATCTGCGACGCCTTCAACATGGGACTGGAATCATTCCCCCGCAGGGCAAGTTACCCGAGAGCTCGACACCATTGCGGATCCCATACCAAACTGGCAGCCGAGCATTCATGAGGCGTGTTGCGAACCGTGAAAATGTAGTCTCTGGGCATATTTGGCGCTGAGATATCGATCCCACATCACACCCAGGTCCGTTGCGATTTCTCAATGCCGCACCTGGAGAGGAGACGGCCGAGCAGCTGGGGGAAAATGCTTGGATGCGACGCACGATAAGAATATTTCTTTTCTGCCACAGGAGGCCTACGGACGTCGCTAATTGAGACTGTTTCTATGATACAGCTCGGAGAGGCGTGGGTTACTTGGGATCGAACTCCAAGACCAAGACATTGAACATGCCCACTTGGAAAGGTCTATGCTTGCGGCCATTGCCGAGACAGCACTCAGCGTAACAGCCTGGTTGCTTCTATCAGACAATCAGGTGCATCTTCCGCAAGACTGTTGCGTCAAGGTCAAGAGAGATTTTGCTCAACATGTGCGTCTTTGGCATCTGCTTTCTTCCCTACCAGAAAGACATTATCGTCCAAGTCACCACAAGATCTCAAACAACGATCGCTCGTTTCGTCATAAATCCAAACCACCAACGCGTGGAGGTGAATGCCCCCGTCGCTGGCGCCAAGATCATGACGCGTGGCGTCGCGGCGGGCTTCACAGCCGCGCGCGACTCGTTTACTGAGCTCATGGCAAAGCGACACGAAGAGTCTCTGCGCAAGTGCGAGGCAAAGCAGGCTCGTAAGCAGCTGCGCGAGGAGATCAAGTGTATGCGGCGGAAGAATCTTCTCAATGGCGGAGAGGACAGCAAGCCAAGGATGAGGAGCTCAAACGGTGCGATCGAACGCTTCAGCGCCAGGAGGCTGCCTGGTATCCTGAGGAAGGAGGAAAAGACGCAGAAGGAGAGAATGAAGAGGGTGAAGCGCATGGTAAAAGACGCCAAGAGTCCCGAGCGATCACCCCTTGTCATTTTGTCCAGAGTCCAATCTCAGCATCCTCCTCCGCATCGCTCGCACTGCGTAATTTGCCTCCACCTCCGCTGACGCTGACGCAAGGCTGGGAATACCGAGCTATGCCCATGATGAGCAAGGACGCTTCGCACTCGCAGAACGGCGCTGTGGTCGCCGTGTAGTCCCTCGATACATCTCGCAGCGGCCTAGTAGAAGATGTGGGGAGGACGAAATCAGCCGCGACGACGTTGTTCTCGCCATGGCCTGGCTTGCTCCTGACCAGCACGGTGGTCGTCGCATCTGGTAGCGATGGTGACATACGCGCCAAAGCCGACGCGATTGCTGCACTCACTGACGGAGATGAGGGCACAATCGGCCTGGGGCAGCTGCGTGTATACGCCAAAGGTAAAGATTCTGCAACGTTGGCGGTGGCGTCAAGATCATCTGTGAATGCACCGGATAGCTCGACGGGCGCATCGCCTCCAGCTCCAGCACCTAAGAGTGCATCTAGGCCGCAGACAGCCGCAGGTGCGACGCCTTCTGCCCATATGCCAGCAACGCCTGTGTGGGCACCGACGCAGACGCCGCCACCCGCACCGGCATCGACACCAGCCCCCCAAACAGCCCCTTCAGCTCCGGCAGCACGAACGCGTACGCCGATGGCGCCAGCCTCGCATCCCTCGTTCTCAAGAGCAGCAGCATTCCCGTCAGCGCCCAGCGCCAGTGAGCGATCCCACTGCTCCCCCGCCATTCGGCACTGCCATAGCCACGACGGAGAAGATGACAAAAAAGTGCGGATTCGGCAAGTTCTTAGGCAGATGAGATCAGGCTAAAGGAAAGCGGAGGAAAGCCTTGGTGGCTTGTGATGAAAAATTGTCACTTTTTTGTGTACTACATTGTTTATTTGAATCCCGAACTAGAGCTGTCAGCTCCTCCCGTGTCCAATTGAATCTCGAATGAACGGTTCTACTGTTCAAGTTTCCTTACAAGAACTTGCTGGCAAGTGACGCCAGACCACCGCTGTTGCCGCCGCCGATCATGCTCGAAAGCTGCAGTAGAATGAAGGGACGAGTCGTGAGCATCTGGATTCAGATAAAAGCATGAGGAAAATGTTCTGGGCCCACAATTGATTCTCACCTGATTTTTCATCATCAGCTTCATGGCCATCTGACCGGCCTGCTGGACCGCGTCATTCTTGCTACCCTGTGCGAGGCCCTGACCTTGCTTTTGGTCGAAGAATTGGGCTGCTTGAGACATGGCCATACCGATCCTTGATTTGTGCGATAATTCAGTGTGTCAGCCCTGGCTCTCCTTCCAGGAAAACTGAGGGAAGAAACTCACAACTGGCTCTGCATGTTGCCGCCGCCCTGCTGGCTGCCACTGTTGCCCAGGAAGCTCTTGATGGCGCTGAGCGCGGCAGCGTTGCCGATTTCGCCAGAGCCAACGTTGTTGTCGCTGTTGACGACCTGGTCATGGTGCTGCATCAGCTGGTCGTCCGACGGGTCGTCGTCCGATGGCCGGATGTTGCCTTGCTGCTGCTGCGTCTGCAAGTGCGATGCAATCTGCGAGAACATGGACGAATCCTGCGGGTTGTTGTTCTGCTGCGCGTGGTTGCTTGCTGCAGAGACGAGCGAACCGAGGTCACCGAGGTCAAAGCCGCCGTTGCCGCTACCCTTCTGACCAGCCTGGTTGCCCAGGAATCCCGAAGCAGCGTTGATGAGGTTCTGCAAGGACGAATAGAAGGCTGACGGTCAGCACCTATCACAGCTGCTCCGGCACGCACCGCTCCTGGCAATAAGGTGAGCGCGCCGATCAAACCTACCTCCATGATGACAAGCAGTCCGTTCTACTGGGGGCGTGAGATATCTGTACGAGGGGAGCTGGGATCGGAGGAAGTCGATTCAACCGCGATGAGATGAGCTGGAATGATTGGCGGTCGATAGATGAAGACTTGGCAGTGCAGGAAGAGTGCGTGGCTTGCATCTGAGAAGATGGCTGGGCGGGGTGGGTGGCTCGTGCGCACATGCACCCACAAGGAAGAGAGCATCAAGACTGGGCTGATGCCTGGTGGATGTCATGGAATCTTAATTCCGAATTCCGGTTTCCGCGACGCCTCATCTCGTCTTCTGATGATCAGGAAAGTGGTGCTGAGCGAGCTGAGCGCTGAGAACGCCTATCCCCTTCGACAAGGTTGGAAGAGCTTGATGGGTCAACATTGACATGGGACATAGAGGAAGTCACCTGAATGAATCACCCCAACGGTGCATAACCTAGTGCGCACCCTGGTTTTCACAAAGCACTATAGGGACAGGCGGGGCTGATGGGCCAGTCCTCCTTGGCGAGAACACGTCCTTGACCGTGGATTCCGTAAGCTCGTGCATGGAGTCGAATGTTTTCCGAATCATCATCTTTCATCATGAAAAGCTGTTCAGGATGACAAGATCGTGGCAAGCCAGAGTAGGAGAGGGGGACGCGTACAGGTAAACGCTATTATATACTACACACAGCGGCACCGTCCCGACGGGTAACAAAAAAGCGCCCATGCTACGTGACACCGATAAAAATCCGGATCTGGTTCACAGGTTGGCGCGCGAGCCATCGGCAGCAAACTCGGTCCATGTCTTGACCGGCACCGCCGCCTTGGAAGGCGCCAGATTGGACTTGAGCAGCACCGCGTCGTCCACCACCTGTGTCTTGACACCCGGCGCCGAAGGGATGACAACCTGCTGCGAATGCGCCGGATGCTGCTTGGCCAGCTCGGCGACCTTCGCGCAGACCTGCTCAACGAGCGGCGCATTGTCCGCGCCGATCGTCTCGCGCACATACTCGGTGACGCTCTCGACGCTCAATGCCTGAGCCTTGAGCGCCTCCACATCGCCCTCCTCGGCGCCGAACTTGAGCAGTTCCGGCATGAGAGCATCGACCGCCACTGCACTCAGCAGCGTCGGCTTCACCTGCGAGCGCAGGTTAACCGTCAGCTTCGAGCGCGTCACGCTCGAGTGGTGAATGTAGCGCATAAAGAAGTCGACAATGTCCTGCTTCGTCAGCTCGCGCAGCGCAGCGACGTCCGTTTCACGTTGCAAAAAGTCGTAGTACCTGGGGAATAGACTCGGCGTGTCAGTCGGCGAGGGTGAAAAAGGGAGAAAGAACTTGCAACAACGCACCTAGAATGGATATGGTACCAGAAGCGCGAAGCCTCCTCTCCGAGATTCTTGACGACCTCCAGACGCGACTGGATGAGCGACTCTTTGTGCGCGTTGAACTCGTCCTGCGTCATCTTGTCCAGGACATTCTTCAAGTAGTCGAAGAACACATCGATGCGCGACTCGACGTGTGCCACATCGCGCTCGGACTGCACCAGCACGCGGAAGCCGCACTGGCCAACCATCTTGCGCGCGCTGCTGAAGACGAGATAGCCGAGCTGCTCCTTCGTGCGCAGCTGGTCGAAGCACGGCTCGCTGGCGATTTGCGCAAACAGCAAGAGGCGCGTACGCAAAGACACATCCATCGGGTCGCCCACTTGGCAGTAGTATTCGATGGACGAGTTCACGTTCTCCGTGTGCGCCACCTCCTTCGACCAGCTCAGGCTCGTGGCCGGCGGCAGCACGAGCGAGCGATGAGAGACGAGCTCCGCGGGCGCCAGAGCCTTCGGCTTGAGGATCGACTCTGCCATGTCTTTGAGCTTAATGGCATCCTCGCGCTGCAGGTTGCCGTGCGCGAGCATCTCGATGTGCAGCCGGCCTAGCAGTTCGGGGATGAAGCGCTGCACATCCTCCGCTGTCAAGCCATCGAGCTCGGCGAGCTTCTCCTCGGCAGTCCACATGCGTTCCATGAGCAGGTAGGTCGTGTAGTAGTTGGCGTGCTGATAGGGTGCCTCCAGCTGGAAATTCTGGTAGCTGCGCGTGACTTGGTCTTTGAGGATTTCGAATCGCTTCTTGTCGACTTGGAACGATGCGACCGCCTCGAGGATGTACTTGCACAGCACAGCGAGCTTGTCGTTGTACCCGTCCACAGCGAGGCCGATGCCGTCTGTATGACTCTCGATATTGTAACCGAGACCAGCAAGCTCGGCGTCGTAAGAGTACTCGGTGAGCGCGTCCTTGACCAATTCGACAAATAGACGCGCCTTGACAGCATTGTTCGGCGTTGCATCGATAAGCGGGCTGCGCAAAAGCATAAACACGTTCGCCTTCGGCAGCCAGAACCGGTCGTCCTTCTTGTGCCACAGCCGGGTGGTTGGTGAATTGAGGAGCATGACAGGCTGCTTGCTTGGCGTCAGCTTGTCCGCCTGTTCCTTGCCCGGCACCTCAAAGTTCTTCGGGATGAAGCTGTTCGGTCCGGGTAACGCCAAGTCCTCCGCATTCGGCTGCTGGAATTCAAGCAGCTTGTCCGGCAACTGCATCAGCTTGTACTCTGTCCCATACCACTTCTCCTTGCTGTCCCAGCTCTGCGTCCCATCCGGCATCTGCTGAGCAGCGACAAACACGCGGCACTTGGTCGGCGTGAGCTGCTTGAGCAGATCCTTGATGAGGTCGACGTTAAAGTCGCGCGTGAGGTACGGTCCAGAGAGGATCCACTCGCGTGGATAGTTGATCTGCATCTGTCCCGCCAGCTGCGACGCATACGACGCGGGTGGCGATTTTTCCTTAAAGCGGAAGTTGAGCTCGCTCAACTGCTGCACCTCCTTAAATGCCCACTCCTGAAGCGAGCTGCCGTCTCGCAGGAGCTCAATGTACTTGAAAATCGAGGCGATGACATCATCGTAATGCGCTAGGCCCTCAGTGGTGAGGTCTACCGAAATCTTGAAGAACTCGAACCCGTTCGCGCCGTCGGCCGCTCCGGCAGACAGGCGATTGGACCAGCCTTTGTTCTTGAGGTGCGACAGAATCGATCCCTGGCCCTCGTGACCGATGAAGTGTGAGAGGAACTGTGCAGGTTTGGTCCGGAAGTACGGCACTTGATCCGGGATGGGAAACATGACGTGCAGCAATCGAATGTCCTTGACAGAGCGGAAGAAGACCTGCGTCTGCAGTTGCTCTGGGCTGAATGGCGACGAGGGGAACTCGGGAGGTGCGATGCCTTTGTTCTTGACACCCGAGAATTTGCTTATAGCCATATTTGTCAGCGTATCCAGGTCCTCCCTGCCGATTACGACAAGCTTCATGACGTTTGCCGAATAGTAGCGGTCGTGGAACTTGAGCAGCTCGTCCCGCACGCTCTTGCCTTTGGACCGGGGCGCGTCCCAAAGCGTCTTCAGGTTGCCCGTGCCGAATTTGGAGTACGGGTGTGACGGGTCGCTCAAGCTCTTCTCCAACTGGAAGCTGCGCCATGCGTCGCTTTGCAAGTTCTTCTTGTGCTCCGAGTCGACTGCTCGGACCTCGCGCTCTGCGCAGCTCGGATCAAAGAGCGGCTCCAGGAAGAATTGGGCGAAGCGGTCGAGCGCGCCTTCGAGATGGGCATGGCCGACATCGAAGAAATAACATGTGTTGTCGAGAGCGGTGAATGCGTTCGAGCTCCCCGAGTGATTGTTGAGAAATTCCGAGTATTCGTTCTCCCGGGGATACTAACAGACGAGAGGAGGGCACAGAAAACAACGTCAGCATACTGCGCGAGATGAACTGCGCCGGGACGACCTTCGTGTCGCGACATACCTTCTTCGTCCCCAAAAAGAGCATGTGCTCGCAATAATGCGCAAGGCCCGCCACATCTTCTGGATCTGAGAGGTGGCCTACCTTAATGTCCATCGCGGCGCTCGCCTTGTCCGTCTTTGGGTCGTGGATGAGCAGTGCTTCTAGTCCATTCGCCAGAGTGATGAGTCTGTAGGATTGGTCGTCTAATGCTGGCTTCTCGAGATCTTTGGAGAACACAGCGTACTGCGCCCCTTGAGAAGACGAGGATTGGATTTGATACCCGGAAGGAAGAGCGTCGAGGAAGCTCGAGGCGGGGGTTGCCGAGTTCGCGGCAATGGATGCCAGCTGCCTCGTCCCCTCTACGGTAGGTGTTCGGGAGTTGGGACACGCCATCTTCAACGAAGAGGAAGAGGGAAGGGTCCTAACGCTGGAAATTGATTTGCTGAAAACACGTGAGACGGCAGGCGAAGAGGCCAGGTTTGCGACGGGTCGCAATGTATACGGGGACGCTGCTCGGGGCGGGGAGGAGACCAAGCGCGCTGCTGCCCTCGCTGATGACACAGGTGATTTAGGCAGCATAGGTGACGCGATCACCCGAGTTGCAACAAGTGCTCTATGCTCGTCTGCGCCACTGGACGATGGAGTCCAAGTGTACTTTTCGAGGTATGACGGCTGGGCGGTGGACCTTGGTTGTGGTAGTGGAGTTCCGGAGAGCAACAGCAAAAGGAGAAACTCTGCAAGCATTTATTGACGTGAGAGGTGAGCAATGAGTAGCTCAGCATACAGGCCCTCTCAAATCAACAAGAGCTTCGCAGAGGTGACGAGTCGAGGACCTCCTGGAACAAGCAAAGGTTCTTTCCTCTGGGCGTGTTCCGCTTTGAAGATCCACTTGTGCCTGGCCGCTCGGCCCGCCACGACACCACCTTGGACTCACATAAACAGTTACACGTTTAGGTCAGGGGGCTATGACTGCGACGAGAGACAGCTCATCACCATTGCAAGATGCGAAATGCAACAAAGGGTAGAGACTACTATGGGTACTGGTGAGTGACAAGAGAGCTTCAAAGCAGTCTATTCGCCTTTTAGTTATAGGCTGCTGCCTCGTTCTAACACGACTGATATTTGAGACCAGTGATCGAGTAACTACGTGATCCTTGCACGCTGTACTTCGCCGAAGAAATCACCTTCTCTTCACGCATAATCTTCATTCGAAGCTCATGTGCGTCAACATGCCCACGTCACATGGATTCTTTTTTTTCCGCTTTCTCTGGCTCTGAAACCAAGACGCATTTACTTTCGCTTCTGCTGCTTCTATTACACACGTGGCGGACAGCAGGACGTCTTTAAGGACTCCACCTTAGAAGCCTGCGGAGATGAGGTAGTCGCCTGCGATTGAAATGAAAGTGAAAGCAGACGAATTCGTTCGATGAGCGTGCGGACAAGCGCAGAAAGTCCCTACAGAACCGCTTTTGACTCACCGAGTGATTCAACGACTTTGTTCGCTTCGCCGGGTACGATGGGACTGAGGTAAACGCAGACCAGAACACATTGTGCGGTCTTGACGCAGACGATTCCGTCAGCCTGTGAAGGCGTTTGGCACAGAGTCCAAAGTTTGGAGAGGTGGCGAGATGAGAGAGGGAGGAAAAGGAAAAGTGAGCAGACGCGACCCTGGAGCCGAGCGGCTAGGAGAAAACAGGAGCACATGCGTGCACGCACCCCTTGTTTCCCGTACACGCTCCTCCCATCGGCCTTGAGGCAGAAGTACTTGCGACCGGCGGCCCTGATCCCGTTCGCCTGCGCCGTGTCCGGCGCGTCAAACGTGCTGACAATCGTCCTTTGTTCTTCTGGCGTCAGTGCAAAGCCGGACGATGTTGCCCAAACCTAAGGAAGGAATCGCAATTGAAAATGGCATGATCGGCGTTTGCCGCTTCTTCAGATGCGGACAGGCTCGGCATAGTCATGTGCACCAAATGCGCTACTCACCCCGCCCTTGAGCCCGAGGATCGCCGCGTGCGACACGCGGCCGCTGCCAAGCAGGTTCGTGTCTACGTACGTTTGCCAAGACCTTGAACAGAAGAGACAGCAGTTTGAGTAAGAGTCCCAATCACCTGACCGGTCCACAATAAATAGTTTCCCGCTGTCCAGAGTAAGAGGGATAGCGAGGGGCGGCTCACATTGTGTATGTTCCTCTTTCAACTCGGTGCGATTCTTCCAGCTGCCCTGCGTGATCCGTTAGCCGGGTGGTTTGCAACTTGCAGAACTGCTGCGCTACAAGGATCACTGCTCGTGCGACGCTTCACTTACAACGAATGCGCCTGAGCTCCGTTTTGGGCGTTGTCGTCGTGGTGGTCGTAAGGCTTGAGTGCGTTCGTCCAGGATGTCAAAGCATGTGAATCGGGAAGTCCCCCTACAACGGGCGTGGGCTTTGGCCTCATGCTACAGATCACCCTTCTGGCCCCGCCGCCCCGGCCCCCAATCGGAACCGTGCGGAGAGCATGCTGCACTGCGCCGCGTGGGTGCTGTGAATCAAACATTTCCGCCCTTCAGGAAACCAACAGACTTCAGATTTCGCTCCAAGGCGCACGCACAGGCCAACAGTCACTTCTCTTCCGTCGCCGTCTATATAACCTTGCCTCCAAAAACCTGGTAATTCTTGCTGCTCTTCTGAGACGATCATATTCATTCTCATCGCCTGCAGAAGCAAAGTCCTTTCCTACCCTGAGCATCCCGAAGGAACACTGCCATAATGTCGTCGCCAAGAGGTACGTCCGATTCTCCGCCGGGGGACCGGTGGGCGATCACCACCCTCGTGACGCTCGACTCCTCGTGACGCTGATCTCTGATCACCATTCCACTGACTATTTCGCCTGCTTGTCCAGGTCTGTTCGTGGGAGGAAACTGGAAGATGAACGGAACGCTCGATTCGAGCAAGAAGCTCATCGACCACCTCATCGCGTCCAAACTCGATGAGAGCACTGGTGCGTAGCGCATTTGTCTATGGAAGGTTCAGTCCATCTTGCCCAGGCTCTGTTGAGCGATACGCATGAGACAAGCAGAAGATGGGCACATTATGTTCACCAACTGATGGTGATAGTTTGCATACAGAGATCGTTGTCGCTCCTCCGTTCATCCACCTGCTGCAGGTCAAGGACTACCTCCAGGCTTCGTCGCACCCGAACATCAAAGTTAGCGCACAGAATGCCTACCACAAGAGCTCCGGTGCCTTCACCGGTGCGTGAATTTGCCTCCGCTGTCTGCTGCCCGAGAAGATCTTCGACTAACTCCCTGCGGCTCATATTCATTCCTGGTGACAGGTGAGGTTTCCGTCGACCAGCTGGTCGACGCCCAGGTCCCCTGGGTCATCATCGGCCACTCGGAGCGCCGCACGCTCTTTGGCGAGGCAGACCACAATGTTGCAGAGAAAACCAAGGCGGCGCTCGAAGCTGGCCTCAGCGTCATCCTCTGCATCGGAGAGACGCTCGAGCAGCGCGAGAAGGACGAGACCGTCTCTGTCGTCACGAGGCAGCTTAACGCTGTTGAGCAGGAGGTCAAGGACTGGAGGTGCGTGCCCTTCTCCTTACCGGCGCACATGTTTGCGTGACCCTCTCACACTCCTTTCGTTCTTTACTCCATCTCCAGCAAGATCGTCGTCGCATATGAGCCGGTGTGGGCTATTGGTGGGCAATAGCGTCTCGGCCTTTCCTTTTCCGATCGTCAGTACTGACTGACGAAACTTTGCACATCAGGCACGGGTAAAGTCGCTACATCACAGCAAGCGCAAGAAGTGCACTCCGAAATCCGCAAGTGGGCCGCGAGCAAGCTTGGCCAGTCTGTCGCCAACAAGCTGCGCATCATCTACGGCGGTAGCGTCGCTGCCAAGAACTGCAAGGAGCTCTGTGAGTGTCCTCTTGCTCGGAGGCCGGAGAGCCGCGCCTTGCGTGGTCCAGGCGCTAACCACATTTACACCATTTGCTTCTTTCGCCGCAGCTACTCAAGCGGACATTGACGGTTTCCTCGTCGGCGGTGCCTCGCTCAAGCCAGAGTTCGTGGACATTGTCAACGCACGCCTCTAGTTCTATCCTGTATCTCTGAAGGGTGGAATGACATGGGACGATCGATGAATGGCCTGAACTTCCTCTTGTGCATGGGCTAATACTTTCCTCAGGACACTCGTCTAGTACTATGCGCGTGGCCCGCTACAAAACGAACTCCAGCTTGTGCGAAAAGTCTCACATTCGCGCAATACGTCCCATCCGCGGCGTTCTCCTTGCGTGCATCTCGCTCCCGCGGGGGAAGAGTCGTGCGCGACACCTGCCAGCTCAGCTACGCTCCAGCACGATCGCGACGGCCTGCCCGCCCCCGATGCATGCGGCACCAACGGCGTACCTCTTCTCGAGGCGTTGCAGGTTGTGCGTAAGGTTGTTGATGATGCGCGCGCCGGACGCGCCGAGCGGGTGGCCAAGCGCAATGGCGCCGCCAAAGAGATTCGTCTTGTCGTTCGGCAGGCCCAGCTCCTTTTGCACAGAGAGGAATTGCGCTGCAAAGGCCTCGTTGACGTCGAATAGGTCGATATCGTCCATGCTGAGGTCAGCGCGCTGGAGTGCCAGCTTGATCGCATCGACAGGCCCGATGCCCATGATGCTCGGCTCGCACGCCGTTACGCCGTACGAGACGACACGCGCGAGCGGCGTGATGCCGAAGCGCTTTATCGCCTCCTCCGAAACAACCACGTTCGCCGCCGCGCCGTCGCAAATCCCAGATGCGTTTCCCGCCGTCACTGTACCGTCCTTCTTGAAGACTGATGGGAGCTTGGCGAGCGTCTCGACCGTCGTCTTGCTGCGCGGGTGTTCGTCCACCAAGAAGGTTTCGGTGCCCTGTAAGCATAAGAGCAAAATATCAGTCAGGTAAGCCAAAGCGCCGAGAAAGGAGAGAAGGGCGCGGACGCATGCGATGCCCACATTTTTAGACTTGATCTCGACAGGAGAAATCTCTTGCGCGAAAGCGCCATCCTCGTTGGCCTTCTGCCAGCGTTGCTGCGACTGCAGTGCGTACTGGTCGCACTGCTCGCGCGTGATGCCGTACTTTTCTGCCAGGTTCTCGGCGGTGATGCCCATCGGCGTCGGCTTGGGTACCATGTCCGTCAGCGCGGCCATGAGGCTGTCGACGAGCTTGAGGTCGACACCAAACTTGCCGCCGCCGAAGCGCACGCCGTGCAGCGTGTACGGCGATAGTGACATGCTCTCTGTCCCGCCGGTCAGAACGACATGGCTGTCGCCAGCCTTGATCTCATGCATAGCGTTGACGATGCTCTGGAACCCGCTCCCGCACAGCCGGTTCACTGTCAGCGCGGGAGTCGTGACGGGAAGCCCGGCAAGATGGCTGAACAGTGAGCGAGGGTTACCATCAGCATGATACTAATAGAGGGCTTAGGGGGGGGGCACACACCCAATGTGTCGCGCCACATAAGGCCCGGTGTTATCTGACTGGCATACCATGCCGAAGATGGTCGAGTCGACCTGTACGCCCTTTGGCAGATCAGCCAGGGCGGCCTTGGCGGCGTGAGCGCCGAGCTCGGAGGCTTTCCTGTTGTTGTGGCAGTCCCACGGTACCGGATGTGCGTGAGTAAAAATGACCTCCTTCAAAAAAAACTGTGCTGGGCAGCAGTCTGCTGGCGTTCGCAGGAAATGGGAGCTGAGAGCACTCACAGGTTTCTCAACTTGCCTCCGAAGGCACCGAAGGGCGTTCGCCTGCAAAAGGAAGGAGCAGCGGCAGCAGCAGCAGCAGGCGAATGCGTCGAACGCAGGATCAGTCATCGCTCTAAATGCTGGCAGATCAGTAAGAGAGTGCCGGCTTGGTCTCGGCGCGCACGCACCTCGCAGCTGCAATGTAAGCCATTTTGAAATCTACAACAAACAGTAAGCAGCGACACGCGAAGGGGCGGGGACGAAGGGAGAGGGGCGTCAGCGTGACCAGGTGGAGGGATTGCAGCGATGCACGGCCTACTCTCACTGTTTCTAATCTGCTACCAGGTCGATGCTTCTTCTCCCTACGTTGTTGCCCTTGTAAGAAACGGAGCTGGAGAAAGGAGGACGGGTGATCGAAGAGGGTCAATTGACCCCATAGTGGAGGTAAGTTGGCCATTTCAGATTGCACGGATCTGATCAGTCTCTCTGACAACCAAGGCAGGGGGTAACGTGGGGCGATGGGCACCACAGCACTCTCCACTCTCCCACATGTTGATTGCTTTCACGCGTGGGCATGGAAAGCCGGTTTTGATGACGACCAAATTTGACAAAATAGGGTTTTGCAATCCACGCCGATTCTTTGTACCATAGGGCCATACTGACTCATGACTAACAAGCGAGGGTCATGCTCATTATGCAAGGTTGGAAAGTTTGTTGGCTTGCCGTGTGCTGTACGTATCCTTGGTCCTTGGATACTGATCAGGGCAAGTTATGAGCCATTGATCAGCACGACCAGCGCTTCTATCCAGTGGAAAAGACGCGGGTGCATCACGTGCATGGAATTACTTGAGCGTACAAGCTGCAACCGCTGACCTCCACGGGTCTGCGCACAGGTCACCGTTCTGATGATGTCATGCCGCGCACATTTGGTTATCCGCGGATCATGCATACCACAACGATGTCATGTCCAGGTCGAATGCACACGAGTGTTCAGTACAACCGTCCTGCAAGCGGCGAAGACGATGCGCGCGAGTACATGTCATACTTTCCGCAGGGGATCGAGTTCGCCTGAGGTGGCCAGAAAACGACATCGCAATCAAACAGCCCGCGCACATTGACACGGAAGGGGATCGTGTGCTCCCCCGATGCCTTTGCCGACTTACTCGCATGGATTGGTCAAGCATGTCGGCTCATGACCCATGCAGCTAATGCTATACGGATGATAAAGAGCCGATGTCGACGTGGTCGGTGACCAGCTGTTTGAAACCAGTGCTTGATCTCGTTCATTTAATTTTATGGCTGGGGACAACACTTCAAAGTATGTACGATCGGATAACGGCTGCTCCTTCGAGGTCAACGAAGGCAATAAGACATGTGAAGACAGCCTGCGTTCGACCACCTTATTGCCTACCTTACCTAATACGCCTGGGGTGCACGCATCATTGATCACCCTCCAGTGCAATAGCCTCAAAGGGCGCTTCCAGGCTCCAACCACAGCCTTTTCCAATAAGCTCATGCAACCGGCCAAAGCTGGCCAGAGGAAAGTACTTCCTCGGGAGGAACGATTTTTCCACGTCGATTCGCCACCATCCATGTACGCATGTTATAATGCAGATATAGACTGCGGCATGCCGGCCTAGGGGGCGGGAGCGGGCCTGGGAATACAAACATACCGGAGTTAGGTTCGGAGCTGTAGGCTGTGTGTGGGTTGTGACAACCAAAACCAGAGCGTCCTGGCTGCATAATGCATGAGATGACCTTCGCTTAGTGGCTCACCAGGGATCCTTGTCTCGTCCATTTTGCATTCCGTCTCCCGCACAGCGGGCATGAGGCAAGGGGCGCCAGGAGCGAGGAGCGACACACCGCCCAGAGCAATAGCAATAGCGAAAAAGGCACCTGATGATGATCATGCTGATGTTGATGGGCGAGAACACCCCGACCACCTCGAGCACATACGGCAAGTGGCCTCTACTGTCCTTCGTCCCAGTTTCTTTTAGGTAGCCCCGCGCAGGATCGAGGGAACTGGAACTCACTCTGACTCGATAGACAACGGGAGGTTCAGTCTGCCTCCTTCGGGCCTCCATTCCCTCTTCGACACCTTGGCAAACTGTCTTCTCTACTTATTTCGGACGACAACGCCTGCAGTCGTCTCCTCCTGGGCGTCAACTGGCAGAATACAAGCGTGAGGGTGTCCCCGAGGCCACGCCGTTCAATGAGGTCTTCACTGCTGGTGTGCGAACCGGGACGGAGAGTGCGAATGCAAAGACATCTGCCTATCTAATGCCATTTAGTGCGTTGCAAGCTTTGCTTCCAGAGGCATTGGATCGAGCCAGGCTGCTGACAGCATTGGAATGGGCTCATCAGAATACAACCGCATAGAGTCTCAGGACGTTCATAATAAGCTTCAAGTCCGCATTACTCACCCTTGCAGTGCTTCATCTCGGTGATCACAAGCAGCACGACCTACATACACCCCTGGTCACAATACTCCGCCGCCCATGTCTTCGCGTCCACCGTCGGCGGGCGGCACTACGGACCCCGCATCACGTCCGCAATGGGCATCAGTCGCGCCGGCTGGCTCACAGTCTGTGCCATTCTCCTCGTCCTTGGCGCGCGCCGGCGCCGGGGGCGACGGTGCGAGCACGCCGCCGGTGGTCCGGTCACCCGCTCCCTTGACACGGCCGAGCACGCCCATATCTGCAGGTGGGGGTGCGCTGCTGGGCGCGAGCGGAAGCAGCAGCGGGAAACCGGCGAAGGGTAGAGTGCATTGGCAGGGCACAACGAGAGGCGATGCACCGCGCAGCGCTACACGCTCGCAGTTCGCTTTTGCGCCAGCTTCTACTTCTAGCGACGCCGAGGCGGAGGGCAGCGAATTGGAGCGGGCGCACTCAGAGAGGGCTGGCGCCGGCGGTAGCGACAGCATTCAATATGCCAATGGCGATTCCAGCATCAGCATCGGCGGCTTGGAGAAGGTCGCAGCGAGCAAGTCTCAGCCGATGAGCAGCAGCGCTTCAGCGCCTGGCCAGCGGTTCCGCGTCTTGGGCGGCAGAGGGCCGGGGCCGACTGTCATGGTGCGCGGTGGTGCGCATGGGCCGATGGCTGTTTCCCAAGGTGGTGCAAGAGGCCTACCGTCGCAGCTGACTGTGCAGCGACAAGGTAGCCAAGGCGCAGGGTCGGACTCAGCTGCCCCTCCGCCTGTAGGTGACGCACCTTCTGACGTGCAGCCGCGGGGCGAAGACAAGCAGGCAACAGAGCAAGCTCAAACATGCCCTCTCCTGCGTCCGACGCCTGTGCACACGACACGCGCAACGTCCAGCAGCAGCCTGATGCGTGTGAACCATCCAGGCCCACTTATGCTCGATAAGCGGTTGTCCAATCTTTCCGGCATACCGCCAACCGAGCGTGGACCGAACGCGTTCGGCCTCCACGATGAGAGCACATCCAGCGGCACCGGTGCCGGCGGCGTCGCGGGCTTCCCGACCAACGGGCACAGATCTAGCGAGACGATGCCCAGTGGCATGCTGTCCGCTCCAGCCGTCAAGGATGCGCAGCTCGAGCTGACCCATACGCTGTCCGAGCAGTTCACCCCGCCTCCTGCGAATGGAGGGTCAGTGCCTGTCGCACCTCCCAATGCAGGAGGAGCCAGTGGGCTGGGCCTCGTCTTGAGTGGTGCAAAGAGCCTCGACGAGCGAGGACTCGACGATCGCGCGTTCCTTGAGCTGCAGCGCGAGCTCGAACGGCACGAAGCCGCGCGGAAGCAGGATGAGCATGACGCCGGCGCAGCAGCAGTCTCGCATGCGCCGCCCGCTGCTCAGGACGATGATGACGATGATGGCGACTCTGACCAAAGCAGGCGGCTGGCGCGAGACGAGGAACACTACGCGCGCCGCAGGTTCCGAGGCATGAGCGGCTACGCTAGCTCCCGCGCCACATCCGGCGCGTCGACGCCCGGTGGTTGGTCCACGGACAGCGGCAGCGGCTCGTACAACCCGGCTGCCGATTCGGACCTCGAGTATGTCGACATCGCCCCCGGTGAGGTGGACGGCATGCCGAGCCGGCGGTCAAGACTCAAGGCGGCGGCGGATGCGACGAAAGTGGCGACTGATGCTGGCGAAAGTGATACGCCTGCTAAGCGCTCATGGCTCAAGGTCCGCAAGATGCTCGTCGGAGCGAAGGGCGATTCAGATGTCGGGGACGTCGAAAAGGCTGGCCGGCCCGCCAGGGCATGCGTCGAACCCGACACGGCCGGCCCGACCAACCGCAAGAGTGTTGCAGTCGAGACAAGCAGCGGCGTGCGTGGCACTGACCGCAAACCCCGCCCGACTCGCTATGAGCGTGAAGCCGCGCGGCTCGTCCGTGCACATCTGCTCATGAGGGGCGCGGGAGTATCGACAGCAGCAGCGACAGCGGGAGTCAGGCGGCACGACGGCGAGGGCGAGTCGTCGATGCCGCCCCTGTCTTTATCGCTGGTGCGCGGGCGGAGCATCAACCGCAAGCACCTGGCGCGCGACTCGGGCGCCAGCACACCCGATGCGCTCGAGACAAGCACCAACCTCGACGCGCGGCCCGTGCAGTCCGGCGGAGTACTGGGCAACCTGCTGATGCTATACGAACAGCAGCAGCACAAGATGCACGAGGCGGACGAGTCGCGCACGCGCGTTAATTCTGAAGCAACTAGCGAGGCCAGCGCCAAGCTTGCAGCGCCGCAGGAGCAGCGCGTCGCTGACACGCGCAACGAGGAGCAACACAGATACGGATACCGGTACAATCCGCTTGGCGTCATCCGGAGGCCGTTCTCGCGCGCTGGCTCGCGCAGCGGCTCACCCGTCTCGACGCCTCGTATCCGCAAGACGCTCGCAAGCGGCAGCATGCAGCTTGTCGGCGCCGCTGCCAAAACGGTCAAAGTCGTTGCGAACGAGGCTGGCTTCGAAGATGTGATGGAGGAGCGTCCCAAGGCAGCCCGGTCCGATGCAGGCGTCATTGGCGCCCTGATCGCCACGACGGGAAACCTGATCGGCGCAGTCAGCCCGGCCAGCGCTCAGCTAGGTCCCAACCCCAACCGCTCCGGCTTTACGCTCGACCGCTACCTGCTGCCTGAGATGAATGCCAAGACGCTCAAGAGGACAGCTCAGATCATCGCGGACGCCTCTGTCCGCCCGTCCAGGAGCCGGCCAGGCACGCCAGGCTCGCGCTCCGGCGCCGCAAGCCCCATCCCGCGCATCGACAGCGGCCGCCCATCTGGCTCCGGAGGCCCCACGTCGCCCACAGGGCTCAAAAAGCGACGCGACGGCACTAGCAGCAGCGGATTCGCCTTCGGCCCTGACCAGCATCTCCCATACAAACGCAGCAGCACGTATTTTGGCGCGGCGGCGCATGCGACCGGTACAGCTCTCTCCTCCCTCAGGCCCTGGCTCACGCACTCGACTGTCAATACCCCAGTAGCCATCTCCCAGGATGGGGGTGATTACTTTGGCGTGGACCCCGGCGAGCTCGACGAAAAGGCACACAAAGCTGAATGGCAGCGCAAGCTCCGCAAGCGCGCAAAGGAGAAGCGCAGGAAGGAGGAGATCTTCGTGAGTCCGGCGTTTCGTCTCTCTTCCGGAGCTACGCGTGTGGCTTGTGCGCTCCCCGCTGACTACTGAAATCTCTCCTCGATCCCGCACAGATTACGATGCACGTCGCTGCCATCTTGCAGCGGCAGCAATTCATTCTCAAGCTCGCGCGTGCACTGATGATGTTCGGCGCCCCGACACATCGCATCGAGACGCAGATTCAGCAGACGGCGCGTGTTTTGGAGATTAACTGCCGCTGCATTTACTTCCCCAACCTGATGCTTGTCGCGTTCGGTGATGATGCTACGCACACGTCCGAAACCAAGTTCATCAAGCAGGCAGGCGTACTTGACCTGACCAAGCTGACAGACATGCACACCATCTACTGGAAAGTCATCCACGACAAGGTCGGCGTCGATGAGGCGAGCGGGCAGCTGGACGAGCTGATGCGTCGCAAGCCGCTGATCCGCAAGATCCCCATGGTCATCATCGGCGGATTTTGCTCTGCATTCATCTGCGTCGGGCCGATGGGCTTCAACGGCTCATTTGCCGATGCGCTGCTCGCTTTTCCGCTTGGCGCATTTCTCGTCTGGTGCCAGAGCATCATCACCGCCGAGCTGTACTCGAACGTGTTCGAGATCGTTTTTGCGGCAGTGAACTCGTTCATCGCATCCGCAGCTTACGGTGCGGGGCGTGGGCCGTTCTGCTACTCGGCCATCGTCTCGGGCTCAATCGTGTTGATCCTACCTGGGTTTATCGTGCTGTCCGGAGCGCTGGAGCTGCAGTCCAAGAACCTCGTCGCTGGTTCGGTGCGGCTGGTGTATGCAATCATCTACTCGCTTCTCCTGGGCTTTGGACTCTCGATCGGCGCTTCGCTCTGGACGCTCTTCAGCGGGCAAGACATGGTTGTCACGTCCGCCACTGCTTCGTGCTCGGACGTTCATGTGGACTTGTGGTACCGCCAAAAGGTCGACATATTTTGGGCTTTCCTCACGGTACCCGGGTACAGCATCTGCTTGTCGCTGCGCAACCATGCCAAGGTGACGCGCAAAGAGTTCCCCGTCATGGTCATCATCGCCATTGCAGGTTGGGCGACGAATCATTTTCTCGCGCAGCGCAAGCAGCTTGCCACTCGCCAGGACTTTACAGCCATGCTGGGCTCGCTCGTCGTCGGCCTGCTTGCAAATCTGTACGGACGAGTTTTCGACGGCAGGGCTTTCGTCGTTTCCGTACCGGGTATCTTGTACCAGCTGCCGAGCGGCTTGAGCCAAGGCGGCCTGCTTTTGTTCGCCAACAGCTCGTCGGATGCGAATTCGACCTTTAGCAATGGCTTCGCTGTCGCACAGAGTCTGGTGCAGGTGCGCGAATGTGCCGCTCGTTTTTTTCACATGCTAAGAAGTACCTGACGCCTTTTTGTTTGTCTTTGGCTTTCTCACAGGTTGCCCTTGGTCTTTCTGTCGGCTTGTTCACCGCTACTGTCATCAGCTATACGCTCGGCGGCAAAAAGTCCCGCGGTGGCGGTCTCTTTTCATGTGCGTACGGAGCTGGGAGTATGATGCTGCCACAATTGACATGGAGATTGACGAATGATTCGTGTTCCACGCCGTTCTTCTGTACAGTTTGATCGAGTTCCAGTCTGGCATCCCTAAACATCACCGCCCAGGAATCACGGACATTTCATCCTTGACCATCGCAGCCTTCTGTGCATATGCATTGCAACTCAACACCGTCACGTCGTCATCCTCATCATCCTTCACATGCATAAATAAATCTGCCCCTTCGCCTCGCCATGCAACAGCACCAACAACCGCAAGCTTGGCATATTATCTCAACCCATCCTCATCTGCACTTTATAGACTAGAATAGACAAGATGAACTGTGAATTCGCATTGCCGCTCTGTAGATAGACATACTGTAACTTATACAGAGTATATACTGCATACAGAACGCACAACCGCACTTACAGCAGCGCGCCATAAGACCACCACCGCAGCCGATAGGCAATGGAATTTCCACGACCAACTGTATCCTACATTTACCATATGCCCGGTTTAGTCCCCGCCATCTAGGAAGAGGCTTCCCGCCGTATGGCGTACGACGATGTTCATGGCGTGGAACACGCGGATATGACCCGGTTTGCCATTGGGCAGAGTAGAGCTTTGCCTCTGAGGAAATACAGCTACGTGCTGCCAAAGGAGTGATGCGAGGTATCTACAATTTCTCCTATGCAGTCCAATATTGCGTATGCATGTCATTTGCCAATCCGGTCGTCATGCTTCAAAGATTCATGCTTTGATTCTTCACCTTCATCCCCGCCGCCGCCGTCTTTGTCATCAGCCTCATCCAATGAACAGCCCTTCCGTCCAAATGGGCTGTCCTCTCGGTGAGCTCCATCAGCTTGTCCTTTCCATTGCCCATTCTGAATCGAGTACTGACTGACTTGCCAATCTGGTATTTTGGCGGCTAAGTTCTCTAAGATTTTGGGACCCCAGAGCTGAGAGCTGCAAGGTAGCAACGTTCTGCCCTCGGTGAGTCCTCCTTCGCTATTTTGGTGGCAGCAACATGAAGTGGCAGCTTATTATAGGCGCAGGACGTGGATGCACATACGCGTAGCTTTCGCAACCCTACATACATACACTATGATGACGCTCTCACAAGGCGCAACCGGAAGATGTAGCATGAAAGGCACAGCAGGGGGGGGGGCAGTCCACGGAGCAAAACTCAAATGCGGCCACACACCACACCGCACCTTCCCCATGTGGTACAACCTGACACACCCGCCGTGCCTTGATGCGTAGAGAGTGTTCTTATGCCCACTCTTCGCTAGCGCCGATCACACAGGAACAACAAGGCACCAATCAATCCTCAATTAAAAGAGAAAGACTATATGGTTGCTGGCTAGCAGCACTGAAAGAACCCAAGAAGCGCTATAACCTGCAGGCCATGTGATTTTGATTCTGTCGCCCTTCGCAATAATACAAGGGCTGCTGCCTGCTTGCGAGATAACCCAGCATTCTCTCAAGGGTTTTTGGGGGGGCTGCTGCGCTGCACAGTCGATAGACAGGGTGCTCGTGAGACTGCGATAAGAGCGACGCAAGCACTAGTTTGGCGTTCTGGCTGCCATGGAGACGTGACGCGTGGGTGGTCAATGTCCATCCATCGTCGTCCGTTGTCCCCTTTCATACTTCGGGGGAGACTGCAGAGGGTCATCGGCATCAGATGAGTAAACTGTAGCAGAGGACGACAGAGAGCCATTTTTATGAGAAGTCGTCCTCCACCATCCGGCATCCGTCCCTCGCCCATCGCCCATCGGTCACGCGGTCACGTCTCAGTTCGTTCCAGTGGGCTGTGAGTAGAGCCGAGCCGGCTGCACTTACTGGCCATCCCAACATCACCACATCACCTCTCTAGTGTTACATTCACTCTTCATACGCACCCTCTCTTCGCTGTTCCTTTCGCACCAGGGCACATCCGCGTGCACCCTATAAAATAGCGTGCCGTTCGTCTGCTTAAGCTAGCTTCGCCATCACCGCCTCTTTCCTTCTCCTCTTGCCGTCTGGTACGATCAGACTCTGTCTCGCTGCACCGCAACATCTGTTCCTCCTTCCCTTGCACATATCTTAATCAAAATGCACATCCTCAGCAACCTGCTCGTCGTCACCACTGCCGCCAGCGGGCTCGCCTTGACGGCCGCCGCGCCGTCTCACCCTCCGTATTCTGCTGCTTCGCGTCCGGGACCTCTGCAGCAACTATCGGCGCCATCGCCACCCTCTTCTTTGCATCTTGCATCTGCACCCGGCGCAGCTTCAAGTAGCGTCAATGGTGCACTATCTTTCAGCTCACCGCAGGCTAAACAGGTGCATACTTTCGGCGAAGAACGGGGTCTTGCGTATACTGCTTGGCTAGTCGGTCGGTCGCTGACCCTCTGCCTCATTGCATCCTCCCTTCTCGCGCCAAGTACTACGTTGGCAACAGCTACCCGACCGTCCCATTCCCCGTCCCCGAATCGTGGGCGGGATTGATGCCCATCTCGCAGGACTCGCAGTCATTGAAGCGCTTCTTCTTCTGGCTCTACCCAGCGCAAGACGAGTCGAATGATTTTGCCATCTGGCTCAACGGCGGTCCCGGGTGTAGCTCGCTCGAAGGGCTGTTGCAGGGTGCGTCCGGTGGCGAGAGTGTTCTCAGGAACATCGGCCTAAACAAACAAAACTCAGATTGATAGGTCACAGTATGGATAGAATTGGACGACTGATGACTCACAAGCCCTTTTCCTCTCATCATGTTCTACCGCTCAGAGAATGGGCCATTGAGTTTCGCTTGGAATGTCTCGGGCTTCCCGGACCAGCCTTACGTGCAACGCAACCCGTACAGCTGGACAAACCTGACCAACATGCTCTGGGTCGAGCAGCCCGTTTCAACAGGTACGCGTTGCGTCTGCTAATATCCGGGAACAGGGAAAGCTGACTGGTTGTATGCGCCGTGCGCACCCCCTGTACAGGCTTCGGGACCGGCACGCCGGACGCTAAGGATGAGAACGACGTGGCGGACGAGTTCTACGGCTTCTTGACCAACTTTATGGCCACTTTCCCTGAGCTTAAGGGCAAGAACCTCTACATCACGGGCGAGGTGAGCGGCTTTCGAAAATCGCTATGCCTTACAAGCAGGAGCTGACCTTCGCATTCACTTTTGATATTTTTCAGAGTTACGCTGGCAAGTACATACCTTACGTGAGTTTCAATAGGATGTGAAGCCTGCGTGCGTGCTCGTGATGCTCTGCTCACTACGCCTCGCCTGTGCACGGCCACAGATCGCTTCGAACATCTACGGCCGTAGCGCAGAAGAAAATGCCGCAAACGGCCTGAACCTCAAAGGCATCGCCATTAATGACCCGTCCTTTACCGGCAACTTTTTCGGCGAGGAGGCCGCCTCGATTGAGTTTGCCAAGCGCTGGCAAGACGACCTGCGTCTGTCCGACGGTTTCATCAAAGCCCTTGACGCCGACGCTGCCAAGCACAATTTTACCAATTTCGTCGAGAAGAACCTCGTCTACCCGCCGCCCAAGGACGGGATCCAAATCCCCAAGGCATACGCCGCTGATGACAACTACGATCCGTGGGGCACCATCTACGATCAGGCAACCCGGCTCAACAAGAACTTCAACGTCTACAATGTCGCCATGTCGTATTACACCAAAGACTCCCTCGGCTATCCGCCGGCCCAATACACCGCTTCCTCCAAGAACATCCTCAACGATATCCAGGGCTTCAAGGAGCTGATCCACGCACCGAACAAGACCTGGCTGGAGTGCACGGCAGGTCCTGTCTTCCCCACTGGCGACGCTTCGCCGGCACCGGACGTGTCCGTATTACCAGGTGTCATCGAAAAGAGCATGCGGACGGTCATCCAGCACGGCAGCCAGGACTTTATTCTGTTGAGCCAGGGCAGCCAGCTTGCAATCCAGAACATGACCTGGAATGGAGCGCGCGGGTTCCAGTCCAAGCCGAGCGCCACGCTTATCGTGAACGGCAAATCTGCTGGAACATACCATGCGGAACGTGGATTGACGTTCATTGAGGTCGAGGGCTCGGGCCATATGATCCCGCAAGATAGGCCGGCAACTGCGTTCAAGAACATGCAGTACTTGCTCGGTCAAATCGACCTCGATCAGCTGGGCAAGTCAGCGCAGGGGATTCTTTAATTAGAGACTATGCGTTGTTGGCATCATAGTTCCCGATGGTGGCTTATTCGCATGTATTGTACGCTTCGTCTAGAATGCGCTGTGCTATTTGCCCCATGCATCCTAGCGGTGGGGCCTGCAGCGCTTCGATCAAGAGCGGCACTTGTTGGGGTTCTTCAGCTATGAGGTAGAATGTTAAGGAACACAAATATTGATGAGAGAGATGACAAGCAGATCAGCCTGAGGCTCGAAGACTGCATCTGCCATATATCCTTTCGAGGTTTGTCACCATAAGAGACTGGCCGTGGCCGCCGCATGCCTGATTTTGTCGATCGCCTAGATCAGTTCCCAGTCCCCTGACTTCTCTTATGCTCGCACTCCGCACAAGCTGCAAAATGTTGGCGCCAACTCTCGCGACCCACACCGTCGTGATCGGTGGTGGCATTATCGGCTCCTCTTCGCTTTACTACTTGGCCAGACACCCCGGCCGACCGGCCGGGTCCACGATCACACTCATCGAAGCGTGCAACGAGGTGGCGCCTGGCGCTAGCGGCAAAGCTGGTGGCTTCCTGGCACTAGACTGGCACGGCATTGAAACGGCCAGCCTTGCTGAGCTGAGCTTCAAGCTGCACCGCGAGCTCGCGGACGCTGGTAACGGCAAGGAAAGGTGGGGGTATCGGGATGTCGAGGTGCATGCAACGTAATAATCTTCCATTGCAACTCCTTTGGCCTCTCTCTAACCTCTCTTGCGGCAACTACAGACACTTCAAGTCCACCTTGATACAACGAAGAGCCGCTCGAAATGCCCAAAGGAGCTCGATTGGGTCGACTCGAAAATTGTAACTTCGACAAGTAGCATGGGCGGCGGTGGGACAACGGCGCAAGTCACTCCAAAGCATTTGGTCCAGTACTTGGTTGAAGAAGCTTGCAAGCAACCCGGAGTGAGCGTGCGGCTTGGCACTCGCGCCACATCACTAGAGACGACATTCAATGGTGCCGTGAAAGCTTTAACTGTTACTGATTCTGTAGGGAAAGAGGAAAGCCTGCCGATCGATCGTCTGGTCGTCGCAGCTGGCCCCTGGACCGGCAAGCTATTGGCCCCGTCGTTGATCCCATGCCAATCGCCTTCACTGTCCGACTCACGCACCGCCAAGATCATCCGCAAAGCGCAGAGCATCGACGGCTCGCGCGCGCACTCAATCATCGTACGCGGTACCCGGCCTACGTCGAACCATTGTCTGTTTACCGAGATGCGCTATGGCCCTGGTGGCCGGAAAGCGGGTGCGCCCGAAGTATATGCGCGCAGTGATGACACGGTCTACGTCTGCGGCGGCTCGGACGACGTGCCGCTGCCGCTGTCCGCGGACGAGGTCTGCTATGACCCAAAGAAGACCAAGGAGCTAATCGAGCAGGCCCGCGTAATCAGCCCAGATGTTCTGGGAGCGGATGCGGCTGTCGTGGCAGAGCAGGCGTGCTATCTCCCATGCGGCAATGGTCCACCCGTCGTCGACGGCTCACCAGCGACCGGGCTCTATGTTGCAGCAGGTATGTATTGGTCTTGTGCGATCCTGAGTGTTGCTGAGATCGCCATCACTCTGTGCATGCCTCCTCTCCAGGACACACTTGCTGGGGTATCACGCTTGGCCCTGGTACTGGAAAAGTCATTGCCGAACTCATCTATGATGGCGAGGCAAAGTCTGCCGACATTCAACTACTGATGGTGTAGTTCATATCCGCGCTGATACCCGCACTACACGCACAGAGCGCATGTTTCACTCCCTAATCTTACACAATACTCAGTAGGCTTTGGCGCATCTTGGTGTCTGGCGCCGGTGCCGCGCTGTAAGGATCTCGCCCCCTAGTGCTTCACCTGCCCCGGCCCCGGCTGCGTCCACGCACTCGTCCCCGGCTCCTATCCGCCCGCCCTCTTGACGCAGGGTCCTTCCTCTTCCCCTTGGGCTTTGGCGCATCGTCGACGAGCAGCATGTCCAATGGCAATGAGTCTGGCAAGATCCAATAGCGTGTGTTGTTGCCGCGGATGGAAAGGGTGTCGAGCGATAGCGGTTCGCGGCCTTTGACTGTCATCTTGACCGTTTTCAGATGTGTGTTCATTTGAATGTCGACGCCTAGGAAGGATGAAGATTGGATAGCGGGTGCAGGCAAGCAGATCAGAATCTAAGAAGTTTGCTGAAAGGCAGCAGAGACAACGCACCTGTGACTGTCCCATGCACGACTGTCCCATTCTTGAGTTCAATTGTGACGGTCTCATTGTTGAGTTTCATCAAAAATCTGGCAACCAGGAGGTCAGTTGATCTGTCAACCTGCGACTGGAGTTTACACGAAAGGTCCACAGTTTGCGGTCCGCTTTCAAGTCATGCATCAGGGCAGCGCCATAATGGCACGCAAGATTGCTGCTGCTCAGCCAGCCTCAGCTTGAAGCTGAAGACGAGGGTGGACATTGGTGATCCATCTCTGGGTAAGTTCAGACGTCCAGTGCATCACACCTCTCGTGCACTTGATCATCTCCAGATCCTTCCTTTGTCGCCTCAGCCGACCATTCGAACCTCGTTGAAGCTCGGAGCGTCTAGAAGCCTCTTTCGCATTGAGTGCACTGGACCACGCACAATCAACTCGAGCCCGGTGTGGGGCTTTGGATAGAGCGATCCGCTTTACTGTGCTCAAGATCGCATCTATTCCCTTTGGCCACCTTCATCTTTGATGAGATGTATCCTTTCGTTTCTGCAGAGGTTCTACCCTAAGAAGGCCGCAAGCCGACACATGAAGGCTCCTCCCCAAAGCGTCCTAGCTCTGCCCAGTGTCATTGCCAACTTAGCTGAAGAACTTACCTGACGAGCTTCATGGCGACGAGTCTTGTGCTTTCTCCTTCAGATCAGTGCTTTGCCGTATGGGCGTTTTTTGATGGTCCTCTGCAAGTGCCCTACCTTGAAACTACTCAAATCATGCTTTGGATGTCAACGAAAGTACTCGACAAGAAGCTCTGCGCAATGTACACATTGAGATCTTGTCACGTGACCAAAGACGAAATAGTGTCGATTTCAACGAAAAGCAACTGTTGCGAGATCCATTGCTTTTATTCGCCACGACATCCTTACAACCCAGCGAGGCTACACATTACAGTCCATCATTTGCCTACGAGCTGGGGCTGCGTCGCGTGGTTGCAAGGAAAAGGCAATATGAGGGAAGCGCGAATTCTCTCTCGTCGCCACCTTTGTTACGATGATGAGCGGCAGGTTTTCTCGCGTCTATGGGTGCGCGCCATACATATATGTCTGCTTCGCAAACCTTTTGCTACATGATAAAACATTACAGAATGGTTATGTATCCCCCCTATTCCCTCTACCGACCCCCGTAGTACTAGATGACTATTGATTGAATTGCAGCTCGCTAAGGTATACCGACTCTACTCTCTGGCCACCTACAATGCGCACGTCAGGATGCATGGCAATGTCGCCGGCGTAACGAGCTGCGAAGCCATCTTGCACCATGTGACTGACGAATCAGCAGTGTGATAAGTGAGCCAACATGTGTAGATTCCGGCGCTGGATGATTCAGGGTTCGAATGCACAGCATGGCGCTTTGACGAAGGCGCCACAACCCGCTCCTGTAAGCCGCGTCACCCCAAGCACAAATGAGACCGAGCCCTGTCTGGGAGCACTGGGGGCCAACGCCGCTGCAAGAACTACAGAAATTCGAGCATTGCGAGGAGAGGCGGGGGAGCGCAAATTCTTCAAGAAACACCCGCGGACAATGTCTTTCGTAGGCCGAGGATGGGCGTGACTGCTGAAGGTCACGGTAGTACGTTGCAGAACTGCTCTTTCTTCACCATGACGCTTTCGTCAGACGCTGTTTCTCTGGTCGCCTTCCGCTTGCCGGGGCCCTCTACTCGGTGAAGCTACGATGGCAAGGGCCACTTGTCGGAAGCAGATGGTGTGGGTCATGCAAATCGCATGAATTGGAGGAAGGGATAACACATTATGCGAGCGCCAGCTGAGGACTGTTCGCCTCTAAGCCTCGGCGTGCATTTGGGCTTTCGATTGACAGATTCAAGTGCGCCCGCGCACGCTGCATCACGAAGGCGATTGTAAGTTTCGTGGTCAGAAGGGAAGCAATGGGGGTTGACCCCTACATGGTCGACTTCAACAACCTGGTTCATCTAGAGTCCAAAAGTGCTCTCTTACTAGCTCGCAGGAATTGTCTTGTGTCCGCAGTGGATGTGACGCGTATTGTAGGGTTGCGAATTATTCAGCCCGCGTACGTCCGAGGTTGCCTGACGCGTCTCTCGGACACTGATCCAGTGCTGCTTCCCAGAAAAACCCCCCTCCACCACACCGCCGACTGCGGTTTGCCCTTTATACAAGCATGTCTTCTGGCTCGCCTCTTCACATCCATCATACCTTGCTACCCTCGTCTCCAGACCAATTTCCAGCAACACCTAGGGAAAGTTGCCAAGATGGGTCGCCGTCCAGCCCGTTGCTACCGCTACTGCAAGAACAAGCCCTACGTGAGTAGCAGAAGCACACTTTATCGATTCATGACGAGCCGGCGGTGCTCATAAGTACTTATTGTCTCTCCTGCAGCCCAAGAGTAGGTACAACCGTGGTGTCCCTGACCCCAAGGTGAGCTTTTATTCAAGCCTGTCAATACTGTGGTCACAGTTGGTGGCCCAAACATGATTTAGAGGAAGCTGCAGTGGCTTCATTTGGCCAGGAAAAGAACGAAATTTATTGTAGAGACTTGTTGGCAGGGGGTTGGCAAAGGTGACCTTATCAAGAGCTCACGAGAGCCGGGGCGTGGGGCGGTTGGCCTTGGCAGAATACGAGAGCGTTGGGCCGCTGGCCATGCAAGTTGCCAGATGATAGGGTAATGTGCACGTTGGACAGTGAGGATGGCTCATGGGGAGGCAGTGCTGCTTCTGTCATGGGTTGGGGGAATAGCGTGGCATGCGGCTTCGCTGCATGTCCTCCGCGATATTGTCCGCACTTTAGAGCGGGACGCGACTGACTCGTTGGGCTGCGACTGCAGATTCGTATCTACGATCTTGGTCGTAAGAAGGCGTCAGTCGACGACTTCCCCTTCTGCTGCCACTTGGTCTGCGATGAGCACCAGCAAATCACTTCGGAAGCCCTCGAGGCCGCCCGTATTTGCGCCAACAAGTACATGACCAAGACTAGCGGCAAGGACTCTTTCCACATGCGTGTGCGCGTCCACCCCTTCCACGTCATTCGCATCAACAAGATGCTTTCATGCGCCGGAGCTGATAGGCTTCAAACGGGCATGCGTGGCGCATGGGGCAAGCCATACGACACTGTCGCACGTGTCGATATTGGCCAGGTTCTTCTGTCCATCCGCTCGCGTGACAGCAACAAGGTGAGCATTGCATATACAGATCAACTAATTTGCTTTCGAAGCTAACGCTTCACGTTCATTCTGCAGGCTACCGTCATGGAGGCTCTCCGCCGTGCCCGCTACAAGTTCGCTGGTCGCCAGAAGATCATTATTTCCAAGAAGTGGGGCTTCACCAACATGGACCGGACCCAGTTCGCAACGGCCAAGTCGGAGAACCGTATCCTCAAGGACGGTGCATACCTTCAGTACATCAACAACCGTGGCCCACTCGAGAAGAACCTTCGCCTCCAGGCCCGTATTGCTGCGCAGAAGTGAGCGGGAACGCTTCTGAGCCTCTTGTACCATTGCATTCTTCGCGTCTGCTTCTACAAGTGTACTAGATGTTCGGCACTGCTGTACGTGTAATGCTATTCTTGGACAGACCTACCCTCACATCATGTTATGCTTCTGCTGGCTGATGAATGTACACGAAGGCAATCGGTTAGATGCAGCGTCCGAGTGGCGCAGTAGCCATTACACAGGTTCGGTTGGACTGGCGTGCTATTGCGTCGGGCAAATCGTCTTGGGGGAATGCGTCGAGTCTGACTGCTAGCCGCCAGGACTGGACGCACGAAGGCGAGAAGCGACTTGTGGCGCAATTACCCCTACTCCTTGGTCAGCACTCCTTCGAATGGCAAATGCCTCCTTTGATTGAATACCTGGCTTGCGGTGCTATCGCGGATGCCATCCACTTTGTCCTTTCATTGTCTTGCCAACATGGACCCACGTCTTTGCCTCTGCACGAAGCTATAGATGTACACTTTGAATGTGAGCGAACGCCAGCGGTTTCCAGGTTGCACTGAGCGGAGCCGAACCTTCACTATTCTCTATATTCACTATTCACTATTCACTATATTCACTGTTCACTATTCACTATTCACTACTGATCAGCCCTCCTGCTTCACACACTTTACAATTTAGATATCCTCACACTCACTGCAACGCCAACGAGAGAAAAGCGCGCTTGGCAGCATGTCAGCTCTCGGTGCGCCAAAAGTCATCGTCGACGCCAGCGTCGTCCCACGCGTCGGAATTGGCTGCTTCGTCCAGGACGCGAGAGGGTTTGTCCTGATCGGAAAGCGGAACGGCAGTCATGGTAGCGGTACCTTGGTAAGTTGCTCAAGTCTGGTATGTGTGACTGTGCCGGAACCTCAAAGCCTCGCGATTCCTTCGGGCGCGCTCGACCACCCGCATGGCAGGCGTTACCTGGCGGTCACCTAGAATTACATGAGAGTTTCGAGGAATGCGCTGCCCGTGAAGTCCTCGAGGAGACGGGCATCAGGCTCGAAGATGATAGTTTTGGGGTCCGTTCGTCGCTTCAAGGAGCTGCCACGTTACCAGTCCCAGAATTCAACACGAACAATAGCTTGAACCCAACTTCCTCCGCGGCCGTATCCCCCTCACCGGCTCAACGATGCGGTGTCAGAGTCCTCGGGGCAGTTAACTCGGTCAACATGCGCGACGCTCATGAAGATGCCTCTACGCCTCCCCGGCACTATGTGACGATTTTTTGCTCAGGCCGAGCACATGCAGATACACAAAAGGCTCTCAATCTCGAGCCGACCAAGTGTCTCGGCTGGCAGTGGGTGCCGTGGCGATGGCTGCATGGCGCGGCGCTGGCGCAGAACGAGGCTCGACGCATGCAAGACCACCTGACGGCACAAGGGTGTGCGCTTCCCGTATCAGCTGAAAAGATGTTGCTGGCGCAAAGGATTGGCGAAAGCATAAGTGCGACGGGCCAACAAGCTCTTGACGAAGTTATGCGTCTCCCGCGCGCAGCCGCCTCGAGCGTCGCAATGGCTGCCATCGATGCTGATGCGTCGAACAGGACGGGTCCCAGGACAGAGGAGGAGGTGGCTGCTTGGAAAGAAGCGGATGAGTTCGCTGCGTCTGCGGCGCTGTTTGAACCCATTGTAAATTGCTTTCTCCAACTACCCGAATTATGGGCGATAGGTCCCCATAGATGGTAAAGGTCAAAGGATGTCACTCATGTCATGGGTGCGTGTGTATATGCGTATGGGTCAATGTACATCACTCGTCGCCAACCCACTGCTCGGCGAGAGGGCCTGCGTACGCCACGTACGGCACCCGCTCGAGCATCGGCGCGTTGGCCGCTGCTGCTGACCCGCACACCCAGAACCAGCCTACGGCGCCCATGCCGACGATAATCGATAGACTGTACCACCCGAGCCAGCTGCGCAAGACCCAGAGAAGCAGGATGAGAGCAACACCGCAGATGCCGGACTGGTAGGCGTGGAAGCGGGCAAGGTCCTGCATTGTGGAGGGCAAGTTCGTAAATCAGCATCGCGATCAGCGCGAGGTGCGCGAACGAAGATTTTCTCACATTTTCCGTCTCCCATATGAGTATCGCGACGGAAGTGAAGGGCGGGAACGCCCACGCAGCCATGGAGAGGTTGCTGATGCTCCACCCTTGACTTGTCGCGTAGCTATGGTGGTCTGGGATGATGCCAGCACCAGAAGATGCCAGTTGCGATGATTGTATTGACCCTGCTGCCCCGCCACCTCCCGCAGCAGCATTACGCGCAAGAGCTGCTGAACCCCACGCCGGTAGAGGACTCTGGTAGCTTGCGCTGCGCCCGATTCCCTGCTGCTGCGCGGCATGCTGCAAGTGCTGCTGGGCACTGTGCGCAAAGGTTCCTGAGGGCCGCCCTGGCCCCGATGCGAAGCTTGGGCCCTGCTTCTGCTGCTGCATACTATCACTCCCAAAGGACTGCTCTGCTGCGTTCGCGTCGAAAACCACTGGGCCGCCTCTTGCAGTTGCGGCTGTAGTTGAAGATGATGCAGGCGCAGAAGAACCTGCCTGATACGAGTCGATCGCATACCGCGAATCTATATCGTCGTCGTCGTCGTCGTCGTCATCGAAAGAAAGCCGATGATCGGAGACCGTGGCTGCGTGTGTCTGTTTCTTTCCTGTCCCTACTTCATGGCTTGAGTTTCCCTTTGGGTTACTCTGTGTCCACGACGCAGGCGCACCAGGAGCATCAGACGCCGCTGCCGTCCGCGAGCCGGCGGATGACGCAGCCGTTGCGGCCATCTTTCTTTCTGTGACTCTCTCCGCTGACGCTCCTTTCTCACGAGCCTATGAATGTCAGAAGCCCTGCTCTCTGGCTTGCTCTTTATGTATTGTTGTTCAGTGCGAGAAGTGCGCAGAGGATCCGCCCAATGTCATGCTGGCTTTAGGCTGTCTGCTGTGCGCCGACTAAGTTGGAGTGTCTGAGCTCATCCAGTCAGTGTACCTAGTACTAGTCAGTAGTTTCACTATCACAACACAACCCTAACGTAGATGTGAGCGTATGTGTTACACTTTCCTCCGCTGCCCTGTTTCGGCTTTGCATTCGGGCCGGTTCATACAGTTTCTCTCTCGTGGCTACACTCGCGGTCACACTTGGCCCCGCAACTCAGAAGCGCAACCAGAACACAACCATGATAACCCCCAAAGCTCTACTCTTCCAGTCCTACGAGTCTGTCAGCCCCTCCGCCCCCCCCCGAGCAGTAGGACTGTGGGAGGCAGACTGCACCCACCTGCCAGCTGAGTCCTTTAGTCTCGTATTGCTTATGGCCAAGAAGAAAGAAGCCATTCTTACTGGTGCAAGCGCACGGTGTTACCGTTGGCGCACTGGCTGCAGCGTGCCGTATCCTCGTCGGAAGCCAGCCCGTCTCATCTGGGGGTACTGGCCACGATGCCACCTGCGACAGGAGTGAGAGCCGCCAGGGCAAGTGCTCACCGTACCGATGCGATCCTTGCAGCGCTTCGTCCAGTACTCGGCCCAGCATCCAAGGCTTACCTGCTCGGCTACCTTGTCGAAGCCATCCCAGCCATTCTCAAACATGTGCTGCTGTTCATCAACTCGCACATTCGGCGTCTTTCGAGGGAGGCCAAGCGCCTAAATGAGGCACGCGAGCTGGAGCTCGAGTGGCAGCAGCAGAAAGAAGAGAACCAGCAGGAGGCCGGAGGCAGCGCAAGCGACAGCAGCAAACGGGCAAGGATCGCGTCCGAAACGCAAGCAGCAATCGCCGCGGGGAAACAGGCGACACTTGATACTGTCAGATCAGTCTTGCATGACATGCCTGTCCTGCTGCGGGCGATCGTTCAAAATTTAATTTCTTCAGCGACGTCTCTACGCGGGATGGCAGTCTGCTCGATGCTCACCATTGTGCTGTGGAAACTTGTAGAGGCAACTCTCAAAAATACACTCGAGCGCTTGCAAGGAGCAGGCTCCAAGGACCATGCAGTCAAGCAAAGCTCCAGATCTGTCGCTATCTGCTTTGCCGCATCTGCCGTCGCATCAGCCTCCTCTCTTACCCTGCTTCAATCAGCCTCTTCAGGTTCCGGCGCTCCCTCTGATACCGGTCGAGACGCACGGCGTTTCATGCGCACCTCGCCAAATAGCAGCGTATCCAAGACGCTCAAGGGCCTAATAGCAACACCTCTGGCACCAGGCGGGCACTTTCTCGCTCGATTAACAACCCTGAGCCTCCCAGAAACACCTGTCACTCCACCGGATCCTGATAGCCAGCTGCTACATGGCGGCTGCCCCAGCAGCCCCATTTCCTCCTTCCGCATGGGTTCCGGCTCGCTGCAAGAGAAAGGTGAACTAATTGCACGCATAAACTCCCCTGGCACCGAGGCGAACAGCAGGAGCAGGCCCAAGCGAAAGGCGACGCCCAGCCCGACGATCGACTTCACACTTTTTGCGCTCGTCAGAGGACTGGACACTTTCGTGCGGGTCTTGTTGTTCCTGCTTGCGGGTGGCGCTGCTGCTTCTGGTGCTGACTCGCAGACAGCCGGTGTCCGAAAGATACTGAGGGTGAGCGGGAAGGGGAAAGCCGACTCTGGGACAAATGCGCTGCTTGCGCGCATGTCGAGGAAAGTCGGGAACCTGGTCGTGAATCAAGTTGAAGGGTTGATTTTCGTGGTCTGCTGCGGTGAGTGATTAGACAGGGGGAGAAGCCTGGCTGTATGCGAACGTACTGATTGATTCTCGTGTCACTTTGCCCGTACCGTGTAGCCGAAATTATGTTCTCGTGGTTTTACTATCCCGAACGATTACCGCCAACTTACAATAAATGGTGAGGAGGCAATAGCATCGTCAGTGATATTGTCGGAATCCTTGTGCTCACAGTTGTACTGCAATCCTAGGATTACGAACCTTGCCGCGATGGACCAGCGCCTGCTGACAATTCTGCGCTGCAGGCGATTCAGCAAACCATACTACTGGTGCTACGGTGACCCCAACGTATCGCCGGCCGGCATCGACCTATGTTCCTCGCTGTCCGAATCGCTTGGCCACCCATACCAGTGGGGCGACGTCACGCGCCTGCCCTCGACGTCAGCGGAGGCAAAGCGGATGCTCCAGGCAGCGCATGCCAAGAACAAGCAAATTGCAGAAACCGAGGGCAAAGAGTTCTCGAATCTCAGTTGCGCTGAACAGGACGCCGGCTACATCCTCGCTGGTGCCAAGGGTCCCAGAGGACGCGGCGAGATGGGCGGCATACCCTGTGAAATCGTTCACTGTGGCGTTGGGGGTGCCTCTTGCTTGGCCAACGCGGGCCTACGCTGGTTCAGGGGTTGGAAGGCCAGCATGGCGATCTACGTCCCGGTACACTTGCTCCCACGCTTACTTTTTGGGCACAAGCTCTTCCTGCAAAAGCCTCTGGCGAGCATCCTCAAAGTCGCACTGGGCAGCGCGCGCAGCGCCGCGTTCCTCGCCACATTCATCGCGCTCAGCTGGTTCCCTGTTTGCGTCGGGCGCACCCTTGTCCTACCAAAGCTTTTCCCGAACATCTCGCACAACTTTTGGGACGGAGGCCTGGGGCCTGCCATGGGATCTTGGGCCTGCGGCTTCTCCGTCTTCATCGAAGAGAAGCGCAAACGCGCTGAGATGGCGCTGTACGTCGCCCCGAGAGCGCTGTTCGCCATCACCGAGAGCTTGCGTCCTGGGTGGATCAGCGACGGTCAGAATAAGAGTGCTAGGGTCGCAGAGAGGTGGGTCTGTTGCCTCTTCTACCGTCGACTTTTGTGATCATCTTATACTAACAGTGCACTTCATGCTTTCCGGCTCATGGCCCAGGATCATCTTTGGCCTCAGCGCCGGCTTGGTCATCACTACCGCCAAGTATCGCCCTGGCTTGCTCCGGGGTATCCCGAGCATCCTTGCTTGGGTCCTCAAAGAACCAGGGCAAAAGAAAGTCAGGATCAACGCCCTGCGGGGCGGTGGTTGAAGAAAGTAGCAAACAAGACACATCAACGGGCGATTCCCCTTTGTTATTTTTAGAATCCGCGCAACTCGCATTTGCATTTCGTTTGATTGTACATCTACCTATTTGCGATAGGCAGTGGCTCCGCGCAAGCCGTTGAGCATGTCGTAAACACGGATCAACTGGGAGTCGTCCAGCAAGCCCTCGCCGCGGCCTTGAGACGAGTTAATGATCTGCAACGCCTGCGCGGTGAGCGGCAGCGCGGCTCCAACTTCCCGCGCGGCATTGACGACGATGCCGGCATCCTTCGCGATGATGTTCACCGCGGACTTGATCTCTGGCTCCTCCTGCAGCATGCGCTTGCCGCGGTTCTCCAGGAACCAGCTCTGTGCTGCCGAGCCTGACATCAGCTCCAGTGCCACCTTTGGGTCGATCCCGCTGGCCTTGGCGAATGACAGCGCTTCGGCCGCTGCAACGAGATGGACAGCGCAGAGCACTTGGTTGACCGCTTTCATCGACTGCCCCGCGGAACAGTTCTCCCCGACGTGGAACAAATTGGTGCCCATCAGTCGCAGCAGCGGTTCGACGTCGTCGTAGACGCTCTTCTTTGCGGAGGCCATCAGGGTTAGCGAGCCGGCATTGGCGCCGACGGCACCGCCGGAGACAGGACAGTCGACGTATTTGCGCCCCTTGGCTTCGACCTCTTTCCCTAGAGCTGCCGAAGTGGCGGGGGAGATGGTGCTCATGAGCAGAACCGTGCCATTCTCCTTGAGACTCTCCAGTGCGCCGTCTTGGAAGAGCACCTGCCGAGCTTGCGCGTCGTTGATCACCATCAAAACCAAGTAGTCAGCGCCTTGCGCTGCTTCACGCGTCGATTTGCTCGCTTTGGCGCCGTGCGGAACGATGGCCTGCATTGCTTCGTCCCGGATGTCGAACACGGTCAGCGGTGTGCCAGACTTGGCAATGTTGATCGCCATGCCGGCTCCCATGGCGCCTAGGCCGACGAAGCAAACGGACTTGCTGAGTGCCATCTTGTGGTAGATCAATGTTATTTTGGAGGCACGCTCGGCTGAGATCAGACTTTGAGGGAGCGAATCGCGAGTATGGCCGTCGCTGCTTGGGTGACGGACAGGGTGTTTGACGGCGCACCAAAGGCTTGGAGGGAGTTGAGCTCAATCACAAAATCCGACTCGTCGAATGGGAGAACGTGATGTCGTGCGGGGGAGGTGCAGGTAAGCGTGGATCCCATCGTATATATATATATATATATTGTAATATGTATATCGTCCAAAGCGGAAGCCTCCAAGCTCGACCTTGCCCCGGGCCAAGGACGCCCAGTATGACAGGCAGGAAATGCCAACGCCGGTGACCGCCAAACAGCCGACAAGGTGAAGATGCTTTAGACGATGACCGTGGGGCGAAACAGAAGACGTGGGGGGACGTGTGTGCGGGGCGAAGGATCGAAGGGCACAGGGCGAGTGTGTGTCGGCAAAACCGTTTCTCCGAAGCCTTTCGATCCGCTCGGCTGACGTCCGTACTGTCGGATGGTCACCATTGTGCTCACGTCCCTTCCTTCTTGCCTCCCATCGTTCTCTATTTCGATTCTTCACTTCTGCGCAACTTTGTGTCTGAGCATGGATTAGAGAAACAAAAGATGGGCGCGTGTACTGCATTCTAACTGACTCCCGAGAAACGGCCGCGCACGGTAAAGCTCGGGCCAACAGACGTCATTTTTCAGCTTGCAAAGAACTTTGGTCAGAGCTGCATGTGCCGGGTTGGCTTGTCTTCTGCTGCTTCCCAGCCTGGCTTACCCAGTCTCCAAATACGGGGGTTACTCGAGACTGAATGCGCAGATTCACTAACCGCTGATGATGATGTGTATTTCTCTGCCTTTATGTCCACCATGACTTTGAACTGCTGCGCTCGAGGGAAGCAAGCTCCGTTTGGGTGTCAAAGACTTCACCATGATGATGCTCAAAGCACTCTTAGCCCTGCAAAATCTCTCCATCTCATCTCCCAGAAAGCGCAAGGCAGCTCGCCTTACTGACCTTCCTACCACCGTGATCACCAGCATCGCTCTGAAGCTCAACATTGTCGACCTTGCACGGCTTCGTCTGGTGTGCAAGAATTTCGACGAGGATATTCAGCGGTCTACCATTTTGTACCTCAAGGCGAGGTTTCCACAGCATTCTGGCCACTGCGATGTATCATCTAGCTGGAAGAGCGCCTGGCTTGCGCTTGCGCAGCTTCAGCTAGGTGCTCGTGATGTCGACACTATCAGAACAGTCGACGCCAAGGAGAAAGCTATCAGCCGACAGCAGCTGCACCATAAGCGGTTCGAAAAGAGCTTCCCCATTGGCTCAAAGATCTTTGGACCGTGCGCAACGTGCAATACTGTCTGCTGCGCCGATTGTGGCAGGACAACTATCCAAGCCGAGGCTCATGATTGGGACGCAAGCCTCTCGTCGCTGAAAAAGGCGCTCAAAGAGCATGCGATCGCCAAGCACGTCGACCGCATGCTTTGCGACAACTGCATCGTGAAGCCCAACTATGCGACTCTCACGGCGGCCGATGCGCAGTCCCTCTACGGGATTCCCCGCGGCATACTTGAAGAAGCGTGTCTGCCGGACACGATCGTCGTCACCCATGTAGAGCCGCGTGAAGACACTCCGCTACGCTGGCGTCAGGGTGAACGTCAGGGTCATGGTACAGCTCAGGGTACTCGCACAGACGATCATCCCCGCTCTCACATGGCAGATGTGGTGCATGTTACATCCGAGTACCTTCACTGCGAGGTCGCCGCCCTCGCGTCCGATTTGCAAGGCAAGAAGGTCCCGATCACACTCGATTGCCGTGAATCGTTCATCGCCTCACGCATGCGCCGCAGCGGCTATGGCGAACACACTGGGCACATCCTGCCAAGACCTCCTCCCTCTTGCCAAACTGCGTCCTCTGCAAGGCCAGTCCCAGCTGCGACAAATGGTGGCGGCGACGGCGAACAAGATGAAGCGCTCGCCATCGCCGAGGCACTAGCGTTCGGCACACCTGACGAGGGCCCCTGGCTGCTAGCGGGCTATGATGCGAACGCGGCAACTGATTCTTCGCGTTTGTGATGCGTGTGTCGACTTGATTGATGGAAGCACATATGCTGGCGCTCGAAGGAGATCGCCTACGCTGCGACATCAAGCCGTGCCAGGGCTTGCTCAAAGCTGATCCAGACGCGTGGAAATGTATGCCGAGCCAAAGAAACAAACTATCGAATCCAGAATGAAATCGAGAACAAAGGTAGGAAGGTACTCTCTACATGCGTTTTAAGTATCATCAACTTGCGCCAACCGAACCATGCACCTAGTCGATCGACTCCATGGCGCTCTCGCCGGCGATCTCCTCAACAGCGTCCTTGTTGTTGGTGTCCTCGACGGCGTCGAGGCCAGTGTCGTCGATGGAGAGGCCGAGCGAGATGAGCTTGAAGAGCCTGTTGGCAAAGTCTTGCGGCGTCTCGAGGCTGAAGCCGGATGTGAGCAGAGCAGTCTCATACAGGAGCCAGGTGAGGTCCTTGACGGTCGCGTCGTTCTTGTCTGCGCCGCTCTTTACCTGGAGCTCCTTGATGATGGCGTTCCTGGGGTTGAGCTCAAAGGTCTTCTTGGACGCCATGTACTGTGACATGCTTGTGTCGCGCAGCGCCTGTGCCTTCATGATGCGCTCCATGTTGGACGACCAGCCAAACTGACCCGTGACGAGTGCGCATGGCGAGCCGACGAGGCGGTTGGTGATCACGACCTTCTCGACCTTGTCTCCGAGGATGTCCTTGACGTTCTTGCAAAGCTCCTCGAAAGCCTTGGCCTCCTCCTCGCGCTGCTTCTTCTCCTCCTCGGTCTCCTCGAGTTCGAGCCCCTCCTTGGAGACGCAGACGAGCTTCTTGCCCTCGAACTCCTTCAGCTGCGTCACGGCGTACTCGTCGATCGGGTCAACCATCAGTAGGACCTCGAAGCCCTTCTTCTTGAGTGCCTCAAGGAACGGCGAGTCGCGCACGCTCTGCAGGCTCTCGCCGGTGAGGTAGTAGATGTTCTTCTGCACCTCGGGCATGCGTGTAATGTAGTCCTTCAGCGACGTCATGTCGTCGCCATTCTTGGTCGACGAGAAGCGCAGGAACTCCGCGAGCTTGGCACGGTTCGTCGAGTCCTCGTGGATGCCGAGCTTGAGGTTCTTGCCGAAGGCCTCGTAGAACTTCTTGAAGTTGTCCTCGTCGTCCTGGATCTCGCCGATCATCTCGAGCACCTTCTTGACGATGTTCTTGCGGATCACCTTCAGGATCTTGTTCTGCTGCAGCGTCTCACGCGAGATGTTCAGTGGCAGGTCCTCCGAGTCAACAATGCCCTTAACAAAGCCGAGCCACTCGGGGATGATGTCCTCGCAGTCGTCCATGATGAAGACGCGGCGGACGTAGAGCTTGATGTTGTTGCGCTTCTTCTTGGTCTCGAACATGTCAAACGGCGCACGCTTGGGCACGAAGAGCAGCGCCTTGAACTCCAGCTGACCCTCGACGGAGAAGTGCTTGACCGCCAGGTGGTCCTCCCAGTCGTTGGTGAGCGACTTGTAGAACGCACCGTACTCATCGTTGGTGATGTTCTTCGGGTCGCGCGTCCAGAGCGGCTTGGTCTTGTTGAGCTCCTCGTTCTCGGTGGTAGTCTCCTTGACCTTCTTCTTCTCCTTCTTCTTCTTGCTCTCCTCGTCGTCCACCTCCTCGATCTTGGGCTTCTTCTCATCACCCTCGTCCGCCTCCTCCTCCTCTTCCTCCTCGACCTCCTTCTCGACCTCCTTGGTGACGACGAGCTGGATGGGGTACGAAATGAACTCAGAGTGCTTCTTGACGATCTCCTTGATCTTGCGCTCCTCGAGGTACTCCAACTGGTCCTCCTTCATGTACAGGCGCAGCTCGGTGCCGCGGCCGATCGATGGGTTGACCGTGTCCTGTGTGATGGTGAAGGTACCGCCGGCGGCGCTCTCCCAGATGTACTGCTCGTCGTCGTTGTTCTTGGTGATGATCTGCACCTTTTCCGCGACAAGGTAGGCCGAGTAGAAGCCGACGCCAAACTGGCCAATCATGGAGATGTCTGCGCCCGAGGAGAGGGCCTCCATGAAAGCCTTAGTGCCGGACTTGGCGATTGTGCCGATGTTGTTGACCAGGTCTGCCTTGGTCATACCAATACCGGTGTCACGGATGGAGAGGATCTTGTTCTCCTTGTCCGGGGTAATGCGAATGTACAGGTCCTTCTCCGTCTCCAGCACCGATGGGTCGGTCAGCGCCGCATACCGGACCTTGTCGAGTGCGTCTGATGCATTGGAGATGAGCTCACGAAGGAAGATCTCCTTGTTCTATATTCCAAATGGACAAGTGGCGAGGATGGGGGTTGTCAGTATGGCACGTCCCTATGACGAGGCGAGCAGCGAACCGTGCAGATGGATAATCGTCGGTTGCATGCTCGCGTCTGCACCGAATGGGGAAAGGTACTCACGCTGTAAAAGGTGTTGATGATAAGGTCCAAGAGCTGGGAAATGTCGGCGGCAAAGCCGAACGTCTCACTGTTCGCTGCAGACATGGTTGCTAGAAAGTAAAAGGGCTGCTGCGGAGTGGTCTGCTCTCTGTCGTTCACAGCCTGTTGCTTTCTTGCTCAGAGTGGGAAATACTTCGAAGAGCTTGGAGAGAAGCCGTCCTATTCACGAAAGGTAGGGAGAGTGCGAAGTATTATTATACATACGACCTGAGCTGCAATAAGAAGAAGTTGATACTGCGTTCCTCTCTCCCGCCCGTATGATGAAATCGAGTCTCGCTGGTGGAAGCTCGCCGAAGGTCACGACTCGATTTTTGGAGCCTTCCACCAACTTCCATGTTCCGCCCTCGCACATTTCGGCCGAGAGTGTACCCTGACCGAATGGCCGATGTGGCTTCGTTCAAACTAGGGTGCTTGACCTTAGAGCCAGCGCAGAAGCGCATCCGCAAGGGCAGGCAGGTTTGCGATGAGCCTTCAATACGTAGCTGCTGGTGGCCGACAGCGCCACAAAGCGTCACAGCCATCCAACGTGGAAGCAGGTTGCTTGGCTCATCCACCAGTTTTCCTTACCTCACCCCTTCCCCCACGTTGTGCCATCAGGAGGAGAGGATGAGGAGCCTGGTGGCGAGAGCGGTAAACTGAGTCCTCTGTTTGGTGCTTAATGCGGGCATCGTCCTCGAGATTTTGACACATGGCGGGCACCCAACGCGGCAGGCGAAAGGCGCCGAGCCCGACGCGAAGAAATATGTATGGTACGTACTACATAGTAACATGCCAACCGCCAATAAAAGGCACCGTGGGTTTGAGACAGAGGAGCCGAGGAGCAGGCAGACGATCGGTGGTACATTAATCCATCCAATCTCTCACATTGCGAGAACAACCAACAGCAAGACCTATGGATGAGTGCGGTAGGCAGCCAGGAGCACAACATCTACGTCCAAATCTCGCGTTGCTCGACGTTTCATTTAATCACCTTTTGCATGTGTGGGAGAGCCTGGCACACAGCGTGCGAGGTGAGCAGGTGGCGCTTGGAGCTGGAGTGGGGGGTAGTATGCAAGCTTGCCTGTGACCTTTGAAAGGGTTAAGAGTTGCTATTGATTTTAAGCATGTCTTGTGTACATATGTATATGAATAGTCTGTGCCAGCCAGCAGTGCGACGAGCAGCCAGCGCGAAAGGGGAAGAAAGTCGCGGGCACAGACAGAGGAGAGCGAGAGAAGTGTGGTGGTGGATGCGCGCGCGGCAGATGAGCAGAAAGTCAGTCTCACTCCCGCGACCGCACACACCAGCCAACCCCATCCCATCCCCATCCATCCCATCATCCCCCTTGACCCTTGGCTTGCTCCCTCTGCGCTCGTCGACGCTGCATCCATCCACACACCCAATCTCTATTCACCAGCCAGCCGTCACGGGCGTGCCATCTTTCGGCGCGTCCTCCCCCATTGCTCCTACAAGCGCCCACCGCGCAGCCCTCCCCTGGAAGAAAGAGAGTTCCCTCTCTTTCCACAACGTAACAGGGCAATCCCAACGAAGCGCACATCACAGCACAGCAGAACAGCCAGAGGAGAGGCGAACGCACGAGCGTGTGCAGACCCCGAAGGAAGTGCACACAGAAAGAGGGAGGAGAGGGGTACACAGTCATCTTCATCCACATACAGCTACCCTGTGTGGCAATAGCATGTCTGTGATCTACCAACACCGCTCCCTCGTACCCATCACTGCCTCTTCATCCGCACCAGCAACGGCGGCAGTACCATCTTCCACATCGTCATCACCATCATCAGCAGCAGCGGCGGCGGCAACACCAGGAGCAGCTCCCAAGCAGGACAGGACCGGCCCCATTTGTTCTTCCTCCTCGTCTAACCCTCACACCATTGCCGGCGGCGGTCCAGGCAGTGCAACAATAGCGTCGTCAGCAGCGTCAAACTCTGGCTCTGCTGTAGGGAGAGGAGGAATTGGTGTAGGAGCGCTGCATTACAGTGACCTCCGACCGGATCGGCGCGGCGGACCACCGCTCCATTCTCTTCCACCTCTACCACCCCCACTTGGCTCGCACTCCTCCCTGCACAGTATGGCTGGTCCCGGTCCTGGCGGCCCCGGCCAAGGCGCTGCGCCTGGCTCTGGACCTGGCGGTCCCGGACCGGGTCCAGGTGGAGCTGGGTCAGGAGGCCCACCGCCCCCGCCAAGCCATCCAATGAACCCGGCTGCAACAGCCGCGGCGGCGCACCACCACCAGGCGCAGGCCCAAGCCGCCCAACAGCAACAGCAGCAACATCAACAACAGCAGCACGCCGGCATGCAACCGCAGCACCCTGCGCACGCTGCAGCTGCAGCTGCAGCGGCGCATCAGGCGCAGGCGCAGGCGGCCGTCGCCGCTTCAAGCGCCCGCCTGGCAGACCTGCTCGAGTTTGTCAAGCACGAGTTCGACCTGCTCGGTAACGATGCGGCGCAGCTCAAGGGCCAGAGGGACGAATTTGAGCATATGAGTGAGGCGCAGCCGCGGCAGGATGCTTGATGGTGACAGCAGAGTTGACATCATCTTCTTTTTGCTGCGCTTGTAGTCTCCAATCAGGTCGGTGAAGTACAGCGCATGCAACAGCACATTGTAGAGCTCGAAAAGAGGCACAGCGCCATGGCTGGGCAGTGAGTTAGCTTGTTCGCAGACTTGCCTTTCGACAACTTGCTGACAAGCGCTCGATACGTCGGCAGGTACGAAGAGGAAATTAAACGGCTGCGGAACATGCTCGATGTACGCGCTTCTTCAGTCGGACCGCCTCCGCACATGGGCCCACCCGGCACGGCGCGCATCGATAGTTCGGCGGAGATGCGCGAGCGAGAGCGCGACGGCGGCGCACCGCACCTGCCGCTCTCGTTTGACCGGCGCGCTGCGGCTTCTGCGGCCGAGGAGGAGCGCATGAATGGTTACGAGCGTGAGCAGGGAGAGCGCGACAGGGATAGGGATGGTAGGCCGTTCGGCGGGCCGGAAAAGCGCATGCGTATCGAGCGTGAGCGCGACCGCGAGTGGGACCGCGATAGCCTCCGGGACCGGGAAGTGCGGGAGCGGGAGTTGACCAGCGGCAGCACAGGCAAGGGCAATGGGCGAAGCGGGGGAGCTGGCAGCCCGATCCCCTCATCGAACCACTCAGCGTCGGGCAAGGATTCGGCGCGCTACGGCGCCGTCTCGGCCGCTTCGCCGCGCGGCCTGCCGCTTATGCACGGCCGACACGCGTCACCTGGCCGCGAGCGCGGGTCGATGCTGCCCACTGGCGGGGAGCAAGCGGCTGCAGCTGTTGTGGCGGGTAATGCGTCGCTGGCGAACCTGAGCGATCTGGATCCGGACGAGGTGCCGAAGGATCTTAAGAAGGAAGGCAGCGACTGGCTCGCCATCTTCAACCCAAAGGTCAAACGCGTGCTTGATGTCAATCTGGTGCACACACTCATGCACGAAAGCGTCGTCTGTTGCGTTCGCTTCTCCCCTGACGGCAAATATCTAGCTACAGGCTGTAACAAAAGCGCGCAGATCTACGATACCAAGACGGGCGCCAAGAGCTGCGTCCTGTCCGAACAGCCGCCGAACAGCAAGGGTGACCTATACATCCGCAGCGTCTGCTTCTCGCCCGATGGCAAGTACCTAGCGACCGGCGCCGAGGATCGGCAGATCCGGATATGGAATATCGCGACCAAGAAGGTCAAGCACCTGCTGCAAGGCCACAAGCAGGAAATATACTCGCTTGATTGGAGCCGCGACGGGCGCATCATCGCGTCCGGCAGTGGCGACAAGACTGTGCGCATCTGGGACGTTGACAGCGGCGAGCTGATGCACACGCTTTACACCAGCCCCGGCATGGAGCATGGCCCGAGCGAGGCGGGCGTCACGAGCGTCAGCATTAGCTCCGACAGCCGGCTCGTCGCGGCCGGCGCGCTTGACACGCTCGTGCGCGTCTGGGACGCCAAGACGGGACGCCAGCTGGAGCGGCTCAAGTCGCACAAGGACAGCATCTATAGCGTCAGCTTTGCGCCTGACGGAAAGAGCCTCGTCTCGGGTAGCCTCGACAAGACGCTCAAGATGTGGGACCTCACGGACACCTACCACGCCCTCAACGAGGGTAGGTACCCGCCTGATACCGGCCGCGACGACGACCGGCTCGGCAACGCCAGCTGCGCCGTCACGTTTTTGGGGCACAAGGTGTGTCGCTCCCCATGCATGAGGAGCATTGGCTCTCCGAAGCTGCTGGCTGAATTTCCACACTGACTTGACTTTATTCCTCCCCCTCCTCCGCTCCTGCTCACTCGCTGGCCTGCTTATCCCCTTTCCTGCAGGACTATGTCCTCTCCGTCTCGTGCTCGCCCGACGGCCAGTGGGTCGCGTCTGGAAGCAAAGACCGCGGCGTGCAGTTTTGGGATCCAAAGACGGCCGAAACGCAGTGCGTCCTCCAGGGGCACAAGAACTCGGTCATTGCCATCAACCTCTCGCCCGCTGGCGGACTGCTTGCCACTGGCTCTGGCGATTTCAAGTGAGTGTTTGCGTGCCCGTCAGTGCGACCCGAAGCGCCATTGGCTGATCGTCTCGCTCGTTTGATTTGCGTGCGCGTGTGCAGCGCAAGGATTTGGAGCTACGAACGCATCGCAAATTAGCATTTTCTCTAGTTTCCTTCAGCAGCACGCTAATCAGGGGGACGCGCTCGATGTGAGAAACCAAAAGAAAAAGCAGAAAGCGAGAGCCGTCCCCCCCTTTTGTTTGTATTCATTTGCTCCATCGGCATTTTGGGGTTGGAATTGTGATGGAGTTCATTGCACATCTCTTGGGTTCAGAGTCTCGGAGGTCGCGGGTATTCAGGTTTGTGAGACAGCGATGTATGTCGTACAAGTTGCCCTACCAACTGTATGCTACGTGCGACACGGGCTCATGGAAAGGCACCGCACGCTGGCGTCATTCATCACCCTTCAAAGCCTGGCATGCTGATAAGCAGCGGCTCTGCTTCAACCTCCGCGGGCCCTGGGTTGGGCGGCCCGTTTATCATCAAGTCGAAGGCAAGCACGCCAGTAAATGTTTCAAGGGTTGCGCCAACGTAATCACCTCTCTGGTCTTGCCAAGGCGTTGCAGGATGACCGACCAGAAGGCCACCTGAATACGGGACCTCTTGTGCAGCCTGCTTGAACTCCTCCTCCTCGCCGAACAGAAACGCATCTCGCCACAATTGCGCACGTGTAACCCAGTCCTCGTACCGGTTGCCGATCGACTGCGCAGGGTGCAGCGTGTCTGCACTGCCAAACCTTGCCTCGAGGGTCTGACGCGAGACGAGCGCCCGGAATCTCAGGCGGGGGTCTTCGATCCCGTTTAGCTCGGATATGATTCGACTCAGCATCTTGGTCTCGTCTTGGATTATCAGGCGTTTGATGCGAGGGGAAGAGAGCAACATCTGAACGGATGAGCGTGGTAGTAGGCGTACGTTTGGAAGGCCTGCGATCTGCCGTCTCGAGTAGACGCGCGTCAGAACAATGTGCGTCAGGCCAGAGAGCTGCACCAATTCAGCGAGCATCGCGCCTGTATAGAAACATAACTGCGAAGCATGGTGATGCGAATCTCAGATGGTGCGGGTGACAGACTCAAGGTAAGCTGCACTCACCTCGATTCGCTTCATGGGCAACTGATCGCCATATTTCAAACGCAGCATCTCCTTGCTGCTTGGGTTTGTGTGGGAGCCTCTGGCTGAAGCATCCTTCATGGCGATGTCCTCCAGCATCTTGTCCTCTTTGTTAATGAGCGCCTTCAGACACCCCTGGTCCCGGCAACCGTGTAAATGCGCCTCTTCAAGCTGTTTGGTATTGTACAGCCCCCGCTCCCAACCGAAGAAATAGCAATGCGAAAGCTGGAGCCGTCTCACGTTCGGTGTCAACTGCAAAAGCGCATCTGCATCCACGGCAGATGCGTGTGTAATCTCACTGTCCGATTCGAACTGATCTTCTCGGCGTCCGAGGGAAATGTGGATTAAGCTGAGATCCCTTATGTGCTGCCCTCGCTCGGGTCGAGAGCGCAGCGCACGTCGCACAAGCTGGACCTCGCTTTGCCGCTGCAGCAGAACGGATCTGTAGACCCTACGCTCGTATTCATTCTGCCAGAAGCGATTGAGACAGCATAGAGCCAGTGTTGCTGTCAGAGACTCGGAGGCAACGAGGTCAAAGATGGGCAACAGGAGCTCATGAGGCAATCGCTTGGAAGCCAGTACATTGGCACAAGAGGTAACGTGCGCTCGCTCCATCTTGGAGAGTTTTCCCCAATGTGCCCCTAGCAGGCAGCGAAGGTCCTCTTACCGTGTTCCATGGTATCTTTTATGGCAAGGTGCAAGGGGGTTGTCCGAGGTAGCACTAAACAGTCAGCTCCTATGCCAATCGCCAACTCAAGGATACCAAAGCATCATCGTGTTGACGCATTACATTCGGTTTGGTGGGAACAGCGCACCATGGGATTAATCTCTCGGTGTTCACAGATGTTCCGCCACATCCGAGTCTCCAAACATCCCTCTGCACCATCTCGCACCTTGTCTCAAATTTAGGACGACTGCAATTAACAAGAGCCGGGCAGGAGGGATTGACTAGAAGCAACATACATGGTGGACCCCTCCGACAAGCGGCTAGCTTGCTGCCAACATGGCCAAAGGCGGTGACCCGGCAGCCGCAGAGCGTAAGCGGCTCGAGAAGAAGCAGCAGCAAAAGAACAAGGCGCAGCGAGCCGAGGCGGCAAAGCTAGCGACTGTCAAGAAGGACACACGTTCGCTCGAGAAGGATGTCAAGGAACTTGAGGCCAAGGCGCAGAAAGGGCCGCTGAGCAAGGCGGAGAGGGAAGAACTGGATAAGCTGCGCGCTGAGCTCGTCAAGATCAGATCTGCAAAGGACGCGTACGTCGAGGCGCATACCGAGCACCGCAAGTTCATCTATCCTCATAATCAAGAGGACAAGAAGAAGGAGAATGAGGGCAATGAAAACAACTCTGCCGGAAGGATGAAAGCGATAGGAGCACTGCTTGGCAAGAATGGACTGCCAAAACACCCGGAGCGAAGCGTGTACTTTCATCCGCTCTTGAATCCAACAGGCGCCGCACCGCCTGGGATGCCATACCGTGAAAAGCGTGAGTGTATCGTTAAGGCTTATGAGATGCCCGGGCTGACACGTTGCTTTGCTTGTTCGCAGTTCCGCACGAATGGCCCGGCGCAAGTGCCGAGAAACTTGATGGCGCGCAGGGTGACGACGGCATCGCCATGCCGTCCAGTCCACGGCCGGCCCAGGCCGAAGACGAAGGGCACGACTCATCAGACACGGACAGCGGCCTGGAAGATGTGGAAATGCCAGATGGTCCACCGCCTCCGAAACCACCGACAGGTCCACGGTCGATGCACGTGCAGCAACAAGGGCCGACGTGGCCTCCCGGGGCTCCGTCCAACGGGCCTGGTTTTTACCCGAAACATATACCGCCACCTGGATACGGACTGCCAGGCGTGTATCTGGGTCCACCGCCATCGCTGCAAGCCGGGATGATGCCACCCCCTCCTCCGTTTCAGCATCAACAATTTCCTCCCGGCGGGTTTGGGCGAGGGCGAGAGCGAGGAGGGGCGCAAGCGCAACTACATGGGCGGGGACATGGGCATGGGCCTGGAGATGGCCCTGGAAGAGGTATGGGGCCGGGCCGGGATCTATCAGGATCGGGTGTTGCTGGCACAAGCGTAAACCCGGAGGCGAGCTCAAGCTTGAGCGCTACGACGATCAGTGCTGCACCGCAGCTTCGCGACCTCAAGCGCGAGGTGACAGAGTTCGTGCCGGCTGCGATCCGCAAGAAGCAAGCGACGGATAAGGCGCGTGCCAAGATGGGGCTCCCGCCTGCTCAGGTCTCTTCTGCGCCAGGGGTTGACGAAGGCCAAGGCCGCAGTAGCAGTAGCAGCAGCGGGGGTTTACTTGAGAAGCTCAAGCCGCAATTGGAAGGCTCAGCGCGGGGACCGGGGCCATCTGCGGCAGGCGCGAAGGATAGGGGCGCCAGCGCAGATGACTATCAGAAGTTTCTCGACTCGGTTGGGGATCTGCTGTAGTATTCCCCTATGCGCTTCGCACAAAGGATGGAGAGGCTTGAGTTGCCACTCGACGTTGTCCCTCGCTTGAATGTGTTCGATTCGCGCGCCCGGGAGATACATATACGCTCATGTGCACAGGCCCAAGCTATGCGCCCGATGGATGCAATGGGGCGGATGGCTGGCTGCGCATGCCTTTGCAATGCTTCCCTGACTGTATGGAGCAGCCGGCCTAGGTCATGCAGGTCTGCAGGCGGGGAAGAGGAAAAAAAGGGGGGGGGGTGACATACGTAGGCAATTGTCGACTAAAGCATCCACACCTAACGCCCTGAAGACCAACAACGCTTGCGTTTTAACGAAGAACAGTCAGAAGCAATCGGCCAATTGCTGGAGTTGACAGACAACGAGAACCACGCCAATAGGCGCTTCATCCTTCAAGGACGTGCTGGACGAGGGAAATAAACTTTCCATTTTCGTTCACGATACCCGCTATCTAGGCGGCGATGTCATTATCACCGTCGAAACCGCCCTTTCCGCTCCGGGTTGCAACCGTGCCTCGATGGTCCACAAGGATATTGCATACCTGTGCCCGATGCTAACGCCGATGACCACACTTGACCGCTCGCCTGAAGCCAGGCCTAGATGAGGCAGACCTATTGCGTACTTGCAAGGTAAGTAAGTCCCGTGAACACAGACAAAGCATTTTTCTGATCTTTTATTTATGTCGACGCAGAATATCATCATTGATGAAGCGACATACTGAACCGTGCGACTTTTGAAGCCGCCGATCTGCTTTTGCGCAGCCTCATGGATCCGAACCAACCGTTCGGAGGTATGGTAGTTGTTGGCGCTGGTAATCCCAGGCAAGCTGCACTAACAGTCAAAGGTGCGGGAGAGTCTGCTACACTTGAGACTTCATTGTGTCCGCACCTGCCTATTACGCAACATACTTTTCGCGGGCACGTCGGTTGGACTTTCCAAGGCTCCGTACGGTACGAGATGCCTGGAGAGAGCGTTGCCCAATTCCCTCCCACAGTTTTGGTGCCGCGGCAGTGTGCAGACAGCATGAGAGAAAGGCACTGCAATTTCTTGGGCGGCGTCGAGTCCTCGATAGATGAGCCGAGTTGGCCCCTACCCCGATATATTTAGAACAGAGCTGAATAGATGTCTAGTAGACCAAGCTACTCAAGGAAACAAAAGATGGATTTATTTGTCCAGAACACACACTTCCTTGAACACAACTCATCGAGCCGGATGCTGATGAGGCTGTACGCTGCTCGGATTTTCTGACAATTGGGCAGCCACGCGGATCGCAACGGGGAAGCAATACCAGTAGGGCAAGCAGACGGTACTTAACATGTTGTGAAGAACTCAACAACAGATGGTACCTTGCAGGGTAGGACAGGGCCATACGATCCATCTAACACAAAAGTAGGGTTGTGTTCTTTTCTTTTTTCTTTTTGTTTTCCGTTGTGGCGCAAGTTGTGTTGTGAGGAAGGTGCAGGCACGGCGCCAGCAGATCAGAGCGCGCAGACTGGGCTGGCTTGAGCCGACTCTGGCTACTGCACCGGGAGGGCAGAGCCGTGTGGTTGCGTCGACCTGCAAGCCTGTGCGTCGCCTGCCAGCAGCAGCAGCAGCTCAATCCTTGTACGGAAGCCTACCGCAGCCATCCAAGTTCAGCCCAAGTGTCCCAACATGGCCTTCGAGGGAGATGTCTACGGCAGACGTTGCGTAAATATGCAAGTAGTCCAGACTGGAGAGAGAAGCTAAAGGTCGCTGGCTGGCTGTTGTCTGCCTCTCTACAGCAGTTAGCAGTCTGGCTACCGCTGAGGGTGCTGTGCGCGGCGTGTGTGCGCGCTTTGCCTTCAGTGAGTATATCTCATGTACTCATATGTATGCATTGCATGCGCAGCGCGCGCGCGCCACACCAAAGTATTGCCTTGTTTGTCTCTTCTCCGTCTCCCTCTGTTATGATTGTCGTTCCATCCTCTTCGTCACATGGTCAACGTGTCATACGATCTCATCTTTTGGCAAGTCGCACGTCGTTGCTTGTTGCGCAGGTCGTGTACGTCAATCAGGCTACTGTTGTCAAACAGAAGGCTGCCCCCCTTCCCATCTACCCACCCCGTTCCTCGTCGACTGCAGAGCAGTTTTACCACCCACAACCACTGTGCTCATCGTCGAAAAGCAGCCAGGCCAGGTAGCCCAGAGCAGCCTCCGAACCCGAAACCGACGCCTTGCCTCGCTTCTCCTACGTCCCGCCTCCTATTCACAATCACTCGGTAAGGAAGCATATCGGAAAGGCTGATTGCGTCCAGTGGACCTCAGTGCTTCCTCCGCTGTCTTTCGTCCTCGTCTGTTTGCGCAAGCTCCGACTTTGACTTGCGTCGACACAAAGCAGCTTGGCGCCCATCGTCCCCATCTTCTGAGACGGCGCACTCTCTGGCTCGCTCATCCGCTCACTCGGCCTTGATCTGATCGGTGAGCTCGGGCCAGCGGACGAAAGGCTAAGCGACCCTCTCAAAGGATCGGACCCAGCTCTTCGGTATATCAGGGACGATCGACTCGCAGTTACGTAGCATCAATCAAGTGCCTAGATACAGCAAGTATCCCACCATGCACGGTGCAAAAAACTCTGCTAACCCAACCAGCCCGACGACTGCGCCAAGCGGCATCGGCACCTCGCCCATCGGCCGCGCCTCGTCCCCCGCCCCGCAGACGGGCTCATCCGGGTTGCCCAACAAGCCCTCAGCAGCGACGACGCGGTACTCGCTCGGCGCCACGTCGCCCGGGCTCGGCAGTAAGGGCAGCATGGGTGCCCTGCGCTCGCCTGGCGGAGCCAACAGCTCGTCGAACAATAACGCTGCTGCTGCAGCGGCCGTTGCCGCAGCCGCTGCGTCCAGCCCCGGCGGCCGGATGGGGCTCGGCTCCGCGCGCCCCGCGTCCGAGCTGCTGCTCTCGCAGTACCTCTCGAGCAACCAGCTTGCGTCCGCTTCGGCCGCGCAGGCACAGTTCGCCAACGCCCCCAACAGCGGCGGCGGCGGCCTTGGTGGCCTAGCGACCGGCACGCCCGAGGTGAACGCAATCGACAAGTGGTTCGAGGATCTGCAGCATTACGAGGCCACGCTCGAGGAGATGGCCGCGGCCAGTCTCGACAGCAACTTCAAGGAGGAGCTCAGCGCGATTGAGCAGTGTGAGTGGCGCGCGTCGTGCGCGGCGCGGTGGCCCACGGGGGCCAGCGCCAGATGACCGATGCTGATGCGTGCTCTTTTCCACGTTTTCTTGCAGGGTTCCGCGTCCTGTCCGAGGCGGAGAGGACCGCGGCACTGTACAGTCTGCTGCAAGAGTCGACGCAGGTCCAGATCCGCTTCTTCATCACCGTCTTGCAGCAGATGGCCAGGACGGACCCCGTCAGTGCCTTGCTCAGTCCCGGCGCCGGACACAACAGTGAGTGCTGAATGTTTACAGGTACAATTTTTAACAGTCAGTGTACTAATGTCTGTTTTTTGTTTTCTTTTATCCTTCTGGCAGGTCTGATGGCAGAGCAGATGGAAAACAAGCTCGCCTCGCTCGGCCTCAAGTCTCCTTCTGCAATGAAGGCACCCAACTCTGCTGCTTCGTTCCGTGCTCAGTCCGAAGCCAACTCTGGCTTCCTCTCTCCCAACGCGGCCGCGGGCGGATTCGGCTCGGCAGCGTCGAACAACTCGAACAACAACAGCAGCAACAATGCGGGCGACTCGAACAGCCTGCTGGCCGCGCAGCGCGCTAAGCTCAAGAGCAACCGTATCTCCGCACCGGGACACCTCGCCAGCATCGGCGGTGATTGCAGCAACTTTACCGGCCTCACGCTCGATCAGGTCGCCGAGGCCGGCGGCCGATCCGTCTCACCCGGCCTTCCGTCACCCGGGATCGGCGGCGAGGGCCAGCTGGCCAGCGTCCGGCCCAAGTCGACCGATGGGCTGGGCGCACTCGCCTCTGCGCGCGCTGCCGGCGCCAAGAGCCCGCGCACTAACGGCCCGCTCGACGACGCGCTCAGCCCCCTTGCCAACCAGGGGCCCACCGGCAGCTGGGCCAGCATGATGAACACGCCGATGATGCCCATGTTCAACGACGACATCTCTGGCTCTTCGCAGCAGCAGCAGGATGCAAGTGCCACGCTCGACGGCGCGGCCGCCAAGCTCGGCGGCACCAACGATGACTCGGCAGCCGGAGCGAGGAAGTTTTCGAACCGCAAGGCGGGCCAGGCGTCTGTCCCCGGCGGGTTCAACCTTGGCGCGAACAGCAATCTAGCTGGCGTGCAAGGCGTACTATCCGGTATCTACGGAGGAGCTGGAGCAGACCAGTATGGCGGTGCTGCTGGCGCGCAGTTGGCCAATTTGTCCAACCTCCCGCCCGGTGTTTCGCAAGCGCAGCTGAGTGCCGCGTTCGGGGTCACCAGCGCCGCGCTCGGCGTCCCCAATACCGCTGGCCTCTCACCCAATATCAATGCAGCACAGTGGGTCAACCAGCAGAACGAGCTGCTCCGCTCGCCGCTTGCGTCGGCTGCTCTGACGCAGATGTCGCCCAACGCGCTCGCCGGCCTGCAGTCCCCCTCGGGCGGCTTGGCGAACCCGCTGAATATGCAGATGATGAACGCAATGGCCGCCATGGGCGGTCTCGGCAATGTCAGCGCTGCGCAGTTGTTTGCGCTCCAGAACCAGGTCCTGCAGCATCAAGCTGGGCTCACTGGCCAGTTTGCCGGCATCCCCATGAGCGCCGGCCCAGGCGCCGGTAGTTTCGGCCAGGCCATGGGCGGCTTTGGCGGCGGTGCGGGCGGACTCAGGAGTGCTGGTCTCGGCGGCCGCAATGCCTTCGGAGGGCCAGGCCTTTCCGTCGGCACGCAGGGCACGCGGGACAAGCCTCAGCGCTCACCACGCATTCCCGGCAACAACCTACCTGCCTCGGCGCGCGCGGCCACATTCGCCAGCTCGGGCAGCGGCGGCGGCGGTGCGAGTGCCGAGGACGAGGTCGCAGATCTGTCGACGCTGAACGACACGGCTGCGTGGCTGCGCCAGCTGCGCTTGCACAAGTACACATCTAACTTTGAGCACGACCACTGGAGGGATATGGTGCTGATGGACGAAAAGGCGCTCGAGGACAAGGGCGTCGCGGCGCTCGGCGCTCGGAGGAAGATGCTCAAGACGTTCGAGAACGTTCGGGCCAAGTACGGCATCAAGATGCCCGGCGATGAAGCGGGCGGCGCGAATGCAGCAGCCAAAAAGGATGACGCTGCAGCGAAAGAGGGCGCCGGTGCAGAAGGCGATGGCAGTGCTGCTGCTGCTGCTGAGAACAAGTGAGCTCGGTAACTTTGCACTCGTCTGCCTTGAGCATATGCTCAAGGCAGTAGCAGTAGCAGCGGTATGAGCAGAAGGGCTTCCAAAAGGTGCCAACTCTCCGTTCACCCACAATACTTCACTTTTTCGCCTCCATCTTTTTGCGGCTAGCGCTGTACATCGGTTTTCGGCTCGGTTTCTCCCCTTCCGTTCCACCCGCTTCCTTTATAAATGCCTGCTGCATTGCACCCTCCCTGTAACTGCGCACAATCGAGAAATGGTGATCGTGTTCGAATCGGTCCATACTAAGCTGCGGTGCCGTGCTGTCCAGGTACTATTTGCCTTTGTGGCCTTGGCACCTTGGCCTTGCGTGTCGATGCTGGTAGTGAGGAAAAGCAGGAGTTTCAAAATGAACGGGATGATGGTGATAACCATGGTGAGAACCGTCTTGAAATTCCAGAGCTGGGCTCCAAAAGACTCCTCCGTCGAAGTTACGGTACAGACTCGTGACGTAGGTGATGTCCGACAGGAGATGAGCGCTGATGATCAAGCGCCAGATGTCGGTGTTGCGTTCATTAACTCGAAGGCTGACCATGTAGTAGAAAACCATGATGACCCATCCGCTAACGGCGTGCAGGAGAAGCTGGTCGAACACTTCCTGTGGGACGTACTTGATGTTGGGACTGGCAATGGACAAGTACGCGCGAGCCGCCACTAGCGCCTAAATCACACCGCCGAACGCGAGCACGGGCTCGAGCCAATGGAAGCAGATGCAGTACCGCAGCGCAATGAGGCGCGTCGCGGATGAGGGTTGGTTGCCATGCCTTGAGGTGCGTGGCAGGAGCTGGACTGAGCTGGGCTGCACGATCCGCGACAAACTTCCACGTAGGTGGGCGATGAGGAAAATGAGGTTCGGCAAACCGTTGTGGAAGCAGGCCGGACGCTTCCACTTCTACGCGCAGTAAACATGAAGCTGAAGTCTGGAGGCAACCAAAGTCTAGGATCTGAATCTCAACCCGTAATGGCAGATTCCTTTGGGGACCGTGGTGTGCCGTTGCGGCGCGGAGACTTTGTATGGCGATATGACATATCACCAATGATGACTTGGATCTCTTCAATTCTGCAGGTCTGTGCACGGTACAAGACAGACGCCAGTACGTTGGCAAGTGTGACGGCAAGCGGGTTGATTCAATGTGTTGGGTGTATTTTAGAACATAGCTCGTGTGGTATTGACTTCCGAGACTGTGTCGTTTTGAGCCTTCGATCGGTAGGTCCCGTTACTGAACATCAATACAAAGGCGTTGGTTTGGCACTTGCTGACAACCTTATGTACCTGCACGTCACACTTTTGCTTCACTTCGTCAAAGTCATACCTAAAAAGGAATTGCTACGGCTCTGCCGGCTGCGGAGCGGCTTTGCTCATCTCGTCTCCGTGCTCATCGTAGTATTCGTCGATCGCGCCGTTGTGCAGGGATTGCTCCAGCACGCGGGAGGCCCAGCGCGTCGACGAGCGGGACGGCATCCTGCGAGGGCGTTGATGATTGTATGCGTGAAACGAACGAGAATATCGCTTTGGAAGTGCACTCAAGAGGACATTGCTGGAATTGACAGAGGGGTGCGAGAACAGTCAGGAGAGGGAGTGGGTGTCTTCGATCGCTTGGCCAGCCATAGAGTCCACCGTGACAGAACGGAGGATCGATTACCTAGTTTGACATTGTCCATCTCGCACGAGGCTCAAGGGCGATAGACTTTTCACTATGGGGCACACTACCGTGCCTGCAGAAACGAGATTGAGTGAGGAGTGTGATCGTCATCAAGCGGTGACGGCGCGATGTTATTCAAACGGATGGAGAGCTAGCATTTACGCAGCATCGGATGCGACGAGGACACAGCAATTGACCTATGATTCTAGGGATGAAATGGTTTGATACAGCGCCCATCGGCTGGTATATTTGAAGCGCTGTGAATTGGAAAGCGCCAACATTGTGATAAGCCTGCATGCGGCGAGTGAATGCAATTGGTGTGCCCAACACAAACACTGAGGGTGGTCAGCAGGGTGCGGTGATAGCCTCCGGCTTCGAAAGCGTTCAGCATCTCTTCCTCGTCCGCCTGTTGCGTCCACGCTTCTTCGTCAGGGACGGAGGTGCGCTGCGGCTAGCGGCTCCTGTCTGGGATGAATGCAAAATTATTGAGGATCTGCGCGTTCTCGATGAGGAACGTGATGATATCTGTGCCTTTTGTGTACCACATCTGCGCTGTGCCAACATAGTGCGCGCACCGCCAGCATCGCGAAACACAGCGACTGACCTTGCCGCGCGATAATCTCGCGCGGCAGGCCGAGGTGCCGGACTGGACAATTTTGCTTGCCGACTTCCTCGGTTGACAGGGCAATGAGCACAACGCCACTCGAGCCATACGGCCCCAGGCAGTCCTGTAGGCATGAATGTATCGATCGTTGCGTATGAAGAGGGAGGGCAGCACAAAGAGCTGGATCGGACAACTTTACCTTTTTGACCGAGCAGCTGGCGTATATGACGGACACTTTCTGGGCCGATTGAGTTGCTGCGATGCTATCCCCCCCACATGCAGACACCCGCCTGTTCGGTGGCTAGGGCACCGCCGTGACCTTTTTGGACATGCGTCCAACATTCGCCAACAGGCGCAGGGAGGCCGCCCGCATCGCTCCGCCTCCACAGCTTAGCGCCTCCCTGGGCGGCGCCCGAGGTGTTATGTAATATATATATATATACTAACCTCAGCCTCCCAAGTCATCCCAACCAGCGGCAAGCATGCATCAATCAACGAGCATTCTTCTTTGGACGTCACGTGACCCACAGGTTCTGTGTGGTGCTGTGCCTTCAAGAATACACCGCTATGCGTCCCTTCCCACTTGTGTAGCGCGTACATACAAGTGATGGCAGAGCGTTCACGTCTTTCTCGCACCCACAGAATGTATAGGGGGCGATAGATATATGCTGTATACATCTGGACATGTATGCAGGTGCTCTCCAGATCCGCAGTGCCGGTGTTGTCCCTTGGCCGTTGCTGTACATGTACCTTTGTGCGCTTTGTGTGCGTGAGAATGGTTGATGATGGTGATGATAATGCTGTTGTTGTTATGGCGACTCGGAGGGCGAAACACGAGAGGAATGAGAAGGCATTGCGGCAGTGTCAAGCAATACATATACACCCGAGTGATTCTCGCTGGGGGAGTTCCCTCTTCGTCCATTATCAGCAGCGATCACCATCCAAGCTCTCATTGCCATTGCTTCCCGCACCCGATCCCCCGGAAGAGCAGCTCGCTTACGACGGAGACCGTGACGGGAACAAGTCAGCCCGCTGGCTCGGCGCGTCGAGAGCGCACGCGCGCTTGCAGAGAGCGACAGTCCGCCTCCGCCAGAGGGAGGAGAACAAGAGCGCGACAAACAAGCACACAAACACGGCTTGACTTTGCGCGAACAAACACACCGTGTACTTCTTTGACTCGTCCCCGCTGGGACGCTTTCACACTCGGGAGCAGCTTCTGAACAAGCCGAAGCTGGCTTTGCCTTAACGATCAGCGCTGCTGCCCACGTTCAGGACGCCGAGCAACAGACACCATGTCCAACGTGAACAATTCAAACTCGGGAGGCGGCCTCGGCGGAGGCATGTCGTTCCGACCACCACCGCGACCATCAGTGCGCTCCCTGGGGCGCAAATCTGGAGCGAACATCGCATCCTCAGCAACATCTGAAGCGCCAGGCCTGCCAGCATCTATAGCCACGTCCACTGTTGGAGGAGGCGACGGCGGCGGCGACGACATCATCGGCGGCGGCGACGCGGCGTTCGAGTCGCGCACGCCTGGCGCAGACCTGACCAACCACTCTTCGGTAAAGCACAGGCACACACCGTCGTATTCTTCTACAGCCAGCTCGGCACATGCGCAGTTTGTCGAGGGAAAGCCGTCCAGCAGCCACGGGCACGGACGCGGCTACAGCATAGGCGGAGTGAGCGGCGTGCGCAGGCCATCCTCTGCTGCGCAGGCAGTCGTGCCCATGCGCTCCAGCTCGGTCACACAGGGCCAACAGCAGAGAGACAGCATGGACCTCGATGGGAGCAAGCGCGCCATTTCACCCGCCCCTTCGATTGCCAGCTCGGCCGCGTCGTCGGTCTACGAAGACTCGGCGCATGGCCACTCGCGCCCTGGCGGTGCAGCGCCTTCCTCTTCACCTAGCCGGCCCAGCTCTTCGACAGGCGTGGAATCTGCCGCCGCCGCTGCTACTAATACCGCAAATGTCAGCGGTGATGCGCAGCAGACTGTCGCCATTGCCGCCGAGTGCCGTGCGCTTCTCGAATCGCTGCGCACCAAGACGGAGGACCAAGCGCACAGCGCTGGTATGCTCGGGCAGGGCATTTTGCACCAGCAGACTGTCGTGCAAAACTTGCTCGACGATCTGGCAGATGAGGTCAATGCGTTCGAGGCGGTGCGCGAGCGCGACAGTCGCGCCCCTGGTCACTCGAACAGCGTACGCCAAGCGCAGGCGGAGAACGAGCGGATCCGCAGACTGAAAGAGCGCATTGAGGATGAGGTCTCCGAGCTGAACCGTAAGCGTGAGGAGCTGTATCGTGAAGTCTGGCGCGTAGCCGGTACCAACGGCAGCAGCATCTCTGGGTACCCAGCAAGCCAAGACGCTTCCTTTGCCTCCTCCTACCCGAGCAACAGCAACATCTTCAGCGCCCTGCCAGGCGTTGCCACCTTTTCTTTCCTCGGCCACGATCCCACGGTCGGCATGTCGCTGTCGAAGCGTGACAGCCTGCCCGCCGGCACTGGAAGCGGCGGCGCGGGCTCCGCGGCACGGCAGGCCGATCGGCGTTCGCGCAATGCCGCCGCCGCGGGCGGCGACACAAAGATTGACGATGCCTTCGTCCGGCAGATTCAGGAGAGCCTTCTGACGGAGGTCCGGCGGCTGCAGGCGGAGAATAAGGAGCTCCAGGAGCGGATGAGCTTGCGCGACAAGGAGCACGCCGCGCGCTTTGAGGAGGTGCAGGCGCAGCATGCGCTCGAGGAGCATAAGCTCAAAGGCATGGTTCGCGACCAAGGTTCGTCGTACTGGCGTCTCCCTGTATCCTCCTTTCTGGGTCTCCGCTGATGCGTTTTCCTCGCTGTTGCGTACATTTTCCGTTTATAGAGCTTCTTAAGGCAGAGGCTTACGACGCGGAGCTAGCGCGCCAGAACGCCGAAGAGGAGCTGCACAACATTCGTACCTCCTTAGCCAAGTCGTCCGCCGAGAACCAGCGTCTGGAGCGCGATCTGCTCGGTGCCAAGGAAAAGCTAGAGACGCAGAAGGCGCTGCTAGATGAGCAGTCGGAGGCGTTCACGCAGGCGCAGACGCGCCGTGACAAGGAGATCGCTGCGCTCAAGAAAGACAAGATCACGCTTAAGCGCGACCACTCGGAGCTGCAGAGCGAGCTAGAGAAGGTACGCAACGAGCAGCAGCAGAAGCGCCTATATCCGCGCAGCGTCAGCAACAGTCTTGCCATTAGCGACCGTTCCCTCGACGCGCAAGACTACGAAGACGACGATGCGGACGCAAACGGCAAGGTCACCAAACGCCGTGTCACCCTCGGCGGCGGGGCGGCCGGCGATGTGCTCATTTCGCCTGGCGGGGCGGCCGGGGATAGCATGTTCGCTGATGCGATCGCCTCGCCGCTCGGCGCGCGCCTGACGCGCGACAGCGAGCTGGGCGACCTGCGCGCCAAGCTCGGCGTTGCGCAGCGCAAGGCCGGCAAGGACGCCGCGGACAGGCGCAAACACCGCGAACAGATTGCGCAGCTCAAGGCCCTCCTTGCCAAGGCTGGCATCAATGCTGGCTCGGACGTTCTCGGCTCCGATGTCGAGAGCAGCGAAGAAGACGATGACGGCGCGTGGCTTGACAATAGCGCTAGTCCCACCAAGGCTAGTAGGCGTAAGAAGAGTGACCGGCTCCGTTTGCCTCTGCGAAGCTCGACGAAGCCGATGCTGGTCGACCGCCTCAGCTTGGCCTTTGGCGGCAGTCGCCCGCGCAGCATCGTCGAGAGTGGAGAGGAGGAATACGTCGATGCCGAGAGCGCAGGCGACCACAGCTCCTCTGCCCTCGACCACAGCTCGTCCTTCCACGAGGCAGACTCATCCCACTTGCACGACACCCCCGCCGCCGGCACCGCCGCTGCTCCTGCTCCTGCTCGCAAGCTGCCCCGCATGTCCGAAGCGACCGTCATGCCCGATGCTTCGGTTGACAGCACACCGGACGCATCCGTTGAGCAGCCTGTGCGCCGTCCGCGCGGAAGGAAGAGCATGAACCTCGATTCCAGCAGGAACAGCTTCCTCGCTGCTGGCTCGCCTGCCGCACTCGGCGCTGAGCTCCTGGAGGTGGACATGCATGATGTTGGGCCCGCTCGCGAGATGGTTGAGACGGGCACGATGACGGATGCCTTGCCGGATCTTGTTCACCCTGCACTTGCTAGGCGCGAACATGAGTATGCCGCCGAATTGGCACTGCGGGATGAGCAGCACGCCAAGGCCATGGCTGACACACTCGCCGAAAAGTCTGCGCAGCATAGGTTAGCGCTTGACAAAGCGCTTGCGTCAAAGGACGCAGAGCACCTCGCCCTTCTCGATAGCAGCCTCGACAAAAGGTCCGAAGAGCATCGTGCTGCCATTGCAGCGCTCACCGCCAAGCAAGCCGAACTATTGGAAGCGAAGCAGGCTGTGCATGACGCGGCCCTGTCCGAGCGCGACGCTGCATACCAGAGCGTGCTGGCAGATGCACTCACTGAGAAGGGCAAGGCACACGATGCTGCACTGGCAGATGCGCGCTTGCGACATGCTAACGCGCTCGCCGAGCAGGTCGCGGCGAGCAGCTCTGCGCTCGCTGCGGCCGAGGCCGCGCACACTGCCCTTCTGAGCGACGCCAAGAAGCAGCACACCAAGGAGCTCCAGACGCTCATGGAACAGCATGCTTCCGAGCTTAACCAGAAGGACGCAGAGCACGAAGACCACATCCAGGACGTGCACGCCAGCCACTCCAAGTACATGGCTCAACGCGACGCGGCGTACAACACGGCCATCTCCGATCGCGATACGGCGATTCGGGAGGCGCACGAGCACGTGCAGCGCCTGACGGATGAAGTCAACAGCTTGCGCAATCAGCTCGTAGTGGCTCTGCGTGAGGTCGAGACGAGCAAGGAGGCGCATGCTGTTGCGAGCAAGCGCCTGTTGACCATCGAGAAGGATGTCACATCCTTAACGACGCTCAAGGCCACTCTTGAAGCGCAAAAGACTGAGCTTGAGTCGAGCAAGTCTGCTCTGGCTGACCAGCTTGCCGAGAAGGAGAGGCTGATTCAACTTGCAGAGGATAAGAAGGAGTCTGACGAGAGGTTTGAGGACGCTAATGCGGAGCTGCATCCTTCGGTTGCTTCTCACACGCTGAAGCGGGCTTCCGATGTGAAGGATGAGGCGATCCAGACATATGACGTCCTGTGGAAGCAGCAAACGCAACAGAGCAGCCCCACAGATGCAATGTTCCGCCCCGAATCGGCCCTTGCGGTCAACTCGCAAATCCTCCCCGATGGCTCCGAATCAACGATTGGCGGCGGCATCACCATCCTCGGTGGTCTCAAAAATACGCGGCCCAGAGATTCTGTTAGCACCTTTGGCGGCGCACGCGATCCATCCGGCAGGGCTGCTTCGCCAACTCCAACCATGTTCACGGTCGGTGCCATCCTCAGCCATGACACCCAGTACAACGCCGCAGCTCCGTCTGCCACTGTCGATAAGACCAAGCCTCCTGTCATGACACTGCCTCCGCCGCCTGTATTGCCGCCTCCACCAGGCATACCTCCAAAGCGCTCGCAGCCACCCATCTTCCAGCAGGCCCCGCCGCGGCCTACATCTCCGCCGCCGCCCGAGCTGCTGCACCGGCTGCAGACGCGAAGCACTCTGCAGGTACCAAATTCCTCCGGTCGCCTCTCGACGACACGGAACCCTCCGCCGAGCTCGTATGTACCGCCGAGCACATCAGCCATGCGTGCCAGCGGCACACGCTCCCGGGGCCCATCTCACGACGGCACCGCCTTGCCACTGAATCATTCTCCCGTGCTGGACGACAATGCCAGCATGATGAGTGGTCGTCGCAGCGTGGCTTCCCGTCGCTCTGCGTCTCGCGCACATGCCAGGCGCTCCTCGGTCAACTCGTTCGCGTCCGATGCTACTTCGGAAGCCAGCCACCGCATGTCGATTTCGTCTCAGATCTCGGAGGATGCCGGCGACCGGACGTTCACCGCACCCAGACGCAATGGAAGCACTGCTGGGCCCAGCACTGCTGATAGCGCTGATCCCAGTGTGATCAATGCGATCACCCAAACGATGATCGGTAGCTATCTCTACAAGTACACCCGCAAGTCGATGGGTCGCAATGGTCACTCCGACAAGCGGCACCAGCGATACTTCTGGGTGCATCCGTACACCAGAATGCTCTACTGGACTGTCACCGACCCGGGCGGAACTGGGGTCACGGAGGGCAAGAGCAAAAGCGCGTGCATCGAGGCGGTCGAGGTCGTCGAAGATCAGAATCCCAGCCCACCTGGCCTGTTTCACCTAAGCATTTTGGTACGGACTGCAGCTCGAGAAATGAAGATCACCGCACCGAACCGTGAGCGACACGAGGTGTGGCTTTCTGCTCTCGGCTACCTCGTCAATCGCACGCAGAGCGAGGCGTCAAAAGCGAGCCCATCATCCAAGAGCAAAGGATTGCCTGCTCGTTCGTCCAGTCTGGGGTTGAACAAAGCTCTTTCTCGCGATGCGGAGCAGCCGAATGCGGCAACTATAACAGAGTTAGGCAGTGCGTCGGCCATGCCCCAGACGCGCGGGCGAGGTCGCAGTATCGGCGCGAATAGCTTGCTGAATGGCAGCGTTTCGAAGCGACGCGGCATTCCGGCGCGTGACTACCTCAAGCAACAAGAGGCGGCGACAGGCGGCGGTATGGATGCCCACGTCGTTACGGGAGCTGTCTCACCTACGCCGGCGCCGCGAAGTCTTAATGGTCGACGCGGCCGCGCGACCGACATGTTAGTCTCAAACCTTTCGGGTGACGATGCATTCGAAACGCTTGCAAGCGGTGGACACGCGGCGTCCTCTGCGTTGGACCCGCGCTTGCAGACGGCCGAGCAGATGCTCGAGGAGGACCACAACAACTCTTGGGATGGTCTCGATGTGAGTGCTCACTTTTTACGTTGCCGAATGTGCAGGTCGAGTCTGACCTTCCTGTTCTCGATGCTTTGAATGGAAGAATGTTCGCGCGTGCTGCGACGGCAAGCATGATGTTGCTTCGCTGGCGCACCGTCATCATCATCATCACCACGGCAGCAATCAGCAAGGCGGAGGGAGCCAGCCTCGCGCCACGAACCGCCTCCATAAGCGCTGGAGTTCGGGTGGGGCTAGTCTCCGCAGTGGACATGGGGCAGGCTCAGAGAATGGCCATGGTTCTGGTTCCGCTACCAGTCCCGTCCCACAGGTCTCACTCACGCTACCGAGAGAGAGCTTTGAGCGCTCCCTGCGCGCCAGCGGCGATAGCAACCGCCCGCGGTACTTCTGAGGCGGCATGAAGACGCGCCTGCTTTCTTCACATCTTAACGTGCATCTGATCAAACCTACGTGGTCTATCGATCGAAATTTCCTGTAGATGGCGACCACGTCTTTTCATAACTGTTCTGAGTGTATTAAATGTTCTTCACTTGGTTCCTTCGTATATCGTGTTATGAATACAAACACTCCTTTTGAGTGTCGTGCGAATCAGGCAGCCGACTTTAGCTCACTCGATGCTATGCTGCCCTCGTAGCGACGCGTGTTGCGATAGTTTTTTTGCGGTGTGCGATGTAGCGCGGGGCGCGGCGAGCACTCACCCCTCTTTGCTCCATCCTCTAGCGCTCCAGTGATGCCTCGCCCCAAAAGGCTGTCCAAGCCAGTTCCACGGTTGGTTGGATTGGGGAGCACTTGGACTGAAGTGGCATTGTTCAACGTGTGGCGGAGGCCAGTGTAGAACCTAACCCAACCGCTTAGAGAGTAGAACCCTAATTTATTCTTCCGAAACTGTGAATGTCCTTTTCTCCCTCGAGGTGGTGCCAAGCGCACGCATTGACGCTGTTTCGATACCGCTTCGGCTCAACGCACATGACGGTTGCTTGCGATGACGATCTTTAGGACTCTCGCCTGAGCGGCTAAGCTCCAACAGGTTCGAGAGCGCTCGGACCTATGGTCCCGAGGTATTGCCGCCATTGCGCGTGCCGGTTCTTCCGCCTGCGTAAACATAATCAACTGCGGGACCTCAACCTTCGGCTCGACCCTGGCGGGTCGCGCCGGCTTGATTGGCTACGCTGTGGAAAGTGAGCCCGCGCCGACGTGCGCTGCTTGAATTCGAATTGAAGGCTCCATAGCTTGTTGTCTTATGTCTCTCCAATGGACATGGCTGCCAGTTGTTTGCTCTCCGATGGCTTTGTTTGGATATGCTGCAGGCCATTCGAAATGCTCTTTGGTCTATTCGCTCCTCCCTCTCCCCTCTCAAGCTCTCCAAAATTGGATCTATTCCCTCTTCGTACAGATGGGGTTGCCTCAAAAGAGAACGTCAAACATTTCGGCCCCGTCGCAAGAAATTTCGCTCATCTCTTGTCGAGACCTCCGTCATTCTCCTTCCTCTGCCCCTTTCCACTTATTGCATTGATCTCCACTTCCATTGATGACCTGGCAAGGCTGTTCCGTCGAATGCGCGCTGTCTGTTGGAAGGGTAGGCGGTGATTCGCCTTATCGAGAACAGCTAACTTGCTGATGAATGTCTTGTCCGCCGTCTTTCCTTTAGCCATACTCATCTGAGCTCAGAGTACCGGCCTTTTTACCATCGCCAAGGGGTGTTGACACTCTGGAAGGTCAAGCGAGCAATACTTACAGCAATGATCTGAGCACAATCTTAATGGCAGCGACGACAGCTACGCTTACACCACCGTACTCACTTCGAGCTCATCCACCTTGGGACCCGTCGCAAGATCAAGCCAATCATCAGTCGCAAGCACACGCTCGCAGACATTTCCAGCAGCGTCGAGCGACGTCACGGCTTCTATAAGGACAACTCTGGACGACTCGAGCGTCGCCTCTACTAAACCGTCCTCCATTGAGCCTAGCATAACGAGGAGCGCTACATCGTTGAGCTTTGCAATAGTACTTCGGTCGATCACTCAATCATCATAAGTAAATCTCACTGGCATAAGTGCAACTGCAACAGTGGCAAGCACGGTCAGCACCGCTTCGTCCAGCTCTGCAGCAGCATCTCTGTCATTTGCTGAATCGGCATCAACCGACGCTGATTAAACAAGCGCAGCGGCCACGGTGAAAAATATGGGCAACACCGCCACGTCTCCTTCGATGAGTACAGGCACTGCAAGCTCGAAGCTAGAAAGGGAACCGACAGTCGTTAACACCTACATCGCGGCGGGAAACGCTACGAGGGCCACCGCTTGTTAGTATCAGCGTAACGAGCAGAACAACAAACTCAGCTGAGACCGATATTCCAGCAAGATCAAACACAGGTGCAAAGGTCAAATTTCTTGACAGCATCGAAGAGACATTCACGATGTCGTCAACAGTCTCTTCGACGGATACATCCCTGTCAGCCAATATTTCCAGCGCAACAGGATCGCCGATCCCATCTCCGAGTACAATCTCGACAGTATCAGACAGCACCAACGATATAATGACTACAGTTTCTAGTTCGGCTGACCCTATTAACGCTGGTGCAGCTTCTTTCACTGAAGCCTCGATGACTACCACGTCTAGAGTGTCTACGGCTGGAGGTGCCGCCACAAGTGGAGCAAGCGTGCTAACCACGTCCTCCGGTGCAACCTCAAGTGCCGATGAGATTCCCAGCACGACCGTCGCCGAAGCGCCGGCCTCATCGGTAACGCGCACCGTGTCGTCCTACACTCTCCGTGTCGAGCCGTCAGGCGGTGCGGGTACGTTGTCGACCTACATCCCAGCGACCATGACGAAAGTCTCCGTGGACGGATTCGCATCGACGAGCACCGCGACGCTGAGTGCATCCTCCGTCTTCGCCGATGATGATGGCTCCCTCACGACGGCATACATGTTGCAGACGGTCATCGTTGTGCCCGGTAATGCAACAAAGAGCGTCATCGAAGTCGTCTCTGCCAGCTCGAGGGTTCAAGGTATACTCTCGGGTCCAAATTTTGCGCCTTGTGCTTTTCCTTTGCCGAGCACGGGCAACATTAACATGGTCTTTGTGCTCGTCATCACTTTGCTCAGTGCATTTGGCCTGCTCTCGTAAATCGTTTCACATCACTACTCTCTGACAAGGCCTATTCCATGGAATCGCAGTTCAAAAGCAACGAATCAGTTCGTTGGAGACTTCTTTTCTCTCAGCCATTGCAAAATTCAACTCCTCGCATCACGCAACATAGACTTTCGCACCTCGTTCTGCAGGCATCCCAATCTCACTGAATTGTAGCATACATGTGTCTCGCCATCCAGACAACATTATGTCTTAGGAAGTGGATTTTGAGAGAAGGATCACGGCCTTAGCCGGAATATCTGCTCTTGGACAATCGGCCCTTGAGACCTCCTTCGCGCTGGCGCATTTCCTCATCTCCGACTTTCGCGACGTCCTTTGGCTTGTCGGACACCTCGAGTCTGGAACCGGCCGCTGGTGCGCCACAGTCGTGCTGGGCGGCGCGCCTTTTCATGACTGGCGTGACCGAACGCGACCATGTGCGCCGCGCTGCTTCTGCACCTGCACGTGCCAGCGGCGGAGTATTGTCCCTATCTTGCGCGCGGCGAGGTGGTGACCGTGGCGGCGGCGAGTAGCCGCGACTGCTTGAGCGGCAATAACTGCTCGCGGAAGAGGAGCGCTGCCGGCGGCGCGCAATAGGCGGTGTAAGGCTACGCGAAGGCGACCTGCCGCGAGGAGCGCTTTGGATGCGATGCGGCGGTGTCACATCCCTGCTATCCCGCGGCCTTTTCCAAGGTGGTGGCACCGGCGAACGAGAGTAGGAACGCTCTTGACGATAGTGCGAAGGCGGCGGTGGAGAGTAAGGTGAACGGTCGCGAGGGTCTCTGCAGCGGTAGGCATTGTATCCGTGTCCACCCCTGCCTCTGTAGTCGTCTCGGCCATATTCACGACGATAATCGTTACGCCCTGCTGATTGCTCGTCAAAGTAGCTTCCGCCTCCGGGTGGCTGACGCTGACTTCGATCGTAGTCGTCGTAAGGTGGCGATTGAGGGCGTACGCGGGCGTCCCAACCAGAATCCCGGCTACGCTCCGTAACGTTCCCGTTTTTGTCGCGGAAAGTGTTTCGCCCGTGTCCAACATCATCTCCCCTGCCTCCACTGCCGTTACGACCCTTATCTACTCGCAGCGGCGGTCCCCTCCCTCCACCACGATTTCTGTCATACCCTCCGCTACCACCGGCGACAGGTCCTCCGCCTCTCTGTGCTACCTCTCGCATCAGCCTCTCGTCCTTCTCGCGCTGATTTTGTAGCTCCTTCTTCTTCGCCTCGACGAATTCTTTTGGTATGCCTCCGACGGAGGTCTGCGCTGAGATTAGCAGCGTCCAGAGGTCGGTCATGAACTGTGGCGCTTTTGCTTCAAGGAAGCCAGTTAGCGAGATCTGCAGCTTGCGTGGGTCGGGGTTCTGCAAGAATATCATAGATGACGGAATGTATCAGCATTCGCTCAGGAGGGCAGCGCTCATGCTCTGGACTACATGCACGTGATACACACCTGGTTATTCGGATCTTCAAGAAGGCTCATCGCATATTCCGTGACGACATCATCCTCGAATCCAAGTAGTTCTGTCGTCTTGTCAGCAATCCAGGGACGTATGACTTCGGTATTGACCATTTTCATATCCACCTTGGTGCTGTAGATTCGCGGGAACGTGTGCTCGAGCTTCTTGAGAAGGACCTTGTCCTTGTTTGAGAAGCGGACCGAGTCTTGCTCGAGCGAGATCCCACGATACCCCCCGTCTGCCATTTTGCTCGTTGTTTAGAGAATCAGGCTCAATCAAAGTGGCGACCGGATCACTCGAGAACAGTCCTTTCATCCGCAGCTGAGGTGAAGCTAACAGCAGGTTCGTCGACGAGAGCCTGTAGGATACCGATGCTCCACGCTCCGAGTCCTGTTGAATGAGCAGGACAGGGATCTGTAAACGAAGTTGCTCTGCGATATATATCGTTGTACGCGCCGCGGAACGATGACGAGGGTCACTTCAGTTGACGCCTCAGTTGATTCCATTCTACTGGGCGGTCTCTTATACATTCCGAGCATAACACACATCTGTGCCAAGCCTGATGCATTCACCGCTTAGACCGCCCTCGACTGCGTGCAGGCTGAAAATCTGGCTGCTCTGGTCTTCACTCGGTTGTCGTGAAATTGGAATATATAGGCGTCGAGTTTCACGGTTGGGATCATGGAGCCTACCACCGCTCCAACTCAGTGAGTTGCCACCCACGCCATGTTGCTGCACACGAAGTCCTGGCTTTCGCCCACTGAGGCTCAGCCTGCACTGGGGATCCTGCTGACTCGGTTCTTCGACGACAGCCCCCCAAGGGATGATCCGATCACGCGAAAAGAACTGGCGCAGTACGACGGGTCGGACCCCAGCAAGCCGGTGTATGTCGCCATCAAGGGCCAAGTTTTTGACGTCAGCCCCAAGCGTGAGATGTACGCGCCTGGCAAAGGATACCATATCTTTGCTGGCAAGGATGGAAGTGCGGGGTTGGGAAAGAGCTCGCTCAAGGCGGAGGACGCTATCTCGGATTACTCAGGGCTGACAGAGTCAGAACGTAAGGTGCTCAATGACTGGGTTGCATATTACACAAAAGTGGGGGTAGCACTATTCACTTTTAAATTGTCTTGCACCTCACTGACTGCAGCTTCGCACTTCCGCAGCGGTACAACATTGTCGGCAAAGTTGTCGACTGACTAGCCGAGTTTGAAGATAAGAACAAGCCGGGAAGCCTGTAGCCCCGCTTACGGCAAGCCAGCCAGTTTGATATTTTTGCCTTTGCAGGCTTGTTTGCCTTTGCCTCGCAGCCGATGTGCTTGTCTGATGTGCTTGTCTGATGTGCTTGTCTGATGTGCTGGCCCGTTTTTTTTTGCTGTGGAAGCTACCCTATAGTACAAGCCTTCACAAAGGTAACTAGTGCCGAGGACCTGCTGGGAAAAGCTCTCGTCCAGTCTGCCTAAGACCGCGCCTAGCGCCGCGCGGGCCCATCCCGCCCCGTCCTCTTGCCGGACCTCTTGATGTCCACGTGTTTGACGACGGCAGAAAAAGCTCTCGGCCTGAGTTCTGTATTCTGAGCCCAAGTGGAGTTTGTGCATCTTTGACAGCTTCTGCAGAGCGAATGCGGAATGGTGCATTGGCGATGGGAGCGATCGTGGGTGCCGCAGCTGGCTCCGATGGCTTGCCTTCGTCGTCGCCTTGAGAATGATCAATCCCATTGCTGTAATCGTTGCTGATAATTTGGGTTTCTTCCGCTGGAACAGCGACCGCCGAAAAGGCAGCCATACGTCCGCGGATGGCGAGCCCGCCAGCTGCAGAGCGCCTCGCAACGCCCATGGCCGACGAGCTTCCGTTGTTAGCGCTGCCCTTGATCGAGACGATGGCAATAGGTGCTCCTGCGACAGTAGAGTAGAGTTTTGCCTTCTTGATGCTCTCCGCTTTGGCTTGCTGTGCAGCTGCAGCTGATGCGGCGCCTCGCAGACTGATGCCCTGGGTGCGATCCAGCTGTTCGTTTGCGCGCCGCTTGATCCCGATGCGTTTACTATCGGCGCTGGTTGCCATCGCAAGCAGCGGCAGCGAAGTGCCTTCGATTGTCGCTGCCGTCAGCAGGCACATGCGCGGAGGCAACCAGATCGGCCTGTTGTCGATGGCCCGTCGCTCCGCGGCAGGGCGGAGTAGCTGCGTGTTGATGTCGACGACATTCTGGATCAGCGATGAAAGGAAGGCACGCTCCTTGACGGACGCGACCTTGCGCAAGCACTCTGCAAGCCCACGACTGAGCACATTCCAGTCGTGGATGACTCTTGTCGCCTCGTCTGAATCGATCGGCCACACGCTCTTGTCCTGGAGCGACTTGGGGCGCAGCGGCAAGCTCATGCTCAGTGCCCACAGCGCTGCCTCGGCTGCCTCGAGCCGGTCCGTGTTGCTGATGTCCCCCGCTACCTCCCCGCTCGCAGCACCAACTGCTGCAGTTGAAGGAGCCGGCCTGGCTGCGCAGAGGAGCGCTGCAGCCATGCTGGCGCTCATCTTCATGTCGTGCGCGCCTGGGCTGCCGTGCGACGCAGCGTCCTTGCGTCGAGACAGCGCGGCGATGCCGGCGCATCGCAGCAGGATGGGCCGCATGCTGCTAGAGAAAAATTGGAGAGACGATGCTGTGGGACGCATCTGTCTGCTTCGCGAAAGCTGGTACGGTACGATATGCTGTCGGAAATGCTCGTAGGTCGCCTGGGTATCGACGCGTTTGGAAAGGTCCAGATCGCTCTGCCAGACCGCGTCCTTGTGGCAGATCCACGAGAGCAAGAGCACGAAAGTCTGTTCCGCGAAGCCTTCCAGCATTAACACCTCAGGGGTGCCGACTCTGACATCATCCTCACCATCCGCTGCAGCTCCTTGCGATCCACCGTCAACGTGCCTTCCATTGCCTTGACCATTCTCATCGCCTCTTTTAGGCGTTGCCCCCATGATCTTGCTAGCTTGGGCCTTTTTCAGCATATCTTCAACTTTCTGCCGCGCTTCGTCTGCCATGTTGAGGAAGAACGTGGCCTCCTCTTTTGTGTCAAGCGGATCTGCGCCACTTGCGCCAAAGCCACTACCGCCACGGCCGGCCCTCAGCGAGCCTTGCATCGTCAGCACGTCCTTCATCTTCTCCAGACCCTTGAGGGCGAGGGCATCCATCAGGAGACGCGATGCACGCCGGGTACACAGGTACTCGCTGCGCACCGCAAAGTCTTCCTCGGGCAGCCAGAGCGCGGGGAGGAGCGAGGCTGCTGCGCCCCCGCTCCTCTGAGACGAAGAGGCGCGTGTGCCGAGAAGCAAAGCTCTGACGCCGTTCAGCTCGTCGAGGATGCTCGCGTACCCTTTCTGTTCTGTGGTAGAGGCCGCACCGACCTGCATGGCGCCACCATCACCCGCATTGTCATCTGCGTGGGCGTCGATCACTTGTGCAAGTTCAGGCTGGATGGCGCTGAGCAGCTGTGCGCCACATTCGGCGATGCATATTTGGAGCTGGACGTTGTTTTGCAGCTGCTTCCGAAGGCCCATGCCGCGCTGGCCTTCATCGTCACTGTCACTGTCACTGCCGCCACCACTGCCGGCGTCGCGACACGCCTCTTCAGCGAGAAAGGCGACAGCGGCGCAGCGCGCGTCGCGCATTTCGCGCGCCTCGGGGCCAAGTAACGTGTCGATTGTCCCGAGCGCGTCGAGCGAAATGAGCGAGCGTAGCGCGCTCGTGACGACCGCGCGTTCCTTGCGGTCCTGCACTTGCAGCAGCTGGCACAGCACGTCCGCGTTGCGCCGCACTACCGCTGGGTTCGAGTAGGAGATGGACGATAGCGCTGCGTAGCCTATCGTGCGGATCTGGGCAGGGAATAGCAGATCGGAGGATTAGGTGGTGTACATCAGTCGTCTGGACAGCATAACAAGGCTCGCGGGAACGGAACGCACTCTGTCGTCGACCGCTTCGCAAAAGTCGTACAGGACATCGAGCGCATTGTCGGTCTGTGCCTTGGTCCAGCCGCCGGTGCATCCGCCGGCGCCAGGCGGTAGGCTGACCGCCGCGTTGCTCCCGAAGAGTCGGGCGAGATGTGCGATGCCGCACAGGCGCGCGATTGCGTCCGCGATGCCCTGTTTGCTCTCGATGCTCCCCAACGGGCTGTCGTACGCAGCCGCAGCGGCAGTAGAAGAGGCGGACGCAGATGCATCGGCGCTTGAAGCAGCGGACGCGGCGGCGAGAAAGTCATCGAGAGCATGAGAGTGCTGCAGCGTCCAGCGGAACGCAGCGGTGTTGAGCCCGCGCTGCGCGGCGGTCGTCTGCGCCTGGACTGCCGCCGCCGGCGCTGCTGCTGAAGGTGCAAGGATGGCCTGCAGGACGCTGCGTGGGGGGAGCGAATCGGGGAGATCGCTGAATGGCGCTAGGAGCTGTGCAAGCGTCTTGGGGCGCGAGTAGGAACTAGCGGCGACGGCGGCAGGTGAATGTGCGTGTGCGTGGCCGTCGTGTGCGATCTGCTTGGAGTAATCGCCGCTGCCGGCGTTGTTGTAGGAATACGCGTGTCCTTTGGCGCTGCTGCGGTCGTGGTACTGAGAAGGATCTGGCCTTGTTGAGTCGGGGCCCCAACGTCGGTTGCTGTAGCTACTGCCGCCACTTCTCGCCGCTTCGTCAGCCAGCCACGCTCGGGAGCGATCATCGCCACGTCTGGCGTGCTCATGCGCATAGCTCCTGGTCCTGTCTTTGGTGTTCCAGTCCGAATAGTGTGACCGCACGCCTTCCTCCTCCCAGCGTCTCACTGCAGTGCTGGTGCTGTTACTGTTGACTTCGCTGCGTCCACGACCGCTGCCCCAGGATGCATCGTTGGCAAAATAGGTATCGCGACGTGATTCGCCTCGACTGTCTGGCCATCTGCCTCTTCCTCCTCCTCCTCCTCCTCCTCCTCCTCCTCCTCCTCTTAGCCCTACTCCTGACCCTGCCAACGACCCGGGCCTGCGGCTTGAGCCTGGTTCTGAGGCTGCTCCGCCTGCGCTGCCGAAACGTGAGGAGGACAAGGACGAGCCGTGGTAGGCCATATTTGCGACCGAGAGTGAGCGGTGTGCGCGATCTCGCTTCGTCCGAGGGGCGGGCAGGCTGCGGCGCAGGATGCTATGAGCATGGATCTACGGCAAGAAAAACCCTACGCAGAGCAGCGGGCTCTACTCTGGCTCCTCAAAGCACGGACGTTCGTTTTAAGGAGCACACACACACTTGCACCGGTTCAGCCAGCATGCATACCGCGTAGACCACTCAGTTCTCTGTCACCTGTGTTCTTTCCTTTCGAAAGGTGTATTTATTTCTTTTCTCCTCTCTCGGCCGAGAGCGCTCCCTCATCTGATAAGCATCGATCGAACAAAGGATGTTACGCCAAGAACCGCCATCTGTCACATCTAACTTGGTTGTCCAAGGAAAAGGTGTTCTCAGCGCGGCACTCGTGAACACCTCACGCAGCGCAGAAAAGGTAGTTCATCTTCTCGCTCTCGTCGTCAGCTAGAGACATACACTACCTCCGCTCCGCTCCAAAGCTGTGCAGACACGCCAAAGACCGCCTTCCCGCTCACGTGCTAGACACCTCAATCGCCATTCGACACGTGCTTGCCCAAGACCAGACCAACCCCACCACCCTCAGCATCCCATTGCCTCTGCGGTGAGCAAGCTCTCTGTGCAGTGGCTCTCCTGCTCTGCTGCATTTTGCGCCGGCCGCCTGCGCCCCGGCAGAAATTTTAGACCACGATGACCATGACCATGACCGCGGCGGCGGCGGCCGCCAACTCAGGCGCCAGCGTACCCATCAACATACACAGCAGCAGCAGGCCGGACACAGTCAAGCGCAAGCAGCCGAGGTACGCAGATGCACATGCCGAGCCGGCTGCCAGACCTGGAAATTCAAGAGGGCCTGGAGGTCTTTGGAAGCTTCGACAGCCACGAAAGCAGGAGCTGGAGCAGCAAGGTCATCCTTCCGCTGAGCCAGCGACAAAGAATGTCGTTGTTCTTGGAGGCTCTTACGGCGGCATGCATGCTGCCGCTGTTCTGGCCGCACGCCTGCCGCCGAGCCACCGCGTAATACTGATCGAGAGGAACAGTCATTTCAATCGTGCGTAGCTTACATGCCTTAGGATCTTATGTCAAGGGACGGTTTGCTCATTTACCTCTTCCCATCATCAGATCTCTATGTATTTCCCCGATTTAGCGTCCTGCCTGGCCATGAGCACAAGGCGTTCATCCCATACACATCCATCTTTAAAGATGCTCCGCCACGGGGGCCAGGGCAAAGGAGGCAGGGCAGGGCAAACCGGAAGGAAGCATCGCAGGCTGAGACGGCAACAGAGGGCGGCTCATCAGCGGCAGAAAGACAAGCGGCTGTCCGCAAAGGTCTGCTTGAATTCTCGCCGGTGCAAGCAAGAGAAGGGCTGCCGAGGACGCGTCAAGACGATAAGGACGGCTCGGCCTCCACCTCCTCGGCCTCCACCTCCTCGGCCTCCACCTCCTCGGCCTCCCATCCCTCCTCGCTCGCCTCCTCTCTTGACAACGTTTCCCCCAGCTCGGTGGCCACCACTTCGCCATCAGCCCACTCTTCCTTGGCATCCTCCTCCATCTTGCATCCACTTCCCCACTCAGAGGAGCATCACGAAAAGCAGCTGGTATCGCGGGACGAGATGAAACATGAGCTCGCCGAGGCCCGCGAGCGCGTTGAGAAAAAGGAGGAATGGAGCACATTTGCGCATTTCAAGCGTCTCGCCGACACAGACGCCGCAGTAGATGACGCTTCTGCATCCCAGGCCGCGGGGAACAGCCAAGCCGGACTGTCCGAACTCGGCAAGGAAGAGGACCAGCAGGCGCCCGAAAACGTGGGCCCGGAGGTGGATGTCGAGCACGGCCAAACAGGCAGTCCGCACCTCGTGCTTCAGGCGACCGTCACGAGCATCACCGACTCTCACGTCGTCGTCACCCCCGCTACGCGCGACGATCCGCTTTTCGACTCCCTCACTGGCGGCAGCTGGAACTCGACCAGGTCTGGCTCCGCGGCCACAATGGCGGCGGCAGCCGTAGCGGAGGGCAAGAGCAAGCTATGGGAGATATCTTCCTTCTCGATCCCTTACTCGCACCTGATCTACGCTCTTGGCTCACACCTCCCGGACCCGCTGCGCACTGAGGCGCGCACCAAGCGCGAAGGTATGGACTGGATGAAACGCATCCAGGCGCGCGTCGAGGAAGCTGCAGAGATCGTTCTCGTTGGCGGCGGCGCACTTGGCGTTGAGTTCGCTACAGACATTGCGTCCGTGTACGCTGACCGCATGCTGCGTCCCGGCGAGGACGCCGCGCGGGCGTGCGACGCGCAAGGTCGCCGCAAGAAGCAAGTCACGCTCATCCACAGCCGTGCGCATCTGCTACCCAATTTTGACCCGCGCGTGCACGACTTTGCGCTCGCGCGGCTGCAACAGCTCGGCGTCCGCGTCGTTCTGGGCGAGCGCCTCGCACTGACGCAGGGGTGTCCCAAGGGCAGCACCGTCAGCGTTGAAGAGAATGCGGAGGCGCTCGCTACTCAGCAGCAGCAACCAGCACCTGCAGCCGATAAGGTCGATGAGAACTTTGCCAACGCCAAGCTCCTGAAAGACACAGCCGGGCACAGCATCTCCGCTCCTGCCAATGACGGGCACCACGAGCGTAAGATCATCCGCACCACCGGCGGCAAAATCTTCTCTGCAGACCTGCTCATGCTCTGCACAGGGCAGCAGCCCAATTCGGGCCTCATGGCGCAGCTCTCGCCGTCCAGTGTGGACCCCAAGACGCGCCTGGTCCGTGTACTGCCCACGTTGCAGGTCGCTGTACCCGACCCGAGGGACGCGGCGCAAATGCCCTTCGAGATGCGGCCGCCTTGCGGCGATTGCGACTGCTTCCTCGACCGAAAAACCGCCGGTGCCGAGCGCGAACAGCAGCAACAGCAAGGCAGACTCGATGGTGACGCCTTGCCTATGAAGCATCGGCGTTACATCGAGGGCATGCACAACGTCTATGCAATCGGGGACGTAGCCGATGCATTCGGTGCTATCAACGCTGGCTACCAGGCGTGGAGCATGGCAGACGTCGCCGCAGAGAACATCCTGCGCGATCTCGGCGTCACTACATCCACGAATGTTCCTGACGCAGAAGCCGATGCGGACACGGATGCGAATGCCGGGGCGGACGACATCTCGGGCGCAAGCGCCAGCTCGCCCCTGGAGCTGCAGGAGTTCGACCCGACGCCAACGATGCTCAAACTGAGTCTTGGCCTCGGCAAGATGGTCTTTCAAGGCGGGCCCGTGACAGACCCAGCGAAACCAGACAAGCCGCCGCGGCCTGAAGTCACACTCAAAGACGACCCGCATGACTTGGCCGTCGAGGGCGTCTGGAAGTTCATGGCCAAGGCGTCGACGGATGATTTGTATTTGTGATTGTGCACTATATCATATCACAGCTTAATATAGTATATGAACCCTTTCCCCATGCTTCACTCTAAAGTTGCCTGGCTAATTTTCTCAATCTATAATGATTCCCCAGAACGTTGGCAACTTCTTGCGTCGGCTGATCGCTGCAACTGCACGATGATGTGAACACGTAATCTGCCACTCGCGTGTAATACGTGCGTGTGATTGAAAGATACTGCACTTCTATTTAAGACGACAATCATGGTCTCTATGGTGCACTAATCTAAGAATGCTTCTAGTGCCGAGCCGACCGCTCGCCTTGTAACGGCGCCGGTTGCTGTATGGGAGAATACCCGCGCACAGTTTCCCGAACAGAGGAAGGGAAGGAAGGGGAGGAGAGCTACGAGGACTTCGCGGAAGTCGCCGCCTTGCCAGCGCGGCTATCGATGGGTTTTCATCAATCGGAAGGTAGAAGACGAACGACAAAAATTTAGTGCGCTGACCAGGATGAAGATGATGCGCCCCACATCGGCGTAAGAAAGCCTAGCTGCAACCTGCCGAGCAGGCGGCAAGCTGTCGATGCGCTGGACGCTGTGCAGGATGCCCCTGATGGCGTTGCGTCCCTCTACGCCAGGCGCAGGCGGCGCAATGCGAGCGTCCAAACTCTACAGAAGCACTATCTGCATCGTCGCTCCGCTCGTGCCTACGCCGATGACCTGACCCAGTGTTTGGAAGAGGTAGATCATGTCATTTGCGAGTCCAACTTCCTCGCACGAGACGGAGCCCATGAGCAGCATCGTGTTGCAGCCCGTTAAGCCAACGAACGCTGTTCTGAGCAAGAGGAGCTTGCAAAGTTTGCCGAACCAGGGGGCCGTCCAGAACCTCAGGTTCCGCAAAAGAAGATCGGTAGTGTGGCGTACGCCGTTTGCAGACGCCAGTGGCGGCCCGTACGCTTAATGATGTTGCCGGCGCTGATGCTACTGCTGGCGGTGAGCGGCGCGATGGGCATGAGGCGCAGTCCGGACTGACGTGCGCTGTAGCTTCACACGGCGTTGAGGTAGAGCGGCAGGAAGAAAAGACCCCGTAGTAGATGTAGCTGCGATAAAGTAGACCGCACCGATACACGCCGGCGTCTTTTGTTCAAACAGATGCAGCGGCCTGAAAGGTTCGCTGATGACATAGCTTTCAATGAACATGAAGACAAAGCTCGAAGCCAGGAACACGAGTGCTGGGCCCCAAACATGTTTCCGTCCAGGTGGCCGGCATTTTACCCTTGGCTGGCACTTTCGAAAGCGCCCTCAGGTAGGCTAACGAGCCATCTAATCCCCTCCACAAGCAAGGCGCTACCAAGCCAGTCGATCCTGGCAAGCGTTTAGCGCAACATTTGATGTCTGGGTCTCTTCGGCCATGGGGATGCGGATGTCAGATCCGATGCACACCATGTTGTGCAAGTGGAAGGGGACCTGGTAGCTGAAAGCCGTACGCCAGCCGTAATGATCGTTGATGCGGCCACCATAAAGGCTGGCCATAGTGCCGCCAGAAGCAACGATCCGGATGAGATGGGGAGCAGTTCAAAGATTCTTGATGTTTTCCCTAAAGCATGCGTCCTGCAAATTCGCAATGTTGGGAATACCCTGAAATAGCCCTCTCTGCCTCAGGGAGACCAACTCCTTCATGATAATGCTGGTACGGGTCAATACGCCATCGGCGCCGACGCCAGCTAAAGCCTTAGCGAACAAGAAAGCCTCAATGGTCGGTGCCACTGCACACCTGGCCGTCCCTACCTTTGAAGAACACGAACCCAACGAGCATGGGGATCGCCCGACCGATGCCATCCGAGAGGCAGCCGTATAGCGGCGAAAAGCCACAGATGGACCGCAAGAAGCATGTGCCGAGCCATGAAGCGCGATCGACGGCGTTGAAAGAGGACTTGATAGGATTGATGAGCGTCAAGGCTACTGTGCCATCGAGTGTGGCAAGAGAGAACGAGAGGCAGGGGGTAGGAAGGGGGAGGCGACGACGTGATGCTCGTTCCCGGCGCATCTATCCGCTCTTTCTGTTTGCGCGCCTGAAGCAAGCTGAAACCCGATATCGCGCGAAAGTGCGATGGTGGGGAGTTCAAGTCTGCCCTTGGAGATAAGAAGTCCGAAAAAGGTGTGGCCTCTGAGGCGGGCCTGGGAAAATAAGTAGTTAGTCGTGTTTCCGGAATCTTTAGATCAGGAGATGAGTTCGACTCCGTTTAAGAAGCTGCTTGATCCTGCAAAGCGGTCGTTTTCGAACGCTCGGATTGCATATTGGCTTGTCAGCTCGTGCTCAGTGTATACACGGAGTAGATAAATGTCGCACCGAACGCGCGTGGGGAAGCGCAATGTGCATTAGGTAAAAGTTTGTGACATTGATCTGTACAGTTGAGAATCAGGTTCTCGAAAACGCTCAGACGAATAAGCCGATGTCAACAGGTGGGGTTGTTGGATGTCGCACGACGATGTCCATTACCTAACGTCGGCGTCGCTCACTTCACGGTTCCACAGCTTCAGAACCTCTGGCTCGACAAAGTTGGATCCACCTGACACCTGAAAGCAGCTCTCTGACGCCGTATTGGTCGTCCAGCAGGTGACACCTGAGACCACTGCGGATCACTGCGACCAAGCTATCCCACAGACCTTCACGAGTGAGGGAGTGAATGGATTTCGAGACGGATCTCAAGAGGGGATGGTGGTGGAACTGGGCACTGCGCCACTGCCACTGCCACTCACTGCAGCAGCAGCCAACCGGTTCGAAAGAAGCAGCGCTTGGTTCCTCGCACCGTTGGATAGCGGGGAACAACCCTACTCTTTCCTCTATTTCTTCCCAAGAGTTTGGTTCCGAGTCCCGTCTTTCTCGGTTCTGAGTTGGGTGCTGACCTTGACTACCCTCCCTCTCGTCACTCGGTCGTTTCCTTGCAACCCAATGGGTCAATCTAATTTAACCCTTCGCAGCTTGCATCATTGATTCATGGATCGTCGACAAGCAGGGTCGAATACCGTGCCATACTATCCGGCTTAGGCCCGTAGTGCAAATATCAACTACTTGAATCATGTCGGAGCAAGCAGCACAGGCGATGGCGGACGTGCGCACATCGAGCAAAGGGCAGCCCGACTCGCTGCCCATGTTGGAGAGCCCACATACTGCCCTCTCGCAGTCAGCATTGATAAATCCGGCACAAGTCCAAATGGATGCAGATGGAGAAGAAGCGGCGGAGTCCGTGGAGGCGGAAAAAGGTCAATATGAAGATGTAACTGGAGGTGCCAAGACCGTCTACGGAGTCGCAAAGGCGCACAAGCACATCGAACCGGGGGACCTTGTCGTTCTTTTCATTGTGAGCTCCGAGGTCCTTTGCATGAGAAGCACCTCACTTATTCCATCCCGAAACTCTCTGTGCCTTCCATCAGAGCCGTCATACAACGCCAGTTCCCATCACAGTCACACCTGGAGAACAATTCATCAATACGTTTGGCGCCTTTCCCCATTCAAGCATGGTCGGACGTTCTTTTGGCAGTCGGCTAACTACACGCAATGGGAAAGGATTCATTCACCTCTTACGGCCAACTCCCTCCTTGTGGACACTTGCTCTACCGCACCGCACCCAAATTCTCTACCTGCCAGATATTTCTTTCATCATCTCCCGCCTAGGGCTGAGCCCTGGGGCTAAAGTGATCGAGGCTGGCACGGGGAGTGGAAGCATGACGCATGCGCTCGCAAGAGCTGTAGGCACAGGTAGGCAGCATGCAAAGAGATGGCGAGGCGTCGAGGGTATGGGAACGTCCGCGGGGAGATCAGCTCGCACATCACAATCACAAGGTCGCGACGGTTCACAGTGTTTATTAGCAAAGAATGGAAGGAACGGAGGGTCAGACAAGGAGGAGAGAGAGGGAGATGCTGGAGTAACACCGGCGCTGGATCTCACCCTGGAAGAGGCTGGTGGACCACTGGCCCAAGGAGAGGGGAGAGTTTGGAGCTTTGAGTTCCACAGCGAGCGTGCGAAGAAGGCTAGGTGAGTGTGTAGCAACTTTCCTCCACGCTTCGCCACTTACATTTACCTTCTAAACTCCCTTGGAAGCCGAGAATTCGAAGCTCATGGCTTGTGTCCAAATATTGTTGCCATCAATCATCGTAATGTCTGTAAATCTGGCTTTGGCTTGCCACCGTCCATGAGCGCAGACGCCATCTTTCTCGACCTTCCAGCACCATGGGAGGCCATTCCTTTCGCAAGGCGCGCGCTACGCTCCGACGTTGCCACCCAAGTCTGCACATTCAGCCCTTGTGTCGAGCAGGTCTTGCGCACTGTACAAGCCTTCAACGAGCAAGGTTTCAGCGACGTTCATACTTTCGAGTCGCTGACTCGGGATCACGAGGTTTTCACCAACTTTATGGGGCCATTGCGGAGTATCAACGCAGCTGTTGATAGGATCAAGCAGATCGAGAGGAACAAGGAATTGAAAAGACAGGACCAGATTGCACGCTCGGAGGTGAAGCGGAACAAGCGCGCGGCAGCGGGTGGTACAATCGAAGAAGCAGCACCTGCACCAGCTAAGCGTATGAGGCAGGAGATCAGCGGCACAGACGATGAGGTCATGGATGATTCAGAGGGAGTGCAGGAGCTCGCTCCACCTACAAGCTCCGATCAAGTCGGCAGGAATGGAAAGTTGGAGCTGGGAGAACCTACAAGCAACTTAGAGGATTGCACGGCTGCAGACGATGGAGAAGAGGTAGCAATCGTCCCAAGTGGCTCGAAAATTTCCATCGGTTCTGTCAAGCTGCAATCTGGCAACGTTCTCACGAGACCAGCAGGAGAGGTGAGAGACCGTTGCGACTTTAAGTGGATGCCGTGCTTTTTTAAACGCTGATGATATTTTTCGAACTATAAGATGCGAGGGCACACCTCTTATCTGACATTCGCGACGCTCAAGCCGCAGATGCTAGCACAGCGCCATTAGGAGACCAGGCACGAAGAGGAAGAGGCGTCTGGCAACAAAGCCGAGGCCTCGTCGGAGCCACGTGCCATGTAGCATAGCATATGTCGATTTTGAAACAGACAGAGCGTTGAGGTCATCCCAATGGCTTGGGCCTGTAAGGATTACGATTCATCACGAAACGGGCTATTCCCATTCTCTCAATACTTTGTTTGTAAAATGCTTACGTTAGCAATCTTTTGATTACGGCACGCCAATCACCCATTGGCAGTTCCCTATCTGACCCGTTCACTTCATCAACTCCCTCCCTATCCACACTTTGGAAGTCAGATGTCGATCCATTTTTGATTAATTGCTCTCCTCATCAAGGTTATTCCCAACCTACGACCCTCGAGTTTTCTACGAGCTTGCGGTGCCTTGGGATCCAGTGGCCACCCTAGCGAGAATCCAGTGCGCAGTTTTGAGCGTAGCCCACCCTTCTGCAAGCGCACATCAAAAGGTCAAACACCACATTCAGAACGTTTGCGCACTTCAAGATGGGAAGCAGAACGTGCTGTCGTTGCCTTCAGCGACCTCATACATCCCAATCTTTCGCAGCGAATTATTTCAATTTTCGGGTTTCGTCATTACGCAGCTTCTCAGGATCCGTACTGCGGGCCGCAAAGAGCATCAAGGATCCATCTCACCCGACTGGGATTTGGTACCACTCATTGAATCCGAGCTCGGGGCAACGTTGGGCGGTCTCCCTTCTGCCAGAAGCTCCGTCTAGGCCAGAAGCAGCCTCGATACTTGGTGTGCTATCGCAAACGCCGGGTAAGGGTTTTGAAAGCGCTCAGCCGTATGAGCTCGCAGCTTCCAGCGCAGATAATTTCGCTACGAATGCGGGCTTCGTCCAGCTTCTTCACAAGGTATTAAAGGAGGAGATCGTCCCGTCCGATCCGACTCTCGAATTTGAGGCGAAAAACAGGGAGAGCGGATGGGCACATATCACTGGCGAGTAGCTGCATTCGTGCTTGGTCTGATTGATTTTTTCTCATTGAGTCCATTTTTACTACCTGCTGCAGACTCACGCCATGCGCTCATGCCGGGTCGCATTGCCACCCCGGAGAATATTCTCGCGAGTATTGCTTTCACAGATTCCGCCGTTCATCCCGACTCATATCAGGCCAACGAGACCTACAGAGTCTTAACAAAGGCGGAGGGCTGGATACAGCTCAAACAGGAATGGCTGCAGAAGGTTCGTAGGGCATTGTTGGAGAAAAATTAAGCAAATTTGCATTATGCCGAGTTAGCACCCCGTTTTGAATCTTTGTATCTTCGAACATCGAGGTTAGTGGTAGTCGACATGGTCTACCCCATTTCTTCATCGATCGCATCGCCGAGTGTCCCTCCTTGGCTTGAGCTATTCAGCGATAGCCGCCGGCGCACCATCTCGGCCTGTTCTCTGCCCGTCTTCTGAAGTGTCTTCAGCATTTTATTGGCTTCTTCTGCGAGTCCCTATTCAACCATCTCCCTTCGCCTTGCCTTTTGCAAGGCTTCTGTGTCCTTCTTGCCCTCTGCAGCGCCGCCTCCGCTGGGACAGCCCCTACCGCTCTTTTGCATCGTATTCGCCCCCTCGTCAATGTGAGGTGTTAGACGCGAGTGATCGGGCTGTGCATGGTGCGTTGCGGTCGATGTGTAATGGTCGTGATGTCGATTCACGAGCTGATGCGTCAAAGCTGACAAATTCACCATGCGAGGCATGGAAGCCGGGGCGAGGAGCCGGCCTGCCGAAACGCGATGGTGGCCAGAGGATGAGCTCGACACGCGATTTCACTAGACCAAGCGGCACCTGCGTACTCGCCAAGTATGTAACAAATTCCGGTCAGGAACTAATATTAATCAAACAGACGAGACGACTCACCAGCCCAAACTCGCGACTGTCATCGCTGTGGCCGATGCTTCGGCCTTTCCCTTTACCCTCACCAAGATGGGCACCCTCTTCTGCGCTTGCATCGCCTTCAACCCATGCATGTCCAGGAGGCACTCGGATTCTTGTTCTAATATCAACATTGCTGGGAAGCAGTGCCGGTGCAAGCGAATATTGAGGAGAGTGCAAAATCACAACATCCCCTTCCAACGCCAGGATCCTCTTGGTGAGCAGCAAGCTGGGGTCAGTTGGTGATCTGTGAGAGCATGGAGGATTTTAAGAAAGTTTCGCAGCGTTACAACTGCTTCCAGTTTAAGACATACGTGAGATGCACCACATCTCCAACACGGTAGTGATGCTTTCCGATAACCCAGCGATTCAGCAGTACGATATCAGGCCCGTGCTTAGTGCCAGGCTTTGCTGCTTCGGGGTTGAAGGTCGGCTGTGGTTTCCGTCAAATTATCAGTTCCATTTAACACAAATGACCAGCCGCAAATGTGATTCTTACAATCATGCTGCCACCTTTGACTTGGCCTATGCTAACGATATGGGAGACGACAAACGCCGCAACAGGCACCCATGCGGCCAGGTTGAGGGCCTTGCCCCATCGCCCTTGACGCCGCTCTTGCTTCTGCGGAAATGCAGATGTAGCTACATGTGAGTCTTCGTTCAAGTGTCGGCGTCCTTCTGGCCTAGTAGCGTCAGAAATGCTTGAGGGCTGCCATGCTCGCGGTTTGAGCAATGTCTCTGGCATCAGTTGCAGCTGCGTTCGTCTTGCAGCGAGCCAAAGGCAGTGCCGCCCGCGCATTTCGAAATTCCAAGCGTGCTACTAGCCTGCTCTTCTCGATCTGCGAAAAGCGATCATGCGTTGACATTTGCTACCCTCGGACCTTGGAACGGCTGCATGAATTGCGACTCCTGCTGAATCGCGCGTTCTAGAATCAAGATGCGACGGGGTGTGTTGAAGTGACATGTGAGTTTCGCCAAGGAAATATTACGTAATATGTAACACGGTGTTATACTCGGCTGGTCAATGGTACTGGTAATGGCTGTAATCTGTGGACTCGATGGGGCCAGATTGATTGCTGATTTCTCCTCTTGACTGAGTCCGGGTTCACTCAGCGAAGTAGGTTGAGGAGGTCCTTTGGGCCTTACTCTCCTGGAAGACGCATCAAATTCCCAGTGAGCACGTAGTCTCCAGCACACCTTCCTACAACGTAGGTGAGAACCTGTTGCCTGGAGCAGCGTGTCAAGCCTCCGAGGCTCTTCGAGGGCCAT